AAGCTTGGATTGGACATCTACACAGAAATATGTAAACAAATTTCCCCGGTTCAACTTAAGATGCACGCGACAGCTGATTGTTAAATAAGGACACGTCTTTTGACATTTTCTATCAATTGTCTAAATAATGTCAAGAATGAAGAAAAAAAAATAATAGAAAATTTAGGAGGATATATCTTTATGATATGTACATTGTCACACAAATCAAATAAATGTCTGTTTAGGACAGCATAGCGGCGACATGCCAATGGTATTTGCACGTGAAATAACAATTTACAGTATATATTTAATTGTACTTGTTATAACGAGGTCATTTATAACAAACATTATCATCGGACTAGTGTGTTCCAGAGAGAATACCAAATCTCTCTTCAGTGTCAAAGGGTGGCTGTGCCAAAACATTTTTGGGATTTTTTTTTCACATTAGCATACATTTGAAAAGAGTATGTTTGTGTACGGGGTGATCTGTTTGTGTACGGGATGATCTGTTTGTGTACGCGGGTGATCTGTTTGTGTACGGGGTGATCTGTTTGTGTGCGGGATGATCTGTTTGTGTACGGGATGATCTGTTTGTGTACGCGGGTGTTCTGTTTGTGTACGGGGTGATTTGTTTGTGTACGGGGTTGTTTGTGTACGGGGTGGTCTGTTTTTGTACTGCGTGATCTGTTTGTGTACGGGGGGAGCTGTTTGTGTACGGGGTTGTTTGTGTACGGGGAGATCTGTTTGTGTACGGGGTGGTCTGTTTTTGTACTGCGTGATCTGTTTGTGTACGGGGTCATCTGTTTGTGTACAGGATGATCAGTGTGTCCAGGGATGATCTGTTTGTGTACGCGGGGGATCTGTTTGTGTACGGGATGAACTGTTTGTGTACGGGATGATCTGTTTGTGTACGGGGTGATCTGTTTGTGTACGGGATGATCTGTTTGTGTAAGGGGTCATCTGTTTGTGTACAGGATGATCTGTTTGTGTACGGGATGATCTGTTTGTGAACGGGGTGATCTGTTTGTGTACGGGATGATCTGTTTGTGTACGGGATGATCTGTTTGTGTACGGGATGATCTGTTTGTGTACGGGATGATCTGTTTGTGTACGGGATGATCTGTTTGTGTACGGGATGATCTGTTTGTGTACGGGATGATCTGTTTGTGTACGGGATGATCTGTTTGTGTACGGGATGATCTGTTTGTGTACGGGATGATCTGTTTGTGTACGGGGTGATCTGTTTGTGTACGGGATGATCTGTTTGTGTACGGGATGATCTGTTTGTGTACGGGGTGATCTGTTTGTGTACGGGATGATCTGTTTGTGTACGGGGTGATCTGTTTGTGTACGGGGTTGTTTGTGTACGGGGTGATCTGTTTTTGTACTGGGTGATCTGTTTGTGTACGGGGTGATCTGTTTGTGTACGGGGTGATCTGTTTGTGTAGAGGGATCAATTACATTGTGTACAACACGTTTTGAATTTCGTTTGGTTCTTATTCAGGGGGGAAATCGGATATAAAGATAAATAGATCGTACTACAGCGTCACACTGAACCGAATATTTCTTCTGAACTATTAAAAAGTTCTTTTGACCTTTAATTTAAAGAGACAATACTGTCTTTTCGGCGTGAAAATAACTTACCAAATAATGTTTCCAACAATTTGAATGCATTTGTTTAATTTGGCCAGTCGATAGTACTGTATATTATTGCTACAAAGAATAGAAAAAGCTAAAATATTAAAAAATGTACTAAAACACAAGGTGGACTTTATTATAAGCACACAGTTACAATTTCGTAGAGTTTGTATGGACAAAGATCGAATTCACGAGATAACAACGAACAACCCGACCATACAGTATACCAAGCAGGCATATTGTAACCGGTAGATCACAAAAATATATCAGACACTTGCCAATCTGAACTTTTAAGAACGGTGAGACATCTTCGACTCGTCCTCATTTTAAAACAACTTAAAGGAAACACGACCTGAGCTAATCGGCCGGAAGTAAACCCGACCTTATTGGACACCTATGTTACAGAAGTCCACACAATGGGGCGACAGATCAAAGCCAACTAGGCGTTTCTTTCACAGGCATTTTTTTCTTTTTCAAATAATAATAACCAAACTTATTGTCCTTCACACCGCAACGTGTTCTAGTTTCTTACGGTACTCGTTCACACTGTATCAATAACGAAGAACTGGCGACATGGGTGGGTTGAACGTGATGAGCGAATTTACGAATGTACTTATTACCCAAATAAAAAAAGTTTTATATAACTTTGTTATCCCTCTAGCACAGTATCCCGGAATCACCAATGAAGACCACACACACTTTTAAATAACCATATAAATATTTCTCTTATGTAGTGAATAATAATAAAACATAATATACAACTATATCACTATCCATGCCATACTGTGGATAGCTGGAATTTTTATATTTAGTTTAGTTTAGTTCAAACAGTATTTCATTCAATAATAAACATATTTATGCCTGATTCCAAGTAAATATCACCATGGCACGCTTGTGAGACATGTCAAGTGCATAAACAACAAGAACACTTCAAATGAATTGAAAATGGCCGTTTTTATTAAAAACGACATGTTTATATACAAACTTTATCTTTTAAAGTTTTTGTCCAATGTACTTAAAAGTCTTGTAGATGGGTAAGAAAACGCCCCTTTAAGAAGTAATAATCATATTGAGAAGGAGGCAAGAAGGGGAGGTGGTGGGTAATAAAATTCACTTTAAGATATTTTTCAAAATTAGATCATGATGTAAAAAGAAGGTACACACCTTTTTCCTCCATCATCTTCAGCAGACTTGTGACCTAGGGTCAGCTAGTGCACGTTCTTATATAGGTGCTAAAAATAGCCACAAATTCATACGACTTTTGACCTTCTCACCTCCTTCTAATGGTCAGCGTCCGCTCATATCAACCATAGATACAACAAATACAGTACTTTAACATTCATGATATTGAAACATGATAAAAAACAAAGTATTACTAGGACATTCATAAATTACATTAAACCAGGTTTAATTTGTATTTATTATGAACATATAATTTCAGAGGGTTAGAAAAACAAGTTTACATATAAGTTACTACTCTGACTTAAATAGCGATGTTTTATAAAAAACAAAAAACTAAACTAAACTATAATTAGTATTAAGAAGTAACTAAAGTGATCCAAAAATGTACACTTGTGGAATTCCTGCTTTATTTAGGTGAATGTTCACAGTCGAACCTCTATACCAAATTCTATCGATGCTTTCGGATATGTGAGAAAATACTGCAGTTCTTTTGTTCTTGAAGTGAAATGCATGTTTGGTGACAAATATCAATAAGTTGGTAGTGTAGAGTAACTATACACGGACCCGACTGGTGCGCGTAAAAATTACAATAAACAGAAATCTATAAAAAAAACCACAACATTACCAGACCATGCTTTTAAAAACTTTACCAAAAGTTGATGGTAAAGATTAGTTCGAAGTCACAAACAGGTCATACATCGAAGGATAAGAGGTACAACACAACGACTAGTTTACGACCATTTGTTAGGTGACTTTGGATGAATATTGATAATACTCACTCCCCTCCTCCCTCTACACAAAATATGGCAAAACGTGAGAAAAACGAACGTCAGGTGTATTTAAACGAACACTGGAAAAACACGTATAAAATAGCCTTGAGCGGCCAGTCTGGGTACAGACGTAAGGTCACGTGCCTGTAGCCAGATCACGTGTAGCAATAAAACCTATGTTTGATGTGGTTCTACGTTCTGACTGTCACTTGTCATTTGTTTGTGTCGTGCCAAATGGTACCCCTGCCCTTAAAAATCATTGGTTCTCAAATGTCACATTGTATGTAAACAAGCATAAATAATTAAAGATGGTGTTTTTTTGTTTTTTTTACCTTGTTTTTATTTCATTTCAAACTTTCAGAGTAGCGATCAAAAAGACCTTTCGAAATCATTTTTTCATTTTTCATGAGTTTGTCCCTCCTCGCTCTTCCCCATCCCCTCCTCTTTCCCGCCAGGGCTCTACTCCCAGGCCCCATGTCTATCATTGGTAACATAAAAGTTCATGAATACGTGTATCGAAAGATTAACGGGTCGTTTTTTCTGATGAAGGTGACAGAGTACTTACGCGCTAAGGACATCACAACACCAAACGTTCAATGGTTGTACTTTATGTGATTGTATAGGTAAATACATGTCATTTTGACGAACAAGACGGGAGGGGGAGATAACATTCTCGATCATTTTTATGGAACTATTAAGTTTAAAGTAATAAAATGAACTCAATAAACACAGCGTATAGGGCTGCTACTTCCGGTCACAAACCGCCCATTCATGCCAGCTGGTCACAGTTTGACGACTTACACAGCACGTGTGTCCCACAGGATACATAGTTGTTTTCACAAGTTTTAATATCAAATCGATACCGACTTCAGCAGGTGTGTCTAAGGTAACATGAAGTCTAAGAAGACAGATTAATTTTAAAATCTGATATTTATTAAGATTTTACAATAAAACGCAGTAACATCTGAGGCGGTACAATCGATGATGCGCTCCAGCGCTGAGCTTTGAGGTGCCAATGGGAGAGCATGGATTTTGTTTAACTCATCAACTTGAGACGTTCATTACATTTTTATTCATATTTAACAGGATGAGCAATCCATAATGTACTAATGTGACGAAAATATTCTTTAATTGTGTAATGTCACTTACCAATGTCATAGATGCAATGTATCACCGCAATTTATAAACGATGTAACGGACATGAACACGTTTGACCTCAACTCTTCTCGGACGCAGATAAAGACAGACAGATAGAATGACAGACAGAGAGTGATAGTCTACTGCAGAGACAGAAAAACAGACAGACGGTAGATCTTTTAATAGTAAATTCTACCTTTACAAGACGAACACACAGACCAACAGACGGTACACCTTTCGTGGCGGAATACGTTGACAGACGACAGGCCTATATATATAATAGTGAATAATAACATTATTTACATTTGAATACCTCTCCTGAAATAGGATTGACAATGAGTGACATCAACAGTATATAAAGCTGCAAGGGAGATGTTGGTGCACAAAGATGGGAAGTTTGGGATTAGTGTTCGGTCACGAGGTCTGCGTTACGTTATGTTATCGCGAGAGGAACATTGACAGGCAAGCATCGGGGTCGTGAGCGTTACCCGAACCATTCCCACAGTGTGTCCGACACTGTATAGGTTGGGTTTTTGCGAATTAACATCAATACTGGATATTTCATTCTTAAAACGTAAGTTGACACATTTGAATATTTTGAAGATTTCCTAACGGCTTCGTTTGCCCAAACAAAGTTATGTAAGGTAACATATTAGCATATTACATCACCGAACATTTAACGTACGAATTGATAAATCGTTTAATTACCTCTAGATTTATGTCCCTGGGAAATGGCATTACCAGCGCTAGCTTTGCTGTAATGTATATAAGTAAACAGACTCACAAGCAGGGTACAGACAGGTTTTATATCAGTATACAGACTCACGAGCAGGGTACAGACAGGTTTTATGTAAGTATACAGACTCACGAGCAGGGTACAGACAGGTTTTATATAAGTATACAGGCTCACGAACGGGGTACAGACAGGTTTTATATAAGTATACAGGCTCACGAGCAGGGTACATACAGGTTTTATATCAGTATACAGACTCACGAGCATGGTACAGACAGGTTTTATGTAAGTATACAGACTCACGAGCAGGGTACAGACAGGGTTTATATAAGTATACAGACTCACGAGCAGGTTACATACAGGTTTTATATAAGTATACAGATTCACGAGCGGGGTATAGGCAGGTTTTATATAAGTATACAGACGCACGAGCAGGGTACAAACAGGTTTTATATCAGTATACAGACTCACGAGCATGGTACAGACAGGTTTTATGTAAGTATACAGACTCACGAGCAGGGTACAAACAGGTTTTATATAAGTATACATACTCACGAGCAGGGTACAGACAGGTTTTATGTAAGTCTACAGACTCACGAGCAGGGTACAGACAGGGTTTATATAAGTATACAGACTCACGAGCAGGTTACATACAGGTTTTATATAAGTATACAGACTCACTAGCGGGGTATAGGCAGGTTTTATATAAGTATACAGACTCACGAACGGGGTACAGACAGGTTTTATATAAGTATACAGGCTCACGAGCAGGGTACAGACAGGTTTTATGTAAGTATACAGACTCACGAGCAGGGTACAGAGAGGTTTTATATAAGTATACAGACTCACGAGCGGGGTATAGACAGGTTTTATATAAGTATACAGACTCACGAGCAGGGTATAGACAGGATTTATATAAGTATACAGACTCACGAGCAGGGTACAAACAGGTTTTATATAAGTATACAGACTCACGAGCAGGGTACAGACAGGTTGTATATAAGTATACAGACTCACGAACAGGGTACAGAGAGGTTTTATATCAGTATACAGACTCACGAGTAGGGTACAGACAGGTTTTATATAACTATACAGACTCACGAGCAGGGTCCATACAGGTTTTATATAAGTATACAGCCTCACGAGCGGGGTATAGGCAGGTTTATATAAGTATACAGACTCACGAACAGGGTACAGAGAGGTTTTATATAAGGATACAGACTCACGAGCAGGGTACTTACAGGTTTTATATAAGCATACCGATTCACGAGCGGGGTATAGGCAGGATTATATAAATATACAGACTCACGAGCAGGGTATAGACAGGATTTATATAAGAATACAGACTCACGAGCAGGGTACATACAGGATTTATATCAGTATACAGACTCACGAGAAGGGTACAGACAGGTTTTATATAACTATACAGACTCACGAGCAGGGTCCAAACAGGTTTTATATCAGTATACAGACTCACGAGCAGGGACCATACAGGTTTTATATAAGTATACAGGCGCACGAGCGGGGTATAGGCAGGTTTATATAAGTATACAGACTCACGAGTGGGGTATAGGCAGGTTTTATATAAGGATACAGACTCACGAGCAGGGTACTTACAGGTTTTATATAAGCATACCGATTCACGAGCGGGGTATAGGCAGGTTTATATAAGTATACAGACTCACGAACGGGGTACAGACAGGTTTTATATAAGTATCCAGACTCACGAGCAGGGTACATACAGGTTTTAGATAAGTATACAGACTCACGAGCGGGGGATAGGCAGGCTTTATATAAGTATACAGACTCACGAGTAGGGTACAGACAGGTTTTATATATGTATACAGACTCACGAGCAGGGTACTTACAGGTTTTATATAAGCATACCGATTCACGAGCGGGGTATAGGCAGGTTTTATATAAGTATACAGACTCACGAGCAGGGTACATACAGGATTTATATCAGTATACAGACTCACGAGCAGGGTACAGACAGGTTTTATATAAGTATACAGACTCACGCGCAGGGTATAGACAGGATTTATATAATTATACAGACTCACGAGCAGGGTACAGAGAGGTTTTATATCAGTATACAGACTCACGAGCAGGGGACAGAGAGGTTTTATATAAGTATACAGACTCACGAGCTGGGTATAGGCAGGTTTTATATAAGTATACACACTCACGAGCAGGGTACAGACAGGTTTATATAAGTATACAGACTCACGAGCTGGGTATAGGCAGGTTTTATATAAGTATACACACTCACGAGCAGGGGACAGACAGGGTTTATATAAGTATACAGACTCACGAGCGGGGTATAGGCAGGGTTTATATAAGTATACACACTCACGAGCCGGGTACAGACAGGGTTTATATAAGTATACAGACTCACGAGCAGTGGACAGACAGGTTTTATATAAGTATACAGACTCACGCGCAGGGTATAGACAGGATTTATATAATTATACAGACTCACGAGCAGGGTACAGAAAGGTTTTATATAAGTATACAGACTCACGCGCAGGGTATAGACAGGATTTATATAATTATACAGACTCACGAGCAGGGTACAGACAGGTTTTATATAAGTATACAGACTCACGAGCAGGGTACAGACAGGATTTATATCGGTATACAGACTCACGAGCAGGGTACAGAGAGGTTTTATATAAGTATACAGATTCACGAGCAGGGTACAAACAGGTTTTATATAAGTATACAGACTCACGAGCGGGGTACAGACAGACATTCTTTCAGAGTCAAATCAATTGCTTTACTATGTCTGTCTTTACGTTTTTAACGTTGGTCACAGAAAACTGTAACCGTTCTGAATGAGGGAGGATAGTTTAGGCGGGTGTAGGTCTATCGATGTACCTACACAAATACAGTTACAATTAACAATAAAATGTTAGAGAAAAAGACACCTTTGTACAATATATATGTGTTGGATATGTCTGAACTGACTGTGATACTCATTAACTTCGATGTCTTCGTAAAAAGCTGTTTTATTAAGTGGGGGACTTACTGGTTTTATTAATAACAGATTTTAAACCGTGATACAAATGGTGGTGAAATGGTAACTCTGTAAATTGCGACAATCTCATAGATGACAGTACTGTTCTATAATGAAACTCTCATGAAAGTGATGGTGAAAGAAGTCGGGGAAGTAGACATTGCTATGGGAGGGGGCACAGGGACCTGAACATTTGTTGCAGCTGTATTTGGACCTAAACTGAGGTGTTCAGAGTGATGGTATACACGTTTTAGGGGTTTAGATCAACTTTCGGTAAAAAAAACTCCCCCCTCCGCAATGATGATATATCTGAACTTCTTATTTTAGGTCCAGTTGGGGTTCGGGGAAAACAGAAAGTTCCTTCAGGGAGTACACTGTACTAACGTATTAAAAGCTGTCTCCAGTATTCTAAGCTGAGATATATAAGCTCAGAAATTCTATCTCTGTTATTCTTGTAGATGTAAATTGACCAATTGATTCTTTCAAGTTTTTTTCTGACTATGTAGGGAAGGTTGATACATAATGTACAGACCGTGAATTAACATTTTATTAAACCTGTAAATCTAACTTTTATGTAGGATTAGATGTTGTGTAACCCCCCAGCCGATCACGTTACAAAAGTATAACTGGCAGCGTAGTTCGTCGCTTAACATAGCAAGACAGGGACTTTTTTTCTGAGTGTGGCGTTCTAGAGGGAAGTCGAAGCTGCGTAATTATTTCCGAAAATTAATGTGTTCTTATATGAGCGGAACGAGCAAATTGGTAACATCGAGCGAGAGACAAACGTTTTGCTTGAATTTAGGGTACTTTTATTCTGTAGACTTGCGCACAAAACAATTAAACTACAATTTATTACATCTGCTCGTGGTCCTCTTTTTAAAATAGGTACCGTAGTCTACATTGGTAACAACCCTGCTTTATGTTTTCTTCTGAATATAACATAAAATATAATCAACTAATCTTGTATTTTCTCCTATGATCTGTGTTGATGCTACATATTGCCCCTGATGCTAGTTTACAGATAATATCAAGGAAAGAAACGGATATCTGTTACTATATTTGTTATAGTGTTAGTGGGGGCATCCGTCTCCGTATTTTGTGGGCAAAAAAACCCAGTTAAACATAAAATTTACAATTTTTTTCAAAGTTTTCTTTTCAGTAGCGCTAACAACGTCTTTGTGAAACCATCACATTTTCGGGGACAATAACGTCACACATTACTCCCAAATTATAAAATTATGTGAAGGGCAAACACGCCTTGAATTTGTAAGTTAATTAGAAAAATATGTGGATATATTAATAAGTGCGTCTGACTTCTCTGACATTCTGTATGATGTTTCAGATTATTTACGAGGAAATTATTTCTATAAAAATACCCACGAAATCATGCGCTTTAATATATACGGTCCATGTATTCTACCGTGCCTCCGGGTCATGAACGGTAATAACGAAACTGCATAATTATTACATAACAAATTAAATTACATTATTCAGTGCGTTTGCACGCGTTCAATTACGTTTCATGGTACAGTATATATACACTGAATGGCTCTTACCTCGTCTAACGTTACACCGATCAAATACACTAAAACATTATATAAAAATAAAATGACAACGATGTGTTTCACATAATCATGAATTGTCTAAAGGTGACATTAGGTTGAAAACGTAGAATACGTGCAGAACGTATACTACTTCCCAGATACACATTTTATGTATTTTACAAGGATTTCGGCGCGGGGAGCCTTAATAGGGCAGGAAACCGGAGTAGCCGGAGAAAACACACTTCATCAAGCTGTGACCCCATGTTTTCATGTCCGGTCGGGGAATCGAACCCTGGCCGCCTTGAGGACCTGTGAGCGTGTTATCCACTACGCCACGCAATACCTGTCCTTAGTAGGACATAGTGGGTAGGACATGTCAACGACAGATCCGGATACTCGTACAAACACGCAACCACTGTACCCCAAGGAGATAAACACTTGAAACTGTTCCGGTGACAGAGTTGTAGCAGAAGGAATGTAGTTGGGCGAGATCATATACTATTTTATCTCTTTTATATAACAGCGTGTCTGATTGGATTATATTGATCATGTGACAGAGTAGATTGAAGGGTTTGCTCACGCGCTCGAGTTTTCGCGGTCATATTTCCCTAACAAGAGAAACAAATTGAGTTACGTGGGACTGAAGCAGACGACAACTATAGCGTGACGTGCTATTTGAAATCTTGGTATAACAAAATTGATATTGCTCTCAATAGGTAAACACGATTTTTCGCTTTCACGAAATTTAATTGTATCATGTTTCACGAGAGCAAATCATGAAACAAAATAGTTAATCTCAGGAAAAGAAAGAATCGTATCTCTACAAGAAATCGGGCACAATTTTGTGAACTGTCTTGGTTTATACGTCAATGATGTGCACATTTGTGCTTTTTTTAACGGCACAAAACATACTGCAATGTACAATAAAGATTACTGTTAAATGTACCTCGCTGTCCAGCTTTATAACTTAAGCAGGAATCTCCGTCCATAATCGACCAATAGTTTTTTACTTTCAATGTTTTATCAAAGTAAATAAGCCCCAGCGATGTCTGCATAAATTGCTGGGGCTGGGAGAGCTACTTGTGTGACATACTAATTCATACAGGAAATGTGTCACAGGTCTAGTGAATGTAAGGATTACTTTTCTGTATAACTTAAACTTAAATGGTCGTGCGTTTTTGTGTGTAGTTTTCAGTGTCAGAATTGGTTATCCGGAACATTAATAGGTGCGTCTCCAGTCAGTATCCGGTATTCAGTAGTGATGTGTTCCCATTACAATGTACCTAGCCTCCAAACACAATCGGCTTTCGAGTTGGTTCATAATACTATGTATATCATCAGCCTCAAAACAGGGCTGTAAATTATGGCAAACCAAGTTTTCATCAACATCAAAACAAAATGTTCTCGTTAGAAGTAGCAGAGATATCGCCAAAAGGTAACGTATAAGATAATGAAATAGAAATCTATATTTAAGGATTAACTTGAATATATTTTTCATGTTATGGAGATATAACACAAAAATACGGAGTGTACTCTAAATAAACCGCGAAGCGGTTTAGGACTCACACAACTAAATCATTTACTATATGTTATTACCAAACATTTTAGCTAATAACTTTAATATTTGAAGTTCAAAACTAGTGACAACTGTCTAGATTCATAAATACATACCTTGCAAAGGCTACAAAATGACTTTTTTGGTAGGTTTAGTGGCATATTTGAGTGTCACAGCGCCAAGAAGTTGACAACCGGAAGTTTACAAGCAAAACCGGTGACCCAAAACAGAAACGACCCGAGACATTTTGCCCCTGTGCAAATCCACACACAGACATGGAAATATATCAAAAGTATATATTTTTCAAAAGTTAAATACCTAAACATTTCATTTATCTAAAAATCTGTCATCAGTTCCTTATTAAACTCCTTCAGTGGCCCAGTAATTAGCCGGAACTTATTTCAAATAGGAACTACAAACGTATGAAACACTTGCTGATTGGCTGATTTAGTTTATGATGAGAGTACACTCCGGTTTTTTGTGTTATAGCTCCACAATATGAAAAATATATTCAAGTTAATCCTTATAATTTAATCTACTATACACAATCCCTGTGGAAATCCACTTTTATTGATGGACTCTTTTCTCTTAGAAAGTATTGCGCCGCTGTATCAACCAATCAAAAGCGACATTACAAATGGCGACGTCATTTTTTTACGTTATAGGATAATAACATACATTTTTAAGCCAATGGAAATGCTTGTTACAAGCAAGATTAAATTGTTTATATATAACACGAATTATAGGAACTCAGTAAATCAAGATATTACATCAATTGCATCAGATATGCAAGAAAAGTAAATATTTCCGTAATTAATAGCAACATCTTATTAATATATATAAAATATCGTGTAAACTTAATGAGGTATCTCTTATAGAAATACATCAAAGTACAGTCAAGTGGTCAAACTGGACATTTGGAACGGACTATGAATATGGGGATAGCGATAAGTGGAAGTGCATACAATACATACATTCATTAGAACAAATATGTCTCTTCACGTGATGTCCCTTTAAGAACGGTTAATAAACGGGATGATATTATATCTAAACGATTCTTTGACTAAAAGTGTCAATAAGTAAATAAGCTAATAACTCTGAGTTAATATCAGGTTATTAAACGTTTGAGGCTCGTGTGAATTTTTATCATTCTGTTAGAATCAGTCAGCACTCGACATAACTTATGAGGCTGTGCCGATTATCCACGGTACAGGTGAGAAAATGGGCTCCCTTTAACTGTCACTATATTTAGTGACACCACCATAGTGAAATCATCAAATTTATTTATGGTGATAACAATAACCAATATGACATCACAAATTATTCCTTACTGATATCAGGGACGTACTCTATATACTGTCCCTGCTAATATATCATCATTCTTTAAAAAATATGTGCGATATCCCTAGAACGAATTGGTGTCGGTTTAAATACTGTAGGTGATGTAACCAACCCCCGTGGACGTCCATTGGTGGGTTCATACATTGAATTCCGATGTACATTGAGCAATAAAATCAATTCCAATGTTCAACGTCAGTCAAATCGTAAGAGCCAGACATTTTCTTTAACTAGTACAAAATGAATGTCATTATACAGTACTATCAAATTCTTTAAAAGAGGTTCAGAACATCACACATCTGTCTTCCTCCGATTTTTCATGAAAATAAATTTCAGACACAATAAAATATTAGTAGCTGCCGACATCGTCTAATCATTACGTCACTATGACGTCACTTGGCTACATATTGACAATGGCGATACACTCACTTCCGGATGTTTATTTCGGTACAAAAAAGATAATTGAAGTGTTTGTTATTATTGTAGAATGAACACTACATTGGAACCAACGACACACGACTATGGCAACGTCACAGGTCATCACAAAAAGTGGCATATTGTTGAACATGAATCCGCCATCATTTTCTTCATATTCTGCAGCTGTGCCGTTGGAGGTAATAACGTTAGTGGTACACTTCCGTTGTAGTCATATGTTGCAATGTTTTAAATTCCTGATGTTTTTGTGGTATTCACTAATAAATGTAACTAACACTTTTCTACATATTGCAGTAATGTTAAATCACAATTATGTTAGATATTTAGTGGGATTTTTTTTTTTATAAATTTATGTAGAAACAGTGGCGTAGCAAATAATGTTTCGGAGTGAATTTTACTTGGCCCCATCCTCGAGATCCAGGGGTTACGCTCACTTTCGCTCTCTGCACCCTTGGGATATGTCATAGCAAAATCGAAGGCTATGTGTGCACCGCTTTGTGGATCAGACGAGAAGGCTAGTTTGATCCTTTAATGTACATCAAAAGAGTATCGCAGTTTGAAGTCGGGCGCCCCTCCTCTATAATCTTCAAAGCACAGGGGCATGGATCGCTTTGCTTTACTTGTAATATAAAAAAATGTATATATTAGTATAGGAGACCCCTATTTTTTATATTACAAGTAAAGCGATCCATGCCCCTGTGCTTCAAAGGCCAAAGTAACAGCCTAAGTAGTGATTGGTCAGGATTTTTTTTACCTGACACCAATCAACCAGCTAACCGTGTGCCTTCAATTTTGCTATGACATATTCCGGGGTGCAGAGAGCGAAAGTGAGCGTAACACCTGAATATCGAGGATGACTACAGTAGGCCCTAGAAGCAATCTCACGTAAAACTAAACACTACTTTTGATATGAATAATTTAAAATTTTGTACTTCACTAACTAGTTTTTAATTTAGAATTCTACATAAACCTTTGAGATTTTTCAACGTTTTTATCAGGTCAAAATTTTCAAGAAGATTTTTTTTTTAATTCTTTCCTATTTTACGATTGATACAGATGCTTCATATTAATCATTAAAACATAAATAAATAAATATAAATATATGATAAAAAAATTCTTGAAAATCTTAGTGTATGTGCTTGTATGCTCAAGCATACATATATATACACTGAGAAAATAGGAACAGTGATTAGCATCAGTTAAGTATCATGGACATTACTTTAGCCCACATAGTCTGGGAAGTAATGACATCAAGCAAGCTAGGTATTTAGATAAAATTAATTCAATCCTAATATTTTTCTGTAACTTTATTTAATAAATGTGCTTAACTCTCCAAAAATCAGTTGATTTTTAAAATATATTGCTGTTTCAATGCAATTAATATATTAATTGGTATTGTAAATTATTATTCCATGTTCTTAGTATTAACAACTTGTTGTCTAAAATTGCAATTTGGGTGAAATTATTTAAGCAGCTAAAGCTCAAAATATGTCATGTGATTAAAAATGATGACCCTCAGTTTGAAAAATTGTGTTTGATTAATGTATATATACCAATTGTATTAATTGTATATCTATGTACTGTAAAGCGCTTTAGAGTGGCCTATGTTAGCTAGATAGGGCACTATATCATATACTGTATGCTTATTTATTTATTTTATAAACTGATTAACTTTAAAGGTTAAAGGCATTGATAAGTTTGGGTTATAATTGCTAAAGTTCCCTTAATTCAGACCTATTATTTTTTCATTTTAGTTTTTTCCCCTCAAATATACACATAGATCAACTTCAAAGAATTTTTCCTGCTTCCCTTTGTTAGGTGTTCATCTTCAATTTTGACACATTCTTTTTAATTTCTGGAACATTGATAGAGCGTAGTAAATGACTGCAGATTATAGGTCTGATATATGTGTGAGTTCAAATCCCTGAGTTTCTGTTTGAGACATTTTTTGTTTATTTTCAATTTTGTTTTCAGATTTAACCAAGTTTTGAACATCTGTAATTCTGTAATTACATTGAAAAATGTGTTTTGTAAGGACAAAATATATAGAAAATGATTTAAACTCGTTTTTCTAAACAGTGTTAATGTGATAATACATATACTAGCTTGATAATAATATGTATTTAAAAAAAGATAAACTACAATGTTATTTAGTTTAAAGCGGCCTGGTTTGACGGACTGATTGTCTTCCTTACTTGTTTTATATGTGGCCATTTTATCAAAGTTTTTCTCCCCTACTTCATATTATGTGGCCATGGTATTATATAAGATTATTTCTCTTATTTGTAATGCAGCAATGGTATTTTATCAAAGATTGTCTCCCCTACTTGTTACGCGGCCATGGTATTATATAAGATTGTCTCCCCTACTTGTTATGCAGCAATGGTAATTTATCAAAGATTGTCTCCCCTACTTATTATGTGGCCATGGTATTATATAAGATTGTTTCTCTTACTTGTAATGCAGCAATGGTAATTTATCAAAGATTGTCTCCCCTACTTATTATGTGGCCATGGTATTATATAAGATTGTTTCTCTGATTTGTAATGCAGCAATGGTATTTTATCTAAGATTGTCTCCCTTACTTGTTATGCGGCCATGGTATTATCTAAGATTGTCTCCCTTACTTGTTATGCGGCCATGGTATTATCTAAGATTGTCTCCCTTACTTGTAATGCAGCCATGGTATTATCTAAGATTGTCTCCCCTACTTGTAGTCCTGGTACGGAGAGTCATCCAGAATCTCAACCTGCGAATGCCGTACACAGTGGTACTCCTTGTACTGGGAGTATTGTTTGGACTGCTGTCCGGCCAGAACAGGAGTATACACGAGTATGCCAGTGTGGTCAACATAGATCCTCACCTCTTGCTCAACATATTTCTTCCTGTACTTATCTTTGAATCAGCTTTTGCCATGGAGGTGCACACTTTTATGAAAACTTTCGTTCAGGTTCTCCTGTTAGCTATACCTGGACTAGGTGAGTAGACTTAACAAGAACCAAAGTATTTAAATGTAAATTGACCATGAGATTTAGACATTTCTTTTTTCTCTTTTTTTTCCCAAACTCAAGTGGGAATCCTATAAGATGCTTGATTTATTTTACTTTATCATTTCTGAAAGATCTAGAAAAATAATGCCTGTGTGGAAAGCTAGCAACAGCTTAATTCTTACAGATATGTTAGTACTATCCTAGCATCACTGTTTACTTGTAAAGTGGGGTTTGTGTTGTGTTGTACCAAAGTCCTGTGTTACAGCCCTGACATCACTCTGTATATATCTATAATCCTGGATTACAGCCCTGACATCACTATTCATACCTATCATCCTGTTTTACAGCTCTGACATCACTCTTTATACCTATCATCCTGTTTTACAGCCCTGACATCGCTATTCATACCTATTATCCTTTGTAACAGCCCTGACATCACTTTATCCTGTGTTACAGCTCTGACATCACCCTGTGTACCTGTCATCCTGTGTTACAGCTCTGACATCACTCTGTGTACCTGTCATCCTGTGTTACAGCCCTGACATCACTCTGTGTACCTATCATCCTGTGTTACAGCTCTGACATCACCCTGGGTACCTATCATCCTGTGTTACAGCCCTGACATCACTCTGTGTACCTATCATCCTGTGTTACAGCCCTGACATCACTCTTTATACCTGTAATCTTGTGTTACAGCCCTGACATCATTCTGTATACCTATCATCCTGTGTTACAGCTCTGACATCACCCTGTGTACCTATCATCCTGTGTTACAGCCCTGACATCACTTTGTATACCTATCATACTCTGTTACAGCCCTGACATCACTTTGTATACCTATCATACTCTGTTACAGCCCTGAAATCACTTTGTATACCTATCATCCTGTGTTACAGCCCTGACATCACTTTGTATGCCTATTATCCTGTGTTACAGCCCTGACATCACTATTTATACCTATTATCCTGTGTAACAGCCCTGACACCACTCGTTATACATATCATCCTGTGTTACAGCCCTAACATCACTCGTTATATATATCATTCCGTGTTACAGCCCTGACATCACTCTGTATACCTATTATCCTGTGTTACAGCCCTGACATCACTCTTTATACCTGTAACCATGTGTTACAGCCCTGACACCACTCATTATACATATCATCCCGTGTTACAGCCCTGACATCACTCTTTATACCTGTAATCTTGTGTTCCACCTCTGACATCACTCTATAAACCTATCATCATGTGTTACAGCCCTGACATCACTCTATATACCTGTAATCTTGTGTTACAGCCCTGACATCATTCTGTATACATATCATCCCGTGTTACAGCCCTGACATATCACTCTTTATACCTGTAATCCTGTGTTACAGCCCTGACATCACTCTTTATACCTGTAACCATGTGTTACAGCCCTGACACCACTCGTTATACATATCATCCCGTGTTACAGCCCTGACATCACTCTTTATACCTGTAATCTTGTGTTACAGCCCTGACATATCTCTCTTTATACCTGTAATCTTGTGTTACAGCCCTGACATATCACTATTTATACCTGTAATCTTGTGTTACAGCTCTTACATCACTCTTTATTCCTGTAATCTTGTGTTACAGCCCTGACATATCACTCTTTATACCTGTAATCTTGTGTTACAGCCCTGACATCACTCTTTATACCTATCATCCTGTGTTACAGCCCTGACATCACTCTTTATACCTGTAATCCTGTGTTACAGCCCTGACATCACTCTTTACACCTGTAATCTTGTGTTACAGCCCTGACATCGCTCTTTATACCTGTAATCTTGTGTTACAGCCCTGACATCACTCTTTATACCTGTAATCTTGTGTTACAGCCCTGACATCACTATTTATACCTATCATCCTGTGTTGCAGTGCTGTCATTATCTGTAAACATATCATCCCGTGTTACAGCCCTGACATCACTCTTTATACCTGTAATCTTGTGTTACAGCTCTTACATCACTTTGTAGCAAAGTCCTGATATACCTGTAATCATGTTACAGCCCTGACATCACTTTTTATACCTATAATCAAATGTTACAGCCCTTAATCACTCTTTATATCTGTAATCTTTTGTTACAGCCATGCAATCCCTTTTTATACCTGTAATCTTGTGTTGCACTGCTGTCATCATTCTGTATACATACCTGCATATAACCTATGTTACAGCCCTGACATCACCTTTTTATCTTTAATTCTGTGTTACAGCCCTGACATCACCTAATTATCTGTAATTCTGTGTTACAGCCCTGACATCACCTAATTATTTGTAATTCTGTGTTACAGCTCTGACATCACTTTTTATCTGTAATTCTGTGTTACAGCCCTGGCATCACTTTTTATCTGTAATTCTGTGTTACAGTCCTGGCATCACTTTTTTATCTGCAATTCTGTGTTACAGTCCTGGCATCACTTTTTATCTGTAATTCTGTGTTACAGTCCTGGTATCACTTTTTATCTGTAATTCTGTGTTACAGCCCTGAAATCTCCTATTTATCTGTAATTCTGTGTTCCAGTCCTGGCATCATTTTTTACCTGTATCTTGTTATGCAGCCTTGACAAAAATAATTACCTGTATTTTGTTATTAACTTACAGCACTGGCCTCACTTTTCACCTGTTTCCTGGCGCGTTACCTCTTCACCTATGACTGGGATTGGAATACAGGGATGATGTTTGGAGCCATACTCAGTGCCACAGATCCTGTAGCCGTGGTTGCTTTGCTCAGGGATTTAGGTAGGAACATTTTAATAGAATTATTTCATCTGTAGATTTAGCTGCCATTCTGGCCATGTTGTAACATATTCCATTTTCTTGCTGTTTTGTGCTAGAGTAAAGAAGCTTTCTGTTTTGTGCTAGAGTAAAATAGCTTGCTGTTTTGTGCTAGAATAAAGTAGGTTGCTGTTTTGTGCTAGAGTAAAGTAGCTTGCTGTTTTGTGCTAGAATCAAGTAGTTTACTGTTTTGTGCTAGAGTAAAGTAGCTTGTTGTTTTGTGCTAGAGTAAAGTAGCTTGCTGTTTTGTGCTAGAATAAAGTAGCTTGCTGTTTTGTGCTAGAGTAAAGTAGCTTGCTGTTTTGTGCTAGAGTAAAGTAGCTTGCTGTTTTGTGCTAGAATAAAGTAGTTTACTGTTTTGTGCTAGAATAAAGTAGCTTGCTGTTTTGTGCTATGCTAAAGTAGCTTGCTGTTTTGTGCTAGAGTAAAGTAGCTTGCTGTTTTGTGCTGGAGTAAAGTAGCTTGCTGTTTTGTGCTAGAGTAAAGAAGCTTGCTAGGTTTTGTATATTACTTGGTTGTTACATTACATAATATAATCATTGTAGTTTTACTGTCATCAGCTACAATTTTTATTTTACCTGATGTTTGAAATATACATCTCACTAAAGGAATACATTTAGTTAACATGCAATTACCACGTACCATCTGAAGAAAACCATTTTTCTTTATACATTTTAATGTTTTTCACAAGGCCAACAACTGCAGATCTATATTGACTGCTGAAATGTAGTTTGACATTGTCAAGTTGTATAGGAATAAAGTCATGAATCATTTATAAATATGTCCCCAATTCTCTTTGCAAAGACAGTGATAAATGACTTTATTTTCAAAAAGCTTTCATAAATAGTAGAACATTTTATCTGATTTGTTGAAAATAATATGATTGTTATTTAATTTATAACATTTTCCACAGGAGCATCTAAAAAGCTGGCTATGGTGATTGAAGGAGAATCCCTCCTGAACGACGGAGCAGCAATTGTCTTCTTCCAGATATTTTTGAAACTTTCAACATCTGGAGCAGAAATAGATGGTAAAATTGATAATATTTCCTGATCTCTACTGATCAGTTAAAGTAGGAATCATATACTTTTGTAAATAAGGCAATAATCCTGTATATACTTAAATGTGGCACCACTAACAAAAGTAACAATGGTAATCACTGTTGATGCTGTAAATCTTTAATATTACATCACTATCACAGCTGTATATATAAATCTGGCATCATTATAATGCTGTTTTTATACCTGAATGTAGAATCATTATATAATCTGTATATTTACATGTGGTGGCATCTCTGTTAATACTTGATAAATATACTTTAGTGTGGCATCAATGTCAATGATGTATATACATAAATCTGGCATCACTAATAAAGCTGTGTACTTAAATGTTATGGCATCTCTGTCAATGCTGTTTATATAATTAACTAAGGCATCAATATCAATGCTATGCTGTATGAACATCATTCTGGCATTACTAACAATCTGTATACTTCAATGTGGTGGCATCATTATCTTTGCAGTATGAACTTAAATGTGGCATCTCTATCATTCATGCATAAACTTAAATGTGGAATCACTATCAATCCTGCATATAATTAAATGTGGCATCACTATCAATCCAGTATATACTTAAATATGGCATCACTATCAATTCTGAATATAATTAAATGTGGCATCACTATCAATCCTGCATATAGTTAAATGTGGCATCACTATCAATCCTGTATATACTTAAATGTGGCATCTCTATCAATGCTGTTTCCTTAAATGTGGCATTACTGTCATTGCTGTAGACTTTAATGTGGTATTACTATTAATACTGTATAAGCTTTAATGCAGTATCACACAGTAAGTGTTGTAAACTTAAATGTGGCATCTCTTTCAGTGCTGGTTACCTAAATGTGGCATCTTTATTAATTCTTTTCCATGTGTACTGTTAACTGTACTATATATACTTAAATGTGGCATCATCTCATATACTATGTAGTGTTTATGATCTTTTCTTTGAAGAGAAAAATGTAAGATCAAATCAAAGGCGTGCCACTGTAATTGAAAATGTTCAATTTTTGAAGCAGCAAAGGAAATTTTCCATGCATTACACGTTAATGTTATGAATGTGATGAAGCTTTAAAGACCTAGTGAACCTTTTGTATGGTACACTATATTAATTTTATGATTGTGATCATGATCATGACACTGATTTGATTTATATAGTTCTTGCACAGTTTACATTTGAATAAAGAAGACAAGTTACTCCTGAATCTAGGTTTCCAATAACATAACTCCGCCGTTAAATGGTGCTGAGTAGTTTTGACTTGTTAAGCGGGCCATCATTGGAGTACAACTGTTTGGTAACTGTTACACGGTGGTGATGGAGACCAAATGCAATGATCCTAGCAGCTTAGAACTAGTCATGCAGCACTAGTATGAAAGAGTTCTAGAAATCTAGATACAGGAGTTTCTTCTTTTTCTTCTATTTATTTGCTTAACATTAAGAGGGCTTCTGTATGTAACTGTATAAGAATATGGTCTGTGTAATTGTTGACCTGCATCTCTTGTTTCCTCACAGTTTCAATTGGTAAGGATAATACCAACACGTAGTTCAGCTTCCTGTAGAACCCGACTAACTGCTCCCATTTTAACTTGTATATGGCTGCACATGGACATGTTTGCCACAATCCTCTTGATAATGTTCCTGATTAACACTGAGGCCAACCTTTCTTCCATAATTATAATAACTTCTTACAAAAAAATAAAAAAATTGTAACCAAGACCTATTTAGATATAAATTATCAAATATATGTACAAAGGTTATACCCCATGGTAAAATATCTGTCATAAGCATTGTTAGGATTCTATATATACAAAATGTACAGGTATAATAGCTTTGTGAACATCCTTTACATAATTATCTGTCTGTCTCTGCAATTCTCCCAGTGATTGTTTATTTTTCTTTCCTACAGTGTGACAATTCTTTGTGTGATTTTCTGTCTGTCTGTCTGCAATTCTTCCTGTGATTGTCTATCTGTCCTACTGTGACAATTCTTTGTGTGATTGTCTATCTGTCCTACTGTGACAATTCTTCCTGTGATTGTCTATCTGTCCTACTGTGACAATTCTTCCTGTGATTGTCTATCTGTCCTACTGTGACAATTCTTTGTGTGATTGTCTATCTGTCCTACTGTGACAATTCTTCCTGTGATTGTCTATCTGTCCTACTGTGACAATTCTTCCTGTGATTGTCTATCTGTCCTACTGTGACAATTCTTCCTGTGATTGTCTATCTGTCCTACTGTGACAATTCTTCCTGTGATTGTCTATCTGTCCTACTGTGACAATTCTTCCTGTGATTGTCTATCTGTCCTACTGTGACAATTCTTCCTGTGATTGTCTATCTGTCCTACTGTGACAATTCTTTGTGTGATTGTCTATCTGTCCTACTGTGACAATTCTTCCTGTGATTGTCTATCTGTCCTACTGTGACAATTCTTCCTGTGATTGTCTATCTGTCCTACTGTGACAATTCTTCCTGTGATTGTCTATCTGTCCTACTGTGACAATTCTTCCTGTGATTGTCTATCTGTCCTACTGTGACAATTCTTCCTGTGATTGTCTATCTGTCCTACTGTGACAATTCTTTGTGTGATTGTCTATCTGTCCTACTGTGACAATTCTTCCTGTGATTGTCTATCTGTCCTACTGTGACAATTCTTCCTGTGATTGTCTATCTGTCCTACTGTGACAATTCTTCCTGTGATTGTCTATCTGTCCTACTGTGACAATTCTTCCTGTGATTGTCTATCTGTCCTACTGTGACAATTCTTCCTGTGATTGTCTATCTGTCCTACTGTGACAATTCTTCCTGTGATTGTCTATCTGTCCTACTGTGACAATTCTTTGTGTGATTGTCTATCTGTCCTACTGTGACAATTCTTCCTGTGATTGTCTATCTGTCCTACTGTGACAATTCTTCCTGTGATTGTCTATCTGTCCTACTGTGACAATTCTTCCTGTGATTGTCTATCTGTCCTACTGTGACAATTCTTCCTGTGATTGTCTATCTGTCCTACTGTGACAATTCTTCCTGTGATTGTCTATCTGTCCTACTGTGACAATTCTTCCTGTGATTGTCTATCTGTCCTACTGTGACAATTCTTCCTGTGATTGTCTATCTGTCCTACTGTGACAATTCTTCCTGTGATTGTCTATCTGTCCTACTGTGACAATTCTTCCTGTGATTGTCTATCTGTCCTACTGTGACAATTCTTCCTGTGATTGTCTATCTGTCCTACTGTGACAATTCTTCCTGTGATTGTCTATCTGTCCTACTGTGACAATTCTTCCTGTGATTGTCTATCTGTCCTACTGTGACAATTCTTCCTGTGATTGTCTATCTGTCCTACTGTGACAATTCTTCCTGTGATTGTCTATCTGTCCTACTGTGACAATTCTTCCTGTGATTGTCTATCTGTCCTACTGTGACAATTCTTCCTGTGATTGTCTATCTGTCCTACTGTGACAATTCTTCCTGTGATTGTCTATCTGTCCTACTGTGACAATTCTTCCTGTGATTGTCTATCTGTCCTACTGTGACAATTCTTCCTGTGATTGTCTATCTGTCCTACTGTGACAATTCTTCCTGTGATTGTCTATCTGTCCTACTGTGACAATTCTTCCTGTGATTGTCTATCTGTCCTACTGTGACAATTCTTTGTGTGATTGTCTATCTGTCCTACTGTGACAATTCTTCCTGTGATTGTCTATCTGTCCTACTGTGACAATTCTTCCTGTGATTGTCTATCTGTCCTACTGTGACAATTCTTCCTGTGATTGTCTATCTGTCCTACTGTGACAATTCTTCCTGTGATTGTCTATCTGTCCTTCTGTGACAATTCTTTGTGTGATTGTCTATCTGTCCTACTGTGACAATTCTTCCTGTGATTGTCTATCTGTCCTACTGTGACAATTCTTCCTGTTTGCTTGTTTGTTTGTCTGCGATTCTTGACCTTTCGTTGTTTTTCTGTCCTAGTGTGACAATTCCTTGTGATTGTTTGTATACATGTATTTTCCCTTCTGTCTAACATTTTTCCTCTGATCTTCCATCTGTTTACATTCTTTTTGTCGTTGTTTGTCTTCTGTCTATCTGTCATTCTTCCTCTGAATATTTGCACGTCCATCTTTTGATCTTTACATTTTTTTTGTGATTGTCTATCTATCTACTTTCTTTCTATGGCTTTTCATCCTTCTTTCTATCAGTTCGTCCACCAAATTGTTCTGTGATGTCTATATGTCTGTCATGTGATTTTAACTGATGTCAGTAATATTTTCTAATAATTCGTCAATACAGTATAATTATACCTCTTGTTAATCCTATTTCTATTTCGTCATTTCGCTTATTCTATCGATAACTGTTACATTCTTTTGCTTTTGCTGATCTTTATCCTTGTAACCTGGTCTCTCCTATCCTATCCTTTTTTCATCCTTATGCTGTGTCCATCCATGTTATTATATTTGCTAATTTTATCATTCTCACCTCCACCTGCTTATCCTGTTGTCTGTACATCCATTTCCTCATCCTGTTCTTGTTCCTTTACTAGTCTTATCACTTTGAAGTATTTACTTTATTTACTTTCCCCATACATATGTTACTTCTATTGATGCTATTTCTAATTGCTTTCCTTTCTGTGTTATTATGACGTAACATTAGCCTCCTCCACTCTGGGTACCTGGATTATTGCATTATATCCTGTCTTTGCCTCGGTAATAGATGACATATATACATCTATATTGGCTTTTTAACTACTCTTCTCCAATTTACCTAGAAAAATTGACCACCATTGTAACCCACAAACACGAGTTTATAGGGTGGTGTTATCTGATGTCACATCATAAGAATAAGACAACTTTACTTTTCTGTTTTCTTTAAGAGATACAGCATGTTTTTTTTTTGTTTTTTTTTTTTATATATTTGATGTTTTGTGGTAGATTATATATAAAACAAATATGAGAAATAATATACAGGTTGTATTGAATTGAAAATGAAAGAAATATTGTTCTGGTTACTGTCATCATTCCTATATATAAGGAAATAGAAGCGCATGTTTTCATACAGTATCTGATTTTTTAAAAGTATATGATATGAGCCTAGATTTTGAGATTACTGTTATGTTTATGAGTTATCAGGTATTTATATTAAATATCACAATTTTTAATGTTCAAATTTTAATCATTAATTTTTCAGCTGGTGAAATAATTTGGGAATTTGTGCGTGTGGCAGTCGGTGGCCCTTTATGGGGATTTCTGATGGCAAAAATAACTCTCTTCTGGTTGTCACGTATATTCAATGATGCCCTTACAGAAATCACCATTACGCTGGCCTCAACATATATCACCTACTACATGGGTAAGTGTAAATACAGACCCTACATACATAACCTACTACATGGGTAAGTGTACTTAGAGGTCCTACATACATAACCTACAGCAGGAGAAAGTGTAAATACAGGTCCTTCATACATCACCTCCTACATGGGTAGGTGTAATTACAGGTCTTACATACATCACCTACTACATTGGTCCGTGTAATTACAGGTCCTACATGCATCACCTACAACAGGGGAAAGTTTAAATACAGGTCCTATATACATCACCTACAACAGGGGAAGTGTAAATACAGGTCCTACACACATCACCTACTACATGGGTAGGTGTAATTTCAGGTCCTACATACATCACCTGCTACATGGGTAAGTGTAATTACGGGGCCTACATACATCACCTACAACATGTTAAAGCGTAAATACAAGTACTACATACATAACCTACTACATGGGTAGGTGTAATTACAGGGCCTACATACATCACCTATAACAGGGGAAAGCGTAAATACAGGTCCTACATACGTCACCTACAACAGGGGAAAGTGGAAATACAGGGCCTACATACATCACCCACAACAGGGGAAAGTGTAAATAAAGGTCCTACATACATCACCTATTACATACATCACCTACTACATTGGAAAGTGTAATTACAGGTCCTATATACATCACCTACTACATGGGTAAGGGTAATTACGGGTCCTACATACATCACCTATAACAGGGGAAAGTGTAAATACAGACCCTACACACATCACCTACTACATGGGTAGGTGTAATTTCAGGTCCTACATACATCACCTTCTACATGGGTAAGTGTAATTACCGGGCCTACATACATCACCTACAACATGTTAAAGCGTAAATACAAGTACTACATACATAACCTACTACATGGGTAGGTGTAATTACAGGGCCTACATACATCACCCACAACAGGGGCAAGTGTAAATACAGGTCCTACGTACATCACCTACAACAGGGGAAAGAGTAAATACAGGTCCTACATACGTCACCTACAACAGGGGAAAGTGTAAGTACAGGTCCTACATACATCACATACTACATGGGTAGGTGTAATTTCAGGTCCTACATACATCACCTGCTACATGGGTAAGTGTAATTACGGGGCCTACATACAGCACCTAAAACAGGGGAAAGTGTAAATAAAAGTCCTACATACATCACCTACTACAGGGGTAAGTGTAAATACAGGTCCTACAGACATCACCTACTACATGGGAAAGTGTAATTACAGGTCCTACACACATCACCTACTACATGGGTAGGTGTAATTTCAGGTCCTACATACATCACCTGCTACATGGGTAAGTGTAATTACGGGGCCTACATACATCACCTACCACAGGGGAAAGGGGAAATACAGGTCCTACCTACATCACCTACAACAGGGGAAAGGGTAAATAAAAGGCCTACATACATCACCTTCTACATGGGTAAGTGTAATTACGGGGCCTACATACAGCACCTAAAACAGGGGAAAGTGTAAATAAAGGTCCTACATACATCACCTACGACATGGGTAAGTGTAATTACATGTCCTACATACATCACCTACAGCAGGGGAAAGTGTAAATACAGCCCCTACATACATCACCTACTACTGGGGATAGTGTAAATACAGACCCTACACACATCACCTACTACATGGGTAGGTGTAATTACAGGTCCTACATCCATCACCTACTACATGGGTAGGTGTAATTTCAGGTCCTACATACATCACCTCCTACATGGGTAGGTGTAATTACAGGTCTTACATACATCACCTACTACATTGGAAAGTGTAATTACAGGTCCTACGTACATCACCTACTACATGGGTAGGTGTAATTACAGGGCCTACATACATCACCTATAACAGGGGGAAGGGTAAATACAGGGCCTACATACATCACCTATAACAGGGGAAAGTGTAAATACCGGTCCTACATACATCACCTACTACTGGGGATAGTGTAAATACAGACCCTACACACATCACCTACTACATGGGTAGGTGTAATTACAGGGCCTACATACATCACCTACAAAAGGGGAAAGTGTAAATACAGGGCCTACATACATCACCCACAACAGGGGCAAGTGTAAATACAGGTCCTACCTACATCACCTACAACCGGGGAAAGGGTAAATACAGGTCCTACCTACATCACCTACTACATGGGTAAGTGTAATTACAGGTACTACATACATCACCTACTACATGGGTAGGTGTAATTACAGGTCCTACATACATCACCTACTACAGGGGAAAGTGTAAATACAGACCCTACATATATCACCTACTACATGGGGAAGTGTAATTACAGGGCCTACAAACATCACCTACAACAGGGGTAAGTGTAAATATAGGTCTTACATACATCACCTACTACATACATCACCTACCACAGGGGAAAGGGGAAATACAGGGCCTACATACATCACCTACAGCAGGGGAAAGTGTAAATACACGTCCTACATACATCACCTATTACATACATCACCTACTACGTTGGTAAGTGTAATTACAGGTTCTACATACATCACCTACTACTGGGGATAGTGTAAATACAGACCCTACATATATCACCTACTACATGGGTAGGTGTAATTTCAGGTCCTACCTTAATCACCTCAAACAGGGGAAAGTGGAAATACAGGGCCTACATACATCACCTACAGCAGGGGAAAGTGTAAATACCGGTCCTACATACATCACCTACTACGTTGGTAAGTGTAATTACAGGCCCTACATAAATCACCTACAACAGGGGAAGTGTAAATACAGGTCCTTCCTACATCACCTACTACATGGGTAAGTGTAATTTCAGGTCCTACATACATCACATACTACATGGGTAAGTGTAATTACAGGTCCTACATACATCACCTACTACATAGGTAAGTGTAATTACAGGTCCTACTTACATCACCTACTACATGGGTAAGTGTAATTACAGGTCCTGCTTACATGAGAAAGTGTAACTACTGTATACAATAGCTACTAAATTAGTGTAATTATAAGGGCCCCTCATCAAAGATGCGAGTGTCCTCTGGTAATCACGGTGTCTGTCTCTCCCTCTATCCGTCCACTTGCTTTTCAGAGATGATTTGTTTCTCCATCCCTAAACATACTACATTGTCATGTACATTATGTAATTTTCATAAGGGTATTGTTATCACTTAGAATGAGAAAAAATATTTATTTTTTTCCAATTTTCTCTCTTTGAAATACTGAATATTTCCCCTGGTGTCTTTTTTTAATTTTATGTTTCAAATTTTTACTTCAGTTTTGTTTTTGTCTGAATTTCAGATGAAAAGAATTTGCAAAATATGAGCAGCAATACATTAAGATTTTATCTAATTACAACTACAACAAGATATTTACGTACCCTCTCTTGATCTGTTGTCACTGTTCTTTAAAAAAATATTACCGACCAATATAGTTCTCTTAATAATTGTGATGTTATTGTATTACAGCTGATCATACAGAAATGATAACTGTTTCTTTTCCAGGTGAGGTGTTCCTTGGGGTTTCAGGTGTGCTTTCTGTTGTTGTGCTGGGCGTAGCTATGAATGCTCAGCGAACAATGATCAGTCCGGAGGTGGAAAAATTCTTACATAGGTAAAAAAAATGTTTTACCTAATCCATGTATATTAAAGTCTTTATGTTTTAAAAACTTCTATATATCTCAGCATTACTGTAATCTGTGATTCTAACAACAGTAAAATACAGGGTTTTACTTTTACCTACACAGTGCAAATTGTATTATTTACAGTCATGATTGAAACAACCTAACCGTTTTTGGGGAATTGTGTTCTTAAGCAAATGTACAAAAAACCTTCTTTATAATCTATAATACATTTTTGTATTTATGTCAATCCAAGTAAAAAAGTTGTTAATTTATTAATTTCAATTTCTACATAAGTAATATTTATTTGCTCAAAAAATAAATCAGTCCAATTTGCAGTTACTGTATAGATAAAAATTATAGTAATGTTTTTTTGCTTCTTCCTTAGGTTTTGGGAGACAATGGCTTACATAGCAAATACACTTATATTTATCATTGTTGGGATGGTCATATCGGAAACGGCCATTTTTGAAATCCATGGAAAAGACTGGTTCTTCATGTTTGCTCTGTACTTCGGAATCTTTGTCATAAGGTCAGTGTTCCCTGTCTATAATTTGGTATAAGGATTGCCATGTTTTCTCTATACCTTGGAATCTTTGTTATAAGGTCAGTGTTCCCTGTCTATAATTTGGTATAAGGATTGCCATGTTTTCTCTATACCTTGGAATCTTTGTTATAAGGTCAGTGTTCCCTGTCTATAATTTGGTATAAGGATTGCCATGTTTTCTCTATACCTTGGAATCTTTGTTATAAGGTCAGTGTTCCCTGTCTATAATTTGGTATAAGGATTGCCATGTTTTCTCTATACCTTGGAATCTTTGTTATAAGGTCAGTGTTCCCTGTCTATAATTTGGTATAAGGATTGCCATGTTTTCTCTATACCTTGGAATCTTTGTTATAAGGTCAGTGTTCCCTGTCTATAATTTGGTATAAGGATTGCCATGTTTTCTCTATACCTTGGAATCTTTGTTATAAGGTCAGTGTTCCCTGTCTATAATTTGGTATAAGGATTGCCATGTTTTCTCTATACCTTGGAATCTTTGTTATAAGGTCAGTGTTCCCTGTCTATAATTTGGTATAAGGATTGCCATGTTTTCTCTATACCTTGGAATCTTTGTTATAAGGTCAGTGTTCCCTGTCTATAATTTGGTATAAGGATTGCCATGTTTTCTCTATACCTTGGAATCTTTGTTATAAGGTCAGTGTTCCCTGTCTATAATTTGGTATAAGGATTGCCATGTTTTCTCTATACCTTGGAATCTTTGTTATAAGGTCAGTGTTCCCTGTCTATAATTTGGTATAAGGATTGCCATGTTTTCTCTATACCTTGGAATCTTTGTTATAAGGTCAGTGTTCCCTGTCTATAATTTGGTATAAGGATTGCCATGTTTTCTCTATACCTTGGAATCTTTGTTATAAGGTCAGTGTTCCCTGTCTATAATTTGGTATAAGGATTGCCATGTTTTCTCTATACCTTGGAATCTTTGTTATAAGGTCAGTGTTCCCTGTCTATAATTTGGTATAAGGATTGCCATGTTTTCTCTATACCTTGGAATCTTTGTTATAAGGTCAGTGTTCCCTGTCTATAATTTGGTATAAGGATTGCCATGTTTTCTCTATACCTTGGAATCTTTGTTATAAGGTCAGTGTTCCCTGTCTATAATTTGGTATAAGGATTGCCATGTTTTCTCTATACCTTGGAATCTTTGTTATAAGGTCAGTGTTCCCTGTCTATAATTTGGTATAAGGATTGCCATGTTTTCTCTATACCTTGGAATCTTTGTTATAAGGTCAGTGTTCCCTGTCTATAATTTGGTATAAGGATTGCCATGTTTTCTCTATACCTTGGAATCTTTGTTATAAGGTCAGTGTTCCCTGTCTATAATTTGGTATAAGGATTGCCATGTTTTCTCTATACCTTGGAATCTTTGTTATAAGGTCAGTGTTCCCTGTCTATAATTTGGTATAAGGATTGCCATGTTTTCTCTATACCTTGGAATCTTTGTTATAAGGTCAGTGTTCCCTGTCTATAATTTGGTATAAGGATTGCCATGTTTTCTCTATACCTTGGAATCTTTGTTATAAGGTCAGTGTTCCCTGTCTATAATTTGGTATAAGGATTGCCATGTTTTCTCTATACCTTGGAATCTTTGTTATAAGGTCAGTGTTCCCTGTCTATAATTTGGTATAAGGATTGCCATGTTTTCTCTATACCTTGGAATCTTTGTTATAAGGTCAGTGTTCCCTGTCTATAATTTGGTATAAGGATTGCCATGTTTTCTCTATACCTTGGAATCTTTGTTATAAGGTCAGTGTTCCCTGTCTATAATTTGGTATAAGGATTGCCATGTTTTCTCTATACCTTGGAATCTTTGTTATAAGGTCAGTGTTCCCTGTCTATAATTTGGTATAAGGATTGCCATGTTTTCTCTATACCTTGGAATCTTTGTTATAAGGTCAGTGTTCCCTGTCTATAATTTGGTATAAGGATTGCCATGTTTTCTCTATACCTTGGAATCTTTGTTATAAGGTCAGTGTTCCCTGTCTATAATTTGGTATAAGGATTGCCATGTTTTCTCTATACCTTGGAATCTTTGTTATAAGGTCAGTGTTCCCTGTCTATAATTTGGTATAAGGATTGCCATGTTTTCTCTATACCTTGGAATCTTTGTTATAAGGTCAGTGTTCCCTGTCTATAATTTGGTATAAGGATTGCCATGTTTTCTCTATACCTTGGAATCTTTGTTATAAGGTCAGTGTTCCCTGTCTATAATTTGGTATAAGGATTGCCATGTTTTCTCTATACCTTGGAATCTTTGTTATAAGGTCAGTGTTCCCTGTCTATAATTTGGTATAAGGATTGCCATGTTTTCTCTATACCTTGGAATCTTTGTTATAAGGTCAGTGTTCCCTGTCTATAATTTGGTATAAGGATTGCCATGTTTTCTCTATACCTTGGAATCTTTGTTATAAGGTCAGTGTTCCCTGTCTATAATTTGGTATAAGGATTGCCATGTTTTCTCTATACCTTGGAATCTTTGTTATAAGGTCAGTGTTCCCTGTCTATAATTTGGTATAAGGATTGCCATGTTTTCTCTATACCTTGGAATCTTTGTTATAAGGTCAGTGTTCCCTGTCTATAATTTGGTATAAGGATTGCCATGTTTTCTCTATACCTTGGAATCTTTGTTATAAGGTCAGTGTTCCCTGTCTATAATTTGGTATAAGGATTGCCATGTTTTCTCTATACCTTGGAATCTTTGTTATAAGGTCAGTGTTCCCTGTCTATAATTTGGTATAAGGATTGCCATGTTTTCTCTATACCTTGGAATCTTTGTTATAAGGTCAGTGTTCCCTGTCTATAATTTGGTATAAGGATTGCCATGTTTTCTCTATACCTTGGAATCTTTGTTATAAGGTCAGTGTTCCCTGTCTATAATTTGGTATAAGGATTGCCATGTTTTCTCTATACCTTGGAATCTTTGTTATAAGGTCAGTGTTCCCTGTCTATAATTTGGTATAAGGATTGCCATGTTTTCTCTATACCTTGGAATCTTTGTTATAAGGTCAGTGTTCCCTGTCTATAATTTGGTATAAGGATTGCCATGTTTTCTCTATACCTTGGAATCTTTGTTATAAGGTCAGTGTTCCCTGTCTATAATTTGGTATAAGGATTGCCATGTTTTCTCTATACCTTGGAATCTTTGTTATAAGGTCAGTGTTCCCTGTCTATAATTTGGTATAAGGATTGCCATGTTTTCTCTATACCTTGGAATCTTTGTTATAAGGTCAGTGTTCCCTGTCTATAATTTGGTATAAGGATTGCCATGTTTTCTCTATACCTTGGAATCTTTGTTATAAGGTCAGTGTTCCCTGTCTATAATTTGGTATAAGGATTGCCATGTTTTCTCTATACCTTGGAATCTTTGTTATAAGGTCAGTGTTCCCTGTCTATAATTTGGTATAAGGATTGCCATGTTTTCTCTATACCTTGGAATCTTTGTTATAAGGTCAGTGTTCCCTGTCTATAATTTGGTATAAGGATTGCCATGTTTTCTCTATACCTTGGAATCTTTGTTATAAGGTCAGTGTTCCCTGTCTATAATTTGGTATAAGGATTGCCATGTTTTCTCTATACCTTGGAATCTTTGTTATAAGGTCAGTGTTCCCTGTCTATAATTTGGTATAAGGATTGCCATGTTTTCTCTATACCTTGGAATCTTTGTTATAAGGTCAGTGTTCCCTGTCTATAATTTGGTATAAGGATTGCCATGTTTTCTCTATACCTTGGAATCTTTGTTATAAGGTCAGTGTTCCCTGTCTATAATTTGGTATAAGGATTGCCATGTTTTCTCTATACCTTGGAATCTTTGTTATAAGGTCAGTGTTCCCTGTCTATAATTTGGTATAAGGATTGCCATGTTTTCTCTATACCTTGGAATCTTTGTTATAAGGTCAGTGTTCCCTGTCTATAATTTGGTATAAGGATTGCCATGTTTTCTCTATACCTTGGAATCTTTGTTATAAGGTCAGTGTTCCCTGTCTATAATTTGGTATAAGGATTGCCATGTTTTCTCTATACCTTGGAATCTTTGTTATAAGGTCAGTGTTCCCTGTCTATAATTTGGTATAAGGATTGCCATGTTTTCTCTATACCTTGGAATCTTTGTTATAAGGTCAGTGTTCCCTGTCTATAATTTGGTATAAGGATTGCCATGTTTTCTCTATACCTTGGAATCTTTGTTATAAGGTCAGTGTTCCCTGTCTATAATTTGGTATAAGGATTGCCATGTTTTCTCTATACCTTGGAATCTTTGTTATAAGGTCAGTGTTCCCTGTCTATAATTTGGTATAAGGATTGCCATGTTTTCTCTATACCTTGGAATCTTTGTTATAAGGTCAGTGTTCCCTGTCTATAATTTGGTATAAGGATTGCCATGTTTTCTCTATACCTTGGAATCTTTGTTATAAGGTCAGTGTTCCCTGTCTATAATTTGGTATAAGGATTGCCATGTTTTCTCTATACCTTGGAATCTTTGTTATAAGGTCAGTGTTCCCTGTCTATAATTTGGTATAAGGATTGCCATGTTTTCTCTATACCTTGGAATCTTTGTTATAAGGTCAGTGTTCCCTGTCTATAATTTGGTATAAGGATTGCCATGTTTTCTCTATACCTTGGAATCTTTGTTATAAGGTCAGTGTTCCCTGTCTATAATTTGGTATAAGGATTGCCATGTTTTCTCTATACCTTGGAATCTTTGTTATAAGGTCAGTGTTCCCTGTCTATAATTTGGTATAAGGATTGCCATGTTTTCTCTATACCTTGGAATCTTTGTTATAAGGTCAGTGTTCCCTGTCTATAATTTGGTATAAGGATTGCCATGTTTTCTCTATACCTTGGAATCTTTGTTATAAGGTCAGTGTTCCCTGTCTATAATTTGGTATAAGGATTGCCATGTTTTCTCTATACCTTGGAATCTTTGTTATAAGGTCAGTGTTCCCTGTCTATAATTTGGTATAAGGATTGCCATGTTTTCTCTATACCTTGGAATCTTTGTTATAAGGTCAGTGTTCCCTGTCTATAATTTGGTATAAGGATTGCCATGTTTTCTCTATACCTTGGAATCTTTGTTATAAGGTCAGTGTTCCCTGTCTATAATTTGGTATAAGGATTGCCATGTTTTCTCTATACCTTGGAATCTTTGTTATAAGGTCAGTGTTCCCTGTCTATAATTTGGTATAAGGATTGCCATGTTTTCTCTATACCTTGGAATCTTTGTTATAAGGTCAGTGTTCCCTGTCTATAATTTGGTATAAGGATTGCCATGTTTTCTCTATACCTTGGAATCTTTGTTATAAGGTCAGTGTTCCCTGTCTATAATTTGGTATAAGGATTGCCATGTTTTCTCTATACCTTGGAATCTTTGTTATAAGGTCAGTGTTCCCTGTCTATAATTTGGTATAAGGATTGCCATGTTTTCTCTATACCTTGGAATCTTTGTTATAAGGTCAGTGTTCCCTGTCTATAATTTGGTATAAGGATTGCCATGTTTTCTCTATACCTTGGAATCTTTGTTATAAGGTCAGTGTTCCCTGTCTATAATTTGGTATAAGGATTGCCATGTTTTCTCTATACCTTGGAATCTTTGTTATAAGGTCAGTGTTCCCTGTCTATAATTTGGTATAAGGATTGCCATGTTTTCTCTATACCTTGGAATCTTTGTTATAAGGTCAGTGTTCCCTGTCTATAATTTGGTATAAGGATTGCCATGTTTTCTCTATACCTTGGAATCTTTGTTATAAGGTCAGTGTTCCCTGTCTATAATTTGGTATAAGGATTGCCATGTTTTCTCTATACCTTGGAATCTTTGTTATAAGGTCAGTGTTCCCTGTCTATAATTTGGTATAAGGATTGCCATGTTTTCTCTATACCTTGGAATCTTTGTTATAAGGTCAGTGTTCCCTGTCTATAATTTGGTATAAGGATTGCCATGTTTTCTCTATACCTTGGAATCTTTGTTATAAGGTCAGTGTTCCCTGTCTATAATTTGGTATAAGGATTGCCATGTTTTCTCTATACCTTGGAATCTTTGTTATAAGGTCAGTGTTCCCTGTCTATAATTTGGTATAAGGATTGCCATGTTTTCTCTATACCTTGGAATCTTTGTTATAAGGTCAGTGTTCCCTGTCTATAATTTGGTATAAGGATTGCCATGTTTTCTCTATACCTTGGAATCTTTGTTATAAGGTCAGTGTTCCCTGTCTATAATTTGGTATAAGGATTGCCATGTTTTCTCTATACCTTGGAATCTTTGTTATAAGGTCAGTGTTCCCTGTCTATAATTTGGTATAAGGATTGCCATGTTTTCTCTATACCTTGGAATCTTTGTTATAAGGTCAGTGTTCCCTGTCTATAATTTGGTATAAGGATTGCCATGTTTTCTCTATACCTTGGAATCTTTGTTATAAGGTCAGTGTTCCCTGTCTATAATTTGGTATAAGGATTGCCATGTTTTCTCTATACCTTGGAATCTTTGTTATAAGGTCAGTGTTCCCTGTCTATAATTTGGTATAAGGATTGCCATGTTTTCTCTATACCTTGGAATCTTTGTTATAAGGTCAGTGTTCCCTGTCTATAATTTGGTATAAGGATTGCCATGTTTTCTCTATACCTTGGAATCTTTGTTATAAGGTCAGTGTTCCCTGTCTATAATTTGGTATAAGGATTGCCATGTTTTCTCTATACCTTGGAATCTTTGTTATAAGGTCAGTGTTCCCTGTCTATAATTTGGTATAAGGATTGCCATGTTTTCTCTATACCTTGGAATCTTTGTTATAAGGTCAGTGTTCCCTGTCTATAATTTGGTATAAGGATTGCCATGTTTTCTCTATACCTTGGAATCTTTGTTATAAGGTCAGTGTTCCCTGTCTATAATTTGGTATAAGGATTGCCATGTTTTCTCTATACCTTGGAATCTTTGTTATAAGGTCAGTGTTCCCTGTCTATAATTTGGTATAAGGATTGCCATGTTTTCTCTATACCTTGGAATCTTTGTTATAAGGTCAGTGTTCCCTGTCTATAATTTGGTATAAGGATTGCCATGTTTTCTCTATACCTTGGAATCTTTGTTATAAGGTCAGTGTTCCCTGTCTATAATTTGGTATAAGGATTGCCATGTTTTCTCTATACCTTGGAATCTTTGTGATGAGGTCAGTGTTCCCTGTCTATAATTTGGTATAAGGATTGCCATGTTTTCTCTATACCTTGGAATCTTTGTGATCAGGTCAGTGTTCCCGTTCTATAATTTGGTATAAGGATTGCCATGTTTTCTCTATACCTTGGAATATTCGTGATCAGGTCAGCTAGTCTACATAGTCCTGATTAGAAGCTCGTTGTTATTAAACCTAAAACCTCAACAATTTTTGTAATAGGCAAAACTGAATTCTTCAAATATAAAGTTTTTGTCTTAATTAAATGTTTTCAAATAATTTTCTTTTTGTTGATAGCTAATGTGTAGTTGTTTCAAATATTAATGATTAATTCACCAACACTATTGATTCTTTGTCTTTAGAGGTATGGTAATTGCCATCTTCAGTCCAATACTGCGTCACACAGGTTATGGAATGTCATGGCAGGAGGGAATCATAATGACTTGGGGAGGCCTTCGAGGGGCTGTGAGTTTAGCCCTAGCCCTTCAAGTCGCTCACCATGATGAAATAGACCAGGAGAAAGTTGGTATCCGGGTAAGTAAAGTGTAGCTTTCATTGTTCATCTTTTGATTTTTCTTCAATGCTTAAAGAATAAGCTTCCTGATTTTTGGCAAGAAGGTACCCTTGACAGAGTGCAATAACATTTCCTCATGTAAATGACATTGACTTAATTACTGTTAAGGTCACATTCTAGAGAATCATAAGATCAAGAGTTTTAATGCTTTGGTATTTACTGTAGATTAGTGTGTAGAATTTTTATATTGTATTTTGGTCAAAGGTCTGCTACATTGTTTGTCAAAGATTAACAAGGGCTATAATGGGTAAAAGTTTTAAGAATCTTCTTCTCAAGTTCCATAAGGTCCAATGTTTGTATATTTTGTCAGTAGGTACATTTGTACCTGGGATGAAATGCTAGAAAATTTCTCATATTATTCGTATTAATTCATATGTAGACCTGCAGTGCAAATATTTTTCTAGCATATTGTATTAGGATCAAAGGTCAATTTTAAGTCTTTACAGGGGTCAATGTTAACAATGGGCTGTGATGAGTAAAAAGTTTAAGAAATCTTCTGAAGTTCCATAATGTCCAGTGTCCCGATATTTAGCCAGTAGGTACCTGGGATGAAATGCTATGAAGTTTCCTAATGTAAATGATCTTGACCTACCCTCAAAGTCACAGGGGTCCGTTGGTCATAACTTCATTTGTCATTCAAATGGTTGAGGTCACCATCATATAACCATATAATTATGATGTTGCCAGATATGAAGAAACCAATACAATCATGCTTCCAGCTCAACGCCCACACCTGGTACTGAATCCAATGGTCATGACCTTTTTTTGTGGATTGAGATTCCCACCCTATAGTTATAACCAGGTGCACTTATATGTATCAATTTCACACACATTTCGCCACAAAACGCCCATTTTCTGTAAATCAACTGTTAAACATCAAGCAACAATGTTGTCCTTCTGGAGGCTTATATGTTATTAGTTCCAAAAAGAATAAAGAATACAATAATACTTTTAATGAGAAATATTTTCCCTCAATTACTTAAATATCCAGGTGAGATGTGAGGGCCCTTTGGGCCTGATGTTTTTAATTCAACTGCTTTTATGACAGTTATGCTCCTTTTAAACTGATGTGGGAGTGATTATATAGTTGTAGTTTTGTATTATATTGAAATGAAGACTACAGAATTATATAATAAAACTTTGTATTATGAGAGGTTATATTTGGAAGATATATATATACGTATCATTTTAATTAAACCTGGATGAGTGAAACTTGAAAGAATTAGTTTAACCTGTTATAGACTCATTTGAGGTTCACTTCAGCAGGTTCTACAGGGGACACACATGTGACTTTGGTATACATGTAATGCTCAGGATGAATTAACTGTATATTATTAAAGATGTTTTTTACAGGTTCTCATTCATGTATCTGGGATAGTGTTCCTAACCCTGCTGGTAAATGCCTCTACTACTGGAGCTCTTCTTCAAATTCTAGGTAATAATAATATAATAATAAACAACATTTGATATAGTGCCCTATCTAGCTAGAATAAGACACTCTATAAAGCACTTTACAGTACACTTAAACTGTTTAAGAAGTTTTTATCACAAAACAGTCCAAGGGAGCCTACTCTTACTACTTTTGCACAAGAGTTGCTATTACGTTCTGGCTTCAAGTTGCAAAGTTCTAGATGACAGTTTACTGTATATAAATGGTTGAATGGGTGGCAGTGTTATTTTTACACTCACGCCTGAAAAGTGTGAATCACAAAATGTTATATTAACAGTATCATTATGTTTAAGTATGAATATTGTAAACAGCGATTGAAGATAAAAAATATGGAAGGTAATTGGTTTAAAACCATTGTCATTCTTGATGGTTATATATTGTTGACTTAATTTGTGGTTTCCGTCTACGATGAAAAGTGCAAAATACATTTATGTCTTTGTTGCAATGGTTGATAAGATGGAGTTATTGATGTGTTAGTATAGATACCGTTAGCTAATAACAATTGTTGTGTGTGTACAACATCCAAAACTAAAACATGTAAACTTAGCTTTCTAACAAAAAGTAATTCAAATTCTGCTCCCAGGATCCTTGGATTTCTTATATGCATTATATTTATTACCTTTCAAATAGTTATACTCCCTGGAAGATTCAAACAGCAGTCAACTGTTTGTTTTCAAATGCTTTTACTTAATCTAATACTGGGCTTTTAATTAGCCACTGATCAACTATAAATATTATAAGTGCGTTGAGTTTTTGATTGGCTAGCAGGACTTTTTGTTTCTTTCTTTAAGGAATGAGTGATATCTCGCCTGCTAAGAGAATGGCCATGGCTAACTCCCTTCGCTACCTACAGGACATGAGGGACCGCACTCTCAACATGCTCAAAACAGACAGGTAACATATGATCACAGACAGGTAACATTGATCACAGACAAGCACCATTGGTCATGGACAGGTAACATTGATTATGGAAAAAAACATTGATTAAAGACAAGTAACATTAATAAAGGTTACTTCGATCATGGACAGGTACCATTGATCACATACAGGTTAAGTTGATCACAGGCAGGTAACATTGATCACAAATAGGTTAAGTTTATCACAGGCTGGAAACATTGATCACAGATATGTTAAGTTGATCACAGGCAGGTAACATTGATTATGTACATGTTAAGTTGATCACAGGTAGGTAACATTGATTATTGACATGTTAAGTTGATCACAGACAGGCTAAGTTGATCACAGGTAGGTAACATTGATTATCGACATGTTAAGGTGATTACAGGCTGGTAACATTAATCACAGACAAGTTACGCTTATCACAGGCTCAAGACATTGATCACAGACAGGCTAAGTTGATCACAGGCTGGTAACATTGATCACAGACAGGTTAAGTTTATCACAGGCTGGTAACATTGATTATGGACATGTTAAGTTGATCACAGGCTGGTAACATTGATCACAGACAGGTTAAGTTGATCGCAGGCTGGTACCATTGATCACAGGCTGGTAACATTGATCACAGACAGGTTAAGTTGATCACAGGCTGGTAACATTGATCACAGACAGGTTACGTTTATCACAGGCTCAAAACATTGATCACAGACAGGTTAAGTTGATCACATGCTGGTAACATTGATCACAGATATGGTAAGTTGATCACAGGTAGGTGACATTGATTATGGACATTTGAACTTGATCATGGAAATCATTGACGGGTAACATTGATCACAGGCCGGTAACATTGATCACAGGCTGGTAACATTGATCACAGACAGGTTAAGTTGATCACAGGTAGGTAACATTGATTATGGACATGTGAACTTGATCATGGAAATCATTGACAGGTAACATTGATCACAGACAGGTTAAGTTGATCAGAGGCAGGTAACATTGATCACAGATATGTTAAGTTGATCACAGGCTGGTAACATTGATCACAGACAGGTTAAGTTGATCACAGGCTCATAACATTGATCACAGACAGGTTCAGTTGATCACAGGCTGTAACATTGATCACATTCAGGTTAAGTTGATCACAGGCTCATAACATTGATTATGGACATATGAACTTGATCATGGACAAGTAACATTAATCACAAACAGGTTAAGTTGATCACAGACAGGTAACATTGATCACAGACAGGTTAAGTTGATCACAGGCAGGTAACATTGATTATGAACATGTGAACTTGATCATGGACATCATGGACAGGTAACATTGATCACAGTCAGGTTAAGTTGATCACAGGCAGGTAACATTGATTATGGACATGTGAACTTGATCATGGACAGGTAACATTGATCACAGACAGGATAAGTTGATCCCAGGCAGGTAACATTGATTATGAACATGTGAACTTGATCATGGACATCATGGACAGGTATCATTGATCACAGACAGGTTATGTTGATCACAGGCAGGTAACATTGATTATGGACATGTGAACTTGATCATGGAGATCATGGACAGGTAATAGTTGATTATAGACAGGTCACATTTTCAAAGACTTGTGATATAGGTAACAACTTAATTATCAGTGTGATTGATGATGTGAACAAGTAAAATTGACTTGTGTATTTACTGGTTTATAGTATGAACTTTTCAGTTAGCTGTACAAGTGCTGCCTGTTATAATGATGGGTATGTTTACAGGTTTCTGGTTTATAGTATGAACCTTTCAGTTAGCTGTACAAGTGCTGTCTGTTATAATGACGAGTATGTTTACAGGTTTCTGGTTTATAGTATGAACCTTTCAGTTAGCTGTACAAGTGCTGCCTGTTATAATGACGAGTATGTTTACAAGTTTCTGGTTTACAGTATGAACTTTTCAGTTAGCTGTACAAGTGCTGCCTGTTATAATGATGGGTATGTTTACAGGTTTCTGGTTTATAGTATGAACCTTTCAGTTAGCTGTACAAGTGCTGCCTGTTATAACGACGAGTATGTTTACAGGTTTCTGGTTTACAGTATAAACCTTTCAGTTAGCTGTACAAGTGCTGCTTGTTATAACGACGAGTATGTTTACAGGTTTCTGGTTTACAGTATGAACCTCTCAGTTAGCTGTACAAGTGCTGCCTGTTATAACTACGAGTATGTTTACAGGTTTCTGGTTTACAGTATGAACCTCTCAGTTAGCTGTACAAGTGCTGCCTGTTATAACTACGAGTATGTTTACAGGTTTCTGGTTTATAGTATGAACTTTTCAGTTAGCTGTACAAGTGCTGTGTGTTATAATGACGAGTATGTTTACAGGTTTCTGGTTTACAGTATGAACCTTTCAGTTAGCTGTACAAGTGCTGTCTGTTATAACGACGAGTATGTTTAGAGGTTTCTGGTTTATAGTATGAACTTTTCAGTTAGCTGTACTAGTGCTGCCTGTTATAATGATGGGTATGTTTACAGGTTTCTGGTTTATAGTATGAACTTTTCAGTTAGCTGTACAAGTGCTGTGTGTTATAATGACGAGTATGTTTACAGGTTTCTGGTTTATAGTATGAACCTTTCAGTTAGCTGTACAAGTGCTGCCTGTTATAATGATGGGTATGTTTACAGGTTTCTGGCTTATAGTATGAACCTTTCAGTTAGCTGTACAAGTGCTGCCTGTTATAACGACCAGTATGTTTACAGGTTTCTGGTTTACAGTATGAACCTTTCAGTTAGCTGTACAGGTGCTGCCTGTTATAACGACGAGTATGTTTACAGGTTTCTGGTTTATAGTATGAACTTTTCAGTTAGCTGTACAAGTGCTGCCTGTTATAATGATGGGTATGTTTACAGGTTTCTAGCAGATGCTGATTGGGATACTGTGGAGAAATCTTGTGAGCTGGAGGACCCCTATAAAACTACAGAAGAGGAGGTGACTTCAGTTCTAATTCTATTTAACAGCTAGAGGGGTCATTGATATTCCAGTCTTTGATATATATAATAACACACATATAATTGATATAATAGTTATAATATTTTTATGCAAAGTTGAAATGTATTATCAAAAAAATAAAGTGACACCCAACCTCTTGTTCAGACAGTATCTTAGCTTGATGTATGTTTCAATTTTTTGTTTTGTTTTCTACTCCCTGCTTTGAGATACATTGATACTTTGAAGAGACTCCAAGCTTTATAATAGATTTCTTGCCCCAACTAATATTTTTAGATATTTTTAGTTGTACATATATATATATATATATATATATATATATATATATAAAAAATAGAANTACCAACAATAAAAAATACGGGAGATACAAATTGTTTCATTTACGGCAACAATAAAATATGAACAATAATATTTAAAGCACAGCAATTGCTTAAAGCATGACACGTTGAATTTAATGTGAACTATTCAGACTGGGTTTCAACAGTTTCATTAACTCCGACTCCTTAACTTCCCTCTTTATCACATCAGATGAATGCATTTGGTAAATAGGGAACACTTTGAAGTTATTGTTAGCACAGTTATGAATATGTTTGTTCACTTGTAAAAATCTAAGGTCATCATGGATTGTTTGTTGCTTGTGAAGAGTCATTCTTTGACGTAGTTCACGCCCAGTTTGGCCAATATAAAATTCCAAACATTTAACACACACTATAGCATATATAACATTCTTCGACTTACAATTCATACTAGAACGTACAGTGAATTTAAATCCATTTTTGAAAACAAAAGTAGAACCTTCAATAATTATTTTACATGTTCCACATCTGGGCGAATTACATTTAGACACAATAAGTTCAGCTTGATTCGTTTCAAACTTGGAAAAACTCAATAGCCTTTTGAGATTTTTGGGTTGTCTTTTACTATTGATAATTCTATGTTTAGCTAAAACATTTTTCATACGCACGCTAGTTCTCTGCAAGTCATCGATTTTGGTTTTTACAATAGGGTACATAGCAAAATTATGTGGATTGTATGTAGATACAAAAGGAATAATTCCTTGGTCATCGTTGGCTTCTACACGGGATGTAAAAGGTCCCTTCTCTATAGCTCTATTTACACCACTACGAATAATCTCGTCCGGATAATGCTGCGACTTCAGGAAAAACATTAGTTCTTTAAGTCGCACATCCAGCATATTGGGGTCACTTACAATTGTCACAATTCTAGATGCGAGATTAAAAGGTATATTAATTTTAATATGTTTAGTATGATTTGAATAAAAATCTAAGTAATTATGAGCATCAGTAGGCTTTGAATACAAATTAGTTGCAATATTATCATTTTCTAATTTAACTAAAACATCCAAAAAGACAGTCAACAGACAGATTTGTCTGTTGACGCTATCTCTGTCTTTTGTTCTATTTTTTATATTTAATTCCAACACAAGGACTTCTCAATGTTTTCTTTATATATATATATATATATATATATATAAAAATTAACTGATAAGGATTCTTATGCAGTAGATCCATATTATTTTGTGTAAACAAAAGTCATAATAGTTTGAAAATCTTTAGACATTGGAGAAGACTGTTGTGGGACCTGACAATAAGTTTGAATTTAAAAAATCATTTATAGTTGTTTGTTAGTAACTAAGTGTATATATATATAATTAGAAGCTTGTGGTGTTGTAGGCCCTTGTGGATGAGTCACTTGACATGAGGGCCAATGCCGTGTGTCCAGACTGTGACTCCCAACTGCCTGCTACCTACACACGTAAGGAGCTGCGTGACATGACTAACGAGGCAGTTTTACGCATGCTCAAAGCTGAAAAGGTAGGTACAGTCTACATGTGTTTTACACGTTACATTTTCTTTACAATTATGACTGTCTGTTGACATTCAACACAAAGCACCCCAAATAGTCTTTGTTATCTTATTGGCTAATGATTCAAATTCCAAGATAGCTTGGTCGTGACCTTCCTATTTGATTTACCAACCCATATGCCATCATTTTTTATCGAAATATTGTCGGAAATGAAGCATGACAGCCAGACAGACAGACAGACAAACCCAAATTAATATCCCCCGTTTCGGTGAAAGCGGGGGATATTAATTCTGTAATAACTGCAACAAATGTTAACCAATTTTCGTCAAACTTGGTAACAGGGTTAAATGCCTTAAGGGCTCACCAAGTTTGATGACCACTTTCAGGGGACTTTATTTGGCAGAGTTATGGCCCCTTGAATAACGAAAAAACATCCTTATCTGCCGTTTTCGTGCAAAAGCTGCAACAAATGTTAACCGACTTTCTGCAAACTTGATACCAGGGTTAAATGCCTTAAGGGCATAACCAAACTGGATAACCACTTTCAGCGGACTTTATTTGGCGGAGTTATGGCCCCTTAAATAACGAAAAACGTCATTATCTGCCGTTTCTGTTCATTAACTCTTGCAAATATTATCGCCTTGTCTTCAATCTTAGTAACAGGGTTCAACGCATTAAGGGCTTTGCCAAGTTTAACAACCACTTTAAACGGACTCCATTTGGGGGCGTTATGGCCCCTTGATTAACGTCATTATCTGCAGTTTTCGCTTAATAACTTTAGCAAATATTAGCCAAATTCCTTTAAACTTGATAACAATGTTTGTGTTCCTCTGTCTTTCCACCAATCTTGGGCACTCTTTGGTTTTCGTGTGATAATTGCTGTAGATATTGTGCAGATATTTTAACCAAATTTAGTATACACATCCGACTCATGCTAAGTTTGCCAACCGATGTGATTTGTGCATTTACGGATAATTAATGAGGTTAGTAAATTCTGATGGATTAAATGATTAATTTACACCGTAATACCTACATGTTCAATAAAAAGTTCTGTATAAGGCTTTTTTTCTTCAAGTTTCAAGCTACACATCATGCCTCAACAGCACGATACTCACATGTTTAAACCTAACCTCAATAATGTTTACCTACAATATGTCCTGCAAGTGGGGGATATAAATTCCACGAATTTGCTTGTTTTTTTTTTCAAGTTCCACAATGCCAGATTTTAACTGCTCATGCTGATGTAAATTATCCTTGAATAGCCATGACAAAGTTTTTTTTCTTTTTTTTCTTGCTGCAAATTCAAATTCCAGGACTCACATTTTTGTCTGTGATGAATAAAAAATCGCAGTATTTTTCACTTCTGTGAGACAAAATCAACTAAATTTTAGAAAAATGAAATAGCCTTTTTGGATGCTATCTCAATGTAGCAGAATGCAGCTGAAGTTTTCTATAAATAGTTAAAGTTTTCAGTGAGTTTTGTGTTGCTATCACTTTCTGATTGTGTTGTCTTTAAGATGAGTTACTGGCGCCAGTTTGAACAAGGCATGTTGTCTCGGGAAGCAGTCAGGAAACTCCAGGATTGTTCAGACATTGCCGCAGACAAAAAGGGGAAGTAAGTGTTCATTTGGGTCTGCTGTCTCAAAATACCCGTAGTATACATGTAGATACAGTGATTGTGTTATTTCTAAAAATACACCTGCCGTATCTCTACATTTCACATCTCAGCCTCATCTCAAGAATAGAAATGCAGACATAAGATTCAGGTTAATTAATACTTTCAAGGTCGCATGTGTGTTACATGTTATAACCAGTCCCAATGACTTCTTACAGAGAACCATAAGGTCTACAATATATATGATATATATTTGGTCTGGAACTTTTTTTCAAGGTCGTTGGATGTAGAAGAGATCAAGAAAAGTTGGGAAGTGCCCTCACTCTACATGAAATTGGTAAGTACTGTAGCTGTTCACACATCCACATGTGTATGCACTCTCTATTTTTGTGTATGTAACAATCCATTGGAAAATATAGCTCTTTACTGTGTCATGTCTTTGAAAAGACATAAAATAATGATCAACATATGATTATCATAATCTCCATTTTTCAGTAAGTTTGTCACAAAGTTTCTCAACATTTATTGAGCCGCAGTATTTTACTGTTAAATGGCTTGGTTAGGTTCCAAGTGTAAGAGGCTTCAATTGTGTATGCCTTCAACAGGTCACTGTTTGTAATACTAAGATTGCATGACACTTTCAAGGTACATGAGGACTTGGATGTTATATCTTGGAATTAAAATTTTAAAATACTGAGAGATAATTTCAGGTAGATTTAATATTACTTGTGACTGTTTTAAATATGTATTAAAATATTTCATATTTTTAAAATGAAGAAAACAGTTCTTTCCTTAATAAAACTTTTATTTTTTATTTTTTTAAAAGAAACAATCAATCAAGAAATTTATCATAGAGGACGACACCGTATGTCCCAAACAGTCGGCCATGAAGCTACTGTACACTACCTCCAACCACCGAGCTTTTAACATCACCATGTACATTCTCATCCTACTCGACATGGTCAACCTTGCCTTTGCCCTCCTAAGCCAATTCCATATCTACTGGACAGACAAGGCTTTCATCTTCCGTGTCATCAATGTCGTCTTCCTCTCATTCTATATCATTGAATCCCTTGTTGTGGTAAGCTATGGAACTATCACTATACAAACCTCTTGTTCAGACAGTATCTTAGCTTGATGTATGAGGATATGGTGCCTGTTTCAAGGATTTATCAAAAAAAAAAATGTTATCTACTCCCTGCCGTGGGATACATTGATACTTTGAAAAGACTCCAAGCTTTTTATTTCTTGCCTCAGTGCATGTGATAAACATTTGTAAAGATCAAAATGAGAGTAGCAAACAGAGAAAAAATTTCTAAAATAACAATAATCAATATTTAAATGACAGTTTTACCAATACTGACTGAAACTGTATCCTCAACATTCACAAATATTGTCCCTAATACTTTTGAATGTTAGTTTCAATACATATAAATATTCCCCCCTGGTTATAATAAATGTTGTTCTCAATAAATATATAAACATTTACCGTTGTAGTTACAATGTTATCTTAATTTCAGATCCTTGTGCAGAAAAAGCAGTACTTGAGTAACTGTTGGCACAACTTTTGCCTGTCAATTATCTTTATTGGTACTGTGGACGTTGTACTCAGTTTTGTCCTCCCATCTGTCTACGGGGAAAGTGACAACCTGATCAGTATTGTCCTTACTGTGTTTATTTGTCTACGCATTGTCAGGATCTTCAGACTGCTTGAGGTAAGCTTTGGAAATAATTAGTAGATGTGTTAATTACAATCTTGTTCATGATGCTTTTACATTTGTATTGACAATTAAGGGATGCCAGCTAAATAATTGTATGTAATAACACATTAGTAGATTCAAGATTCAAAGTGTCTTAATTCTTCTTGAATTCTAGTTCTGATCGATGAGTCATAGTCAACGGGTGTTTTTGTTTTGTATGTTTATAATATTTTTTAAAAAGGATTTAATGAGATTGTACTTATGAATGTTCTTTTAACAAATTCTAAAAATCGTTTTGAATGATGCACAAATTTCAAAAATATTTGGTACATTGTACTCAAATTAAAATGAACTGACCTTACAGCTAACAGATATTTTTAAACTGTGGGTATTTTCTCAGCCAACCATGCCACTGCTTATGTCTCTGGTAAAGAATGTCATCAGCCACCACCTCAGTTACGGGTATGATGTGGGCAGGGGCTATGTGGCTGGTGAGGAGGAGGTTCGCAAACTTGTTGATCATATGGTGGACCAGAAAGAAATTTCCAAAAACCTAAAGCGGGTCAGCGACAATGGCAGACTGGATGTCATCAGGTGTCTTGGTAAGTAAGAATATCATCAGGTTTCTGAGAAAATAAGAAATCCTCATCAGGTGTCTGATTAAGTGAGAGGTGACATAAGGAGTCTGAGTAAGTGAGAGGTGACATGAGGAGACTGATTAAGTGAGAGGTGGCATAAGGAGTCTGAGTAAGTGAGAGGTGACATGAGGAGTCTGAGTAATTGAGAGGTGACGTCAATTGTCTGAGTAAGTGAGAGGGGACATCGGGTGTCTGAGTAAGTGAGAGGTGGCATAAGGAGTCTGAGTAAGTGAGAGGTTACATGAGGAGTCTGAGTAAATGAGAGTGACATGAGGAGTATGAGTAAGTGAGAGGTGACATGAGTTGTCTGAGTAAGTGAGAGGTGACATGATGAGACTGATTAAGTGAGAGGTGGCATAAGGAGTCTGAGTAAGTGAGAGGTGACATGAGGAGTCTGAGTAAGAGAGAGGTGACATGAAGTGTCTGAGTAAGTGAGAGGTGACATCAGGAGTCTGAATAATTGAGAGGTGACATCAGGAGTCTGAGTAATTGAGAGGTGACATCAATTGTCTGAGTAAGTGAGAGGTGACATGAGGAGTCTGAGTAAGTGAGAGGTGACATGATGAGACTGATGAAGTGAGAGGTGGCATGAGGAGTCTGAGTAAGTGAGAGGTGACATGAGGAGTCTGAGTAAGTGAGAGGTGACATGAGGAGTCTGAGTAAGTGAGAGGTGACATGAGGTGTCTGAGTAAGTGAGAGGTGACATCAGGAGTCTGAGTAAGTGAGAGGTGACATCATTTGTCTGAGTAAGTGAGAGGTGACATCATTTGTCTGAATAAGTGAGAGGTGACATGAGGAGTCTGAGTAAGTGAGAGGTGACATTCTGAGTAAGTGAGAGGTGACATCAGGATTCTGAGTAAGGGAGAGGTGACATCAGGTGTCTGATTAAGTGAGAGGTGACATGAGGAGTCTGAGAAAGTGAGAGGTGACATGAGGAGTCTGAGTAAGTGAGAGGTGACATCAGGTGTCTGAGTAAGTGAGAGGTGACATCAGGAGTCTGAGTAAGGGAGAGGTGACATCAGGTGTCTGATTAAGTGAGAGGTGACATGAGGAGTCTGAGTAAGTGAGAGGTGACATGAGGAGTCTGAGTAAGTGAGAGGTGACATGAGGAGTCTGAGTAAGTTAGAGGTGACATCAGGTGTCTGAGTAAGTGAGAGGTGACATGAGGTGTCTGAGTAAGTGAGAGGTGACATCAGGTGTCTGAGTAAGTGAGAGGTGACATCAGAAGTCTGAGTAATTGAGAGGTGACATCAATTGTCTGAGTAAGTGAAAGGTGACATGATGAGTCTGAGTAAGTGAGAGGTAAGATGAGGTGTCTGAGTAAGTGAGAGGTGACATGAGGAGTCTGAGTAATTGAGAGGTGACATCAATTGTCTGAGTAAGTGAAAGGTGACATGATGAGTCTGAGTAAGTGAGATGTAAGATGAGGTGTCTGAGTAAGTGAGAGGTGACATGAGGTGTCTGAGTAAGTGAGAGGTGACATGAGGAGTCTGAATAAGTGAGAGGTGACATGAGGAGTCTTGAGTAAGTGAGAGGTGACATGAGGAGTCTGAGTAAGTGAGAGGTGACATGAGGAGTCTGAGTAAGTGAGAGGTGACATGAGGAGTCTGAGTAAATGAGAGGTGACATGAGGAGTCTGAGTAAGTGAGAGGCGACATGAGGAGTCTTGAGTAAGTGAAAGGTGACATGAGGAGTCTGAGTAAGTGAGAGGTGACATGAGGAGACTGATTAAGTGAGAGGTGGGATGAGGAGTCTGAGTAAGTGAGGGCATGATCAAATGTGGGGATAAGTGAGGGATGTTATCAAATGTAGGGATAAGTCGAAGAATTTGTAGGATATCTGAGTAGTAAGTGAGAGGCGACATGAGGAGCCTTGAGTAAGTGAAAGGTGACATCAGGAGTCTGAGTACTTGAGAGGTGCCATCAGGAGTCTGAGTAGTTGAGAGGTGACATCAATTGTCTGAGTAAGTGAGAGGTGACATCGGGGGTCTGAGTAAGTGAGAGGTGACATGGTGAGACTGATTAAAGGTGACATGAGGAGTCTGAGTAAGAGAGAGGTGACATGAAGTGTCTGAGTAAGTGAGAGGTGACATCAACATGAGGAGTCTGAGTAAATGAGAGGGGAGATGAGGAGTCTGAGTAAGTGGGAGGTGACATGAGGAGTCTGAGTATGTGAGAGGGGACATCAGGTGTCTGAGTAAGTGAGGGGTGACATGAGGAGTCTTGAGTAAGAGAAAGGAGACATCAGGAGTCTGAGTAAGTAAGAGGTGACATGAGGAGTCTGAGTAAGAGAGAGGTGACATGAAGTGTCTGAGTAAGTGAGAGGTGACATTCTGAGTAAGTGAGAGGTGACATCAACATGAGGAGTCTGAGTAAATGAGAGGTGAGATGAGGAGGCTGAGTAAGTGAGAGGCGACATGAGGAGTCTTGCGTAAGTGAAAGGTGACATGAGGAGCCTGAGTAAATGAGAGGTGACATGAGGAGTCTGGGGAAGTCTGAGTAAGAGAGAGGTGACATGAAGTGTCTGAGTAAGTGAGAGGTGACATGGTGAGACTGATTAAAGGTGACATGAGGAGTCTGAGTATGTGAGAGGGAGAGGTGACATGAGGAGTCTTGAGCAAGAGAGAGGTGACATGAGGAGTCTGAGAAAGTGAGAGGTGACATGAGGAGTTTGAGTAAGTGAGGACATCATCAAATGTCGGGATAAGTGAGGGATGTTATCAAATGTAGGGATAAGTCGAAGAATTTGTAGGATATCTGAGTAGTAAGTGAGAGGCGACATGAGGAGCCTTGAGTAAGTGAAAGGTGACATCAGGAGTCTGAGTAAGGGAGAGGTGACAAGAGGAGTCTGAGTAAGTGAGAGGCTACATGAGGAGTCTTGAGTAAGTGAAAGGGGACATGAGGAGTCTGAGTAAATGAGAGGTGAGATGAGGAGGCTGAGTAAGTGAGAGGTGACATGGGGAGTCTGAGTATGTGAGAGGTGACATCAGGAGTCTGAATAATTGAGAGGTGACATCAGGAGTCTGAATAATTGAGAGGTGACATCAGGAGTCTGAGTAATCGAGAGGTGACATCAGGAGTCTGAGTACTTGAGAGGTGCCATCAGGAGTCTGAGTAGTTGAGAGGTGACATCAATTGTCTGAGTAAGTGAGAGGGGACATCAGGTGTCTGAGGAAGTGAGAGGTGACATGAGGTGTCTGAGTAATTGAGAGGTGACATCAGGAGTCTGAGTACTTGAGAGGTGCCATCAGGAGTCTGAGTAGTTGAGAGGTGACATCAATTGTCTGAGTAAGTGAGAGGTGACATCAACATGAGGAGTCTGAGTAAATGAGAGGTGACATGAGGAGTCTGGGGAAGTCTGAGTAAGAGAGAGGTGACATGAAGTGTCTGAGTAAGTGAGAGGTGACATGGGGAGTCTGAGTATGTGAGAGGTGACATGAGGTGTCTGAGTAAGTGAAAGGTGACATGAGGGGTCTGAGTAAGTGAGAGGTGACATGGGGAGTCTGAGTATGTGAGAGGTGACATGAGGTGTCTGAGTAATTGAGAGGTGACATCAATTGTCTGAGTAAGTGAGAGGGGACATCAGGTGTCTGAGTAAGTGAGAGGTAACATGAGGTGTCTGAGTAAGTGAAAGGTGACATGAGGGGTCTGAGTAAGTGAGAGGTGACATGAGGAGTCTGAGTAAATGAGAGGTGAGATGAGGAGTCTGAGTAAGTGAGAGGTGACATGAGGAGTCTTGAGTAAGTGAAAGGTGACATCAGGAGTCTGAGTAAGTGAGAGGTGACATGAGGAGTCTGAGTAAGTGAGGACATCATCAAATGTGGGGATAAGTGAGGGATGTTATCAAATGTAGGGATAAGTCGAAGAATTTGTAGGATATCTGAGTAAGTGACGGAATTCAGCAGGTGTCTGAGTATATACGTAACGTATTTGGAAGAATTGAAGAAATTGAGTATTCACTTCAGCATAACTTGGCTACAATTGTACGGTGTGCACACAGTAAAATTAGTTGTAGCCCCATATTTAAGGCACCATATACTGATTGATGTTGTTAGGCTATTAATTATGAAAGAAATAGATTTATTGGTGACTAGTTTGAACACTTTAAATAGAGAAAATGGACAATTAAGGCTATGATTTCTCATTTCTCTAGTATTTTAACCTATGCCTTTCCTTCACAGGCATGCTTCAGAAGCAGCACCCTGACATTGCTCTGTCTATCAAAACACGACAGGCTGTTCGTAGTGTTCTCAACAACCTTCGAGATGGAATACATGAACTCCTTAGTGATGGTATCATTGAGGAAACAGAGGGAATCAAACTGGAAAAGGTTTTCTATATATATATAGCCTTTAAGTGATGTGAATCAATTTAAGGATCAAGTGACCTATTGCCATTATCTTTGTCCACCATTATTCACTGTTTGTACCCTTTCACCATTAACCAACAATTTTTACCATGGTATGACATTGCCACTAAATACAACTCTTCCAAATTCAGTTCGCATTCATAGTTAGGCTATGATTGCCATGGACCGATTGTTGACGTCATCATTATTATGACGACATCATTATTATGACATCATAATTGTTACATTGGATACCACTGACCTTCCCTGGGCAAAGGCTGTTCTTTTCATTGAAAAAGCATACACGATGCATCATTTGAAATAAATGCTGAATGATAATAGTGTAATTGAATTTTCTATAAGATGAACAGTTAGCATGCTTCATTGAACTAGCCTTTGTCCAGTTGGCATTCATTTTGCCTATGAACGCCAACTGAAAGCATATCAATGCTTAGGAATCCAGTAAAATTTTCACATACTGGTTATACAACCCTGTAGAGGTGATCTTATTTAAAACAAATTGCTTTTCTCTAGTTTCTGATTTTTTTTAATTTGGGGTGTGTATATATACTGTGTATATATTTTTTGTGATCATGCTATTTTTGTCCTTTTATCTTTATTTTATTTTTTACTTTTTATAAATACCTTTGCCTGTTTACCATTTTAGTTAGTAGAAGAGAAAATGAAAAGACTACAGAGTTCACCGCCGAGTCTGCCACTCCCACCTCCAGACAGGATGCTTAATAACGTATTCTGGCTTCGCAACGACCATAAACTGATTGTGTACATCAAGGTAAGGGGTAAAAGCACTACCTATATATATTGTGATGAAGTCAGATATCTTCACACATATTTAGCCAATTATAAATAAATAAGGAAAACTAAAATTACATTGTAGTACAGATAATGTATTTTTCATGATTTCTGTTTTTACCTAAGTTTGAGAAGTTTAATCAGCTATCATGTTCCGAAATAGATGTTAGGCTGAACAAGAAATCACTTTAAACAGCTGTACTTTTGTGTTCAATGCATTTGTTCTATATCAGAAATAGTGATATGTAATGATAATATTCAAAATCTAGATTTGTTTATCCATTCCATCCTTAAAATCATATTAAACAACATATCACCTGAAAACAAGAACAGCAATTATCCATGACTGCAGTTACTCATCATAAGCCTGGTATATATATAGTGATATACAGGTGCAAATAATATTTGGAAAAATTGTAATAAAATGTTTTATTGTATTATACAACTTCACTGCAATACTTTCTGTTTGGATTATTGCAACATATTTCAGTATTTTTTTTAAGTGGCAATACACGTACACAACACTGCTAGAAGTTGGATATTTTCTGCTTTACGTGGAAGTCTGGACGTGATATAATTGATATCTTAGGATTGATGTTTTCCAGGAAAAGGCTAAACTTCTGACTTACAACTACGAGGACATCATAATAACAGAGGGAGATCCCCCTGGCGGTATTTACATCATCGTGTCTGGAATGGTCAGGGTAGGTAACTCCAGTCTTCATATTCTATCTAGTAGATTTATTTTAGAAGTGAAGTGCTGATGTTAGAAAGAACTTACTCTTTTTTGGAGATGGGATAATTTCAAGTGAAGGCCATTTAATTAATGGTGAAACAGTTTAAAGTGTCCTTTAGTTACCATTTTATTTTTGTGGTTACCTTATGTAATGGGTAGCTGCAAATTCAACATCATAGTAAATGTTGTTGGTAGAGTATTTCTTCAGACCTAATCTTCCTACATGTGAAAATATAATTGCATAAAATCAAAGCTGGGTATCATATAAAATAAGGCCTGCTACTTCAAAGTCTGATTACCATTACAAGTTGTTAATTTCAAGTTTTCAAAATACTGTGTTAGAGAAATATCAGACAAATACATTTTTGATTGTTTTCTTTGCATGTGTATTTAAATTACATAAACTTGTAGTTTGCGCTTTGTATTTTAATGTTTAAGAAAATATAGAACCTCAAATATTTATTTTAACTCATTACACTGAATAAGGCTTTATGTAGATACATGTGCCATTGCGTATCATCACTCCTAGTAAGGGGATTTCTCTCCAAATGCTGCCGAGGGAGATTTTTACCTGAATACCAATTGCAAAGTTGCTTTTATAATGAAAAATATATTCATTTATAAAGTCCTATCAAAACATTGATCCAATGCTTTCGAACCGGAAGTTATTGCTTATTAGTGGTTGGAAACGGATTTTCATCAAGTTTGAAATTTCAAACATAACAACCACTAGTAGGGATATCTTGTTTCTGCAGAGGCGTTTTTGTTTTTATATAATATAGAAGGAGACTCCTTACAAAAAGGAGACGTCATATTTAGGGGGGAATTACTTTATGTAACAATGTTCTTGGGAGTCAATTTAATTTTGATATAGAATCAACTGAAGATGAGTTCATATATTTTGTTGTTTCAAATTGGAAAAAAAGGACTGGTTCAAGAGCAATTGATGCTGTTTAGTATGTTAAGTTGACAACTTTTCCTTGGCTAACAATATTATGGATGATCGAAAACATGATTTAATCACAATTAAGGCCAATTATAAATATCTGTTCTCAAAACCAAGATTCAAAAACATAAATCATTTATATGACTTAAACAAAGTATTTCATTTCTAAAATCGAAGTCATCAGATTGAGAAGTAGAATTGCTACACGTCTTCACCAAACACTTGCAGAAACAGCTTGCTTTTTGTGCAGAAAATGCAGCTATTTGATCGGAAGAGTACTCATAATTGTATATTTATGAAATATCATTATGTATTTCGTGTCTTACCCGGTTGTTAAAGTTCGTATAGGCATCTGTAGAGCACTCTTACTGGAACTTGTTCCGTTTACCAATTAATCGTTATGAAACTTGTTTAAAATTCATGCAATCTAAATTGCTTTTAAGCATGAGGTTGCTTATAGAAATATATTTTATATCACCATTGTTATCAGTTTGAGATGAAGATATATCCTGATCGCCATCACTCACACCACGGACATTATCACAACTACTCTCCATTCCATGTAAGGTGGTATCCCAGTCGTGTCCCCATTGTTGTTATCAGTTTGTTGTTTGTTTGTCAAATCTTTGCAACAAAAGTTTTTTATGCATGGCCATTATTTTGATTGTATAGCCATAAGACACATTATCCACTTTAATGTAAATCCAGATCACAGTGACATAACGTTTCTTGTTCATGAAAAATACCACCAAAAAACTTCACTGAGGCCGAACAAAACACAATTTAAACTAGAAACACTAACAATTTGATTGACCTTTCGCTGTAGTTGCCGAATTGATGCAATGAAATGTACAGCCAACCCAACCCAAATTTTCCCTGAGTTTTGGATTTAAGTATTACTTTCAAAGTTGAAATGTCCTCCTTTCATTTATGATTCAACCGTATGGGAATTTATCTTGCAAATTAGATACGCATAAAAGAAAGTTAATTACAGTATTTCTATTCAAGTGAGTTAAATACACTACAATGTCCGCCTATATCCAGAGGTGATGTTCTCTTACGTTTACCCTTGGAATATATATGTCATGATGAAACGAAAGCATGTGGTAGCTATTTGATTGGCTTCTGGTAATGAGAAAACTGACCAATTGCAAGGCTGATACCTGTCCCTTAACGATAAGAGAGAGGAGACACGCGTCTTCAAAGCCAGTAAATTGTAAAATTACGTTACCGAGCAATTCTTATGATGCACAGGAAAGGATCATACCAGTCTACTTGTATCATCCACTAAGTGGCGTTTATAGAGCATTCAATTTTGTTATTACATATTCCAGGGGTCAGAGAACGTAAGAGTGTAACCCTTGGAGTATCGAGGATGAAGCTATGAGTGACTTTCAAAAGACCATATATGAGAATTTTGTTATGAATTAGAATATTGGTCACTAATCCCACACTGTATGAAAACAAGATATTGTACAGTATTTAAAAACTAAACCATTGGCTAGGATTGAGAAATTCTATTGCTATGGTAGAAAACAGATATAGATACTGAGCTGAGAAAAGTTAAATAAGATATATCTTCACATACAAATGTATGCATAAAAAAGCATATCAATTTTCAGTGTTAATTCAGAAAAAGAATTCTGTCTAGGTATGAAAAACGGTTTATATTTAAATGTTATGCAGTAAAATTAAGTTTTATCTAATATTCATTCTATTGAAAATCTTCATTAAAGGAGTTGCAAGGTAGTGATCAGGTGATCATTTTTTAATCAACTGGCTATTTATCTCAAATTCCCTATGTCAGTAGTATTTTGACCTCAACTCCTACTTTTGATCAGTAATTTGTCCACATCCTATATAAGATTCTTGTCAATCCTGATACATGTACCAGTATTTTTGTCTATAAACTTAAATAAGAGCATTATCCTCACCCTGTACTTTTGTCCATATATTGGTATATTGTCCACATTAAGTATTGGTATTCTGTCCATATCATCAGTTTGTCCATACCTTATCAGATCAAAGTTTTGTCATCTATCAGATGTTTTCTGCCTCATGCTTGAATCCATGTGCGCAGCCTTAGATGACACAGAAAGGAGGTGGAGGTTTTCAATAAAGAGTGCAAAAATGCTTGTTTATTTATCTTATAGATAAGCATTCCATACCATTAATGCTTCGATACATGTCTGATTGCGCTGTCGATAAAAGCCAAGATTACAATCTCTGAGTACTTGATTATGCATCATTAAAATTACTTAGCTTATTTCAACACACCAGACCTAATCTAGTCTTTGTTTTATGATTTCAACACACACTTGGCTCACGAGATATTCTCGGTCTGCAAAACTGTCTGTGGAGGCTAGAATAAAACCGCTGAACTTTCCTGATGATTTCTATTCTCATTGTAGTAGTCCGACCCCTCCCCTTCCCTCATCTTTAGAGCCTAAGATTCACAAGGAAATTAGTTAAGAGAGAAAGCTGTCTAAGCTGAACACTGTAATCAAGAAGCCTGCTGTCAGCATGGTCTCTATATGTATATCAATAAAGCTGATATAGAAAACCTACAGTCAGCCTGGTTTCTCTGTAAATGAACACCCAGATAATATATTCTGTCTGTTGTAATAGGTGTAGGTGTTTGTTATGTTTAAGATCCTTCAACAGAGATAAGTTTCTTACTCACGTTAATGGGACATTTTCTTAAAATTTTCTTAAAAATGTTAAAAAAAAGTAATCAAAAAAATGGAAATGAAATGTCAACTTAACTTGAGTGAACAATTGTCTGTTGACAAGTCCAGAAATATAAACAGATACAGCTGTTAAAAGTTTAGATCGCTTTTTCGTCAAACAACCACAATGGGTTTTGCTCATCCTATAAGCTAAGCTTTCTTTCGTTTCCTTTCCTTTTCCTTTACCTCACCAATCTGACACTGAATACTTTCTCCATTCTGTCTCTAAAAAAGAACAAAATGGTATAAACATATTATATTTCTAGCAAGAGTCATATGGCATTAGCTTACAGTAAATGAGTAAAAGTTATGCTGTAACATTCATTTCTGCATTGAAAATATTTTTTGAATATAAAAGATATGCATATAAATCAGTTTGCTACAAGTTTATTGTATAAAGTACCTAGTTACTTTAGATTTTTTCTGCGATCAAATTACACCAATAAAGTTATTAACAGGTGCATGTGAACCAGAGGACGATTCACTGGTATAAGAAGAGAATGAGTGTATCATTGATCTGTATTGTTTCTTTAGATAGTCATGTTTTTCAATTATTTGATTTCAAATAATTTATTTCCCAGCATTTTTAGACCTTTTCGAGGGACTGCCGTGTTTGAGTCCCTTGGGTCAAGGTCGAGTTTGATTAACTTATACACTATTGTATCAAATGTGAGAAGATATCCTATCATATGCAATACAATTTTTGTTTAGCTGGAAAAAATAACATCCAACAACGATCAGGTGAGATTAATGGCTTTTAACCCAGAGCTTGTGATACACGTTGTCGCTGTAACCCTGTATATGTAAAACACAGACGTTGTAACTATATCACGTGCATTACACATGCATAATACATGACATAATAATTTACATAGGATATTTACTAACTTCTACAGGTATACTACTTACTAATATTGTACTTTTTAAGTAATTAATGACCTTTTATGTACAGATACAATTATACGTAGTGCTTAAAATCATCACATACAGTAAGTAATATGCCTACCAAGACACCAAACTGAACATTTTGTTTCTATTAAATAATATACGAATTGCTTATTTTTTTTAAACTTATGTACCATATTTTTGACGCTTGTGATTTGAACATTACGTAGGCTGTTGTCAATCGTCCACCACAATCCATTGGACAAAACCTGCGTAAGAAATACACTCACCGTTCCATGGTAATATACGACTTGTCATTTTTATAGGACTTGGTAAGGTAGATGCCTGCCGTTGCTGTAATCCTGCTTGCTGATTTTCCAAAAATGGAGAGCATAATTATAATGCAATGAAAACTATAAGCTTTTTCATGGTCGAGAAACACTTTCGAATTGTTAGATTATGTAATAATGACAACACAACGTAAATATCAAAGTGAGTTATTTAAAAAAAAGTAATACAACACTATGATGAAAGTCATTCCGATATATTGCAGATATCAAAACGAAAACATTGGTTATTCTTTTCGTTTTATCTTGTGTCAGTTGGAGGATTGAGAAGAATAGAGACAGTGTGATTTTTCTCTACAGAACCTTTAAAGATCTAACGAGAACTGCAAATCAAATTCAGCATCATTATATAAATATAACAGTATATACAAAAAATCATATTGTATACTGCAGTGGTTCTCATTGGTCTTGCAGCCTTCGTATCATTTATCATAGAAAATCAATGATCGCACCATTTACTAATGCCTACTTATCCACATGTATGAGCAGCATCACGCTTGCATCATGACAAGATCAGAACAAAGACAAAGTGTTTTGCATAAATTCATTTCAGCTGGCTGATAGATTTGTATGCTCATTTTTATTCAAGTTTCGGGTTCAACCTTGGATTACCATTGATGCTGGTTAGAAATAGATAATAAAAAAGGATCATATTAAATGATTTTGTATGAAACTATTACAACTGTTTTATACAATATATTTTTTGTAGACGTTTCCTTAATTATTATCTGCCATGTACCATTAGCTTGACGTTGGATGAAATGAACGTACGCATGCTATTTTCATGATTTGCGAGTCGTATACGTTATGTTGAACATTAAATTAGAACCGTCTTACAATGTCTTGCAATATTTCGATTTCTTTTTCTCTATACGTGCCATTATATACACTGATGAGCCACTGTGTATTCAGGGAAATGTTCTATACTATAGTAACATGTACTGGATAATAAAGCGAGAACATACTGCAGTTGTCTGTTTATTGTACCGTTATTCTTAAGTTTATTTTTTGATCGTAGATGACCTTTTCAGTTACTGTAAATAAATGAAAACTATAATAAGAAAACTGATATTATGGTTATAAATAATAATCATGGATTACAAATAAGAATTAAATAATGAAGTGGTTACCTGTTATTTACGTGTCCAAACAACAATATTCCCCTTCCAGTACCTGGAGCAACAGGTATTGTCCCAGTCCGGTCAGTTTTCGTCAGACCGGTGTGTGTGTGTTTGTGAAACTACCTTTATGTTTTTGATTGTTTGTTGTACAAAAGCGAAAAGATGCTTCCATATTGAAAATGGTTTTTTTTCTTTTCTAAATCGCGAAAATTTAACTGAAACATTTTCAGATGAAAGCGTACAAAAGTTCATTGCGAAAAATAACGTATATACGATAAGAATGTTCAAGTGAAAATAGTCTTTAGTTAATGAATGGATTTGTGTTACATGATTATTAATAATAGTTCAAGAGGCACCTTGCTGTTTGCAGATATATGTTTTTTTGAACATTCATATTCGTTCTTTCAGTAAATCATGATTACAACAATTGTACCCCAAACATTCATTAGGTTAGACAAACTGTTTTTTGTGTTTACTTATAAACACATACTGATGTATTTACTGTTTGTTTCAGCAGGTTTGTATTATTTTCTTAACATTAAAAGAAATGTACTTAGTAAGTGATGTGTTACTATTTCAGAATATGTTTTTTTTTTCTACTTGTTAGTAATCCTCTAAGAAATTGTCACACAATGCAGCAAAATGTTTATACTTTATGTTTAAAAACGTGCCTCAATACTTCCTATATCTGTTCAGTATCTTAATTATATGCATAAAAATAAACTCAAATAAACTCATCATTGAGAAATGCACATAATTGGAAATTAAAAAGAAATATTGATAAGCTATATTTTTATTTGAGTCATGTAATGACAAAATAAACATTTCATGGCGAAAACTTAGTAGTTTTCCCGCAATTTAAGTCCTGGAATGTAGTTAGAACGAACGTTTTGCATTAGATATATAAATCATTGAATACATTATTCCTAATATACATAATATACATTGCCAGCTTGAGTCCACATCCCAGCCTGGAAAACCAATCCTGGACGATCATCCTTCAGGTTCACAGCTTCATATCAAATCAAACTTGATTGACTTTCTGACAGCAGGCAACATCATTGGAGAGATGGGATTTCTAACAAAGAAACCTCGATCAGCCACAGTTATCTGCGAGACTGCTGTTCAGGTAATGCACCATTGAATGTTTCTTTTTTCATATATGTGTTAATATCACTTAAAATAAATATTTTCTGCTCTTTAACTTAAATATGTCAGCTTCTATCTTGCACTGAAATACTAAATGATATATCCAAATAAAGATTTAAATCTCATGTCAAATGCAATGGCGAGACACAACAGTGATCACTCTTTCCATTGTACATTATTTGGGTCTTCAATGATGACAAATGGAATTTAGAGTTTTGTTGATTAATAGGGAGAGATAATTCATAATGCACATGTGTGGAAGACATTTGGAATGAAGATGAACTGGTACTGTTGTAGCTGCTGTTTATCAGCTTGGAGGACATGGAGTACGCTCTGACCCATTTCAATGACAGTGACCCCTCTCTTGAATATCGCTTATGGCATGTTTGTGCCAATCGTATTGCTACGAATGTGTTGCTGAAACAGATGTCCTACCAGGGCTGGACTAAGGAGAAAATTAAACTGCGCCTTGAGAACTCGTATCTCCTTGATGCCGATGACATTGATGTGTTTACCGTTGATTCATCAATGTCGGATGTAGTTCTTGTCAATGGTTAGTGTATATCAAAATTAATAACTACACACCTGTTGTATCAGCAATATTTGTCATAAACGTACATGCAGATTATTGGTATTAATTAGTATTTATTTCTTCTTCAACAACAAAAATAAACAAAATTCAAAGCGCCTCGTTGGTTGTAGTGTAATTTGTCACAATGCCAAAGAAATGGAATTATACACTAACATAGGAGTATGCCTTTTGGTGAAACACTTTCATTCTGGAGCCTCTTTCAAGATATGGATTCTTCGAAAATACTTTTGAATTGTTTGCAGGTTTTGCTCAGAATGCATTCACACAGGAACAGATTGTTGGACCAGCCTACATCCCATGGACCGTCCTCAAACTGGAACTACTGGTAAATATCACGCTTCTTAGGTATCAGATTGTAACATAACACATTGTTAATATTTTTCCTTGGTTTCTACTTGTTTTCGTTTTTTAAACATCAGCTACCTGCCTTACTAAATCGCTAATACAATGTTTCAGTAAAAGATATGTGCATCTTTACAAATTATTCATACGATTATGAAGTGTTCTTTTTGCAATCTCAAACTGTTCTAAGTTAATCTCCATGCGTTTCAAAACGATCAAACAGAATGATATTTTCGACAGGTTATAAAACATCAACTGTCATTTCTATATCTAATCAATGATAAAAAGTATCCTGGTGTCACAAGTACACTTATGGTATAAACATTTCCCTTTAAATGATTAAAACGGACAAATAAGGTTCAAAAGTTTACAGATACAGCTGTACACTAAGTACACTTATAAAAGCAAACTGTGAGGTTTGCTTTGTTTCGTTTCTAAATAAATACTTTAAAAACAAATATATCTATTTATGATAAAATAACCTGTCACCCTGCAGAGGCAATAAGATTGTGTTATGGAAAGTTGCGAGTTAATCGGACAACGAAACAATAACATGCTGAATGAAGTTTGTAATTTATTACAAATCGTTCGTATCAAAATTACATTACTTAGTCGCTAATTCAATATGTGTCTGTATCTTTTTCATTTCGAAGCAATCGGTATATTTGAAACTTCGCGTTACTTAGAACATAAAAATTAATCAAAACAGAAACACAATAGCGAAGATTGCATTTCATGTAAGATAGCTTATACGATGTAAGCAGAATAATTGACTCCATGCAACAGCCTTTTCGTTAAATGCTACAGAAAGTATCCGAATTATGTTCATGCCGTTTGTATCGTAGAGCGTTAATTATCAAAACCGTACAAACTTGTCTAGCTAAAATATAGCATCAAAACCGTACAAACTGGTCCAGCTAAAGTATAGCATCAAAACCGTACAAACTGGTCCAGCTAAATTATAGCATCAAAACCGTACAAACTGGTCCAGCTAAAGTAAAGCATCAAAACGTACAAACTGGTCCAGCTAAAGTAAAGCATCAAAACGTACAAACTGGTCTAGCTTAAGTATAGCATCAAAACCGTACAAACTGGTCCAGCTAAGGTATAGCATCAAAACCGTACAAACTAGTCTTGCTAAGGTATAGCATCAAAACCGTACAAACTGGTCCAGATAAAGTAAAGCATCAAAACCGTAAAAACTGGTCCAGCTAAAGTAAAGCATCAAAACCGTACAAACTGGTCTAGCTAAGGGTAAGCATGAAAACCGTACAAACTGGTCCAGCTAAGTTATTGCATCAAAACCGTACAAACTGGTCTAACTTAAGTATAGCATCAAAACCGTACAAACTGGTCCAGCCAAGGTATAGCATCAAAACCGGAAAACTGGTCCAGCTAAGGTATAGCATCAAAACCGTACAAACTAGTCTAGCTAAGGTATAGCATCAAAACCGTACAAACTGGTCTAGCTATGGTATAGCATCAAAACCGTAAAAACTGGTCCAGCTAAAGTAAAGCATCAAAACCGTACAAACTGGTCTAACTAAAGTATAGCATCAAAACCGTACAAACTGGTCCAGCTAAGGTATAGCATGAAAACCGTACAAACTGGTCCAGCTAAGGGAAAGCATCAAAACCGTACAAACTGGTCCAGCTAAAGTGAAGCATCAAAACCGTACAAACTGGTCTAGCTAAGGTATAGCATCAAAACCGTACAAACTAGTCTAGCTAAGGTATAGCATCAAAACCGTACAAACTGGTCCAGATAAAGTAAAGCATCAAAACCGTACAAACTGGTCCAGCTAAAGTAAAGCATCAAAACCGTACAAACTGGTCCAGCTAAAGTATAGCATCAAAACCGTACAAACTGGTCCAGCTAAGGTATAGCATCAAAACCGTACAAACTGGTCCAGCTAAGGTATAGCATCAAAACCGTACAAACTAGTCTAGCTAAGGTATAGCATCAAAACCGTACAAACTGGTCCAGCTAAGGTATAGCATCAAAACCGTACAAACTGGTCCAGCTAAGGTATAGCATCAAAACCGTACAAACTGGTCCAGCTAAGGTATAGCATCAAAACCGTACAAACTGGTCCAGCTAAGGTATAGCATCAAAACCGTACAAACTGGTCCAGCTAAGGTATAGCATCAAAACCGTACAAACTGGTCCAGCTAAGGTATAGCATCAAAACCGTACAAACTGGTCTAGCTAAGGTATAGCATCAAAACCGTACAAACTGGTCCAGCTAAAGTAAAGCATCAAAACCGTACAAACTGGTCCAGCTAAAGTATAGCATCAAAACCGTACAAACTGGTCCAGCTAAGGTATAGCATCAAAACCGTACAAACTGGTCCAGCTAAGGTATAGCATCAAAACCGTACAAACTGGTCCAGCTAAGGTATAGCATCAAAACCGTACAAACTGGTCCAGCTAAGGTATAGCATCAAAACCGTACAAACTGGTCCAGCTAAGGTATAGCATCAAAACCGTACAAACTGGTCCAGCTAAGGTATAGCATCAAAACCGTACAAACTGGTCCAGCTAAGGTATAGCATCAAAACCGTACAAACTGGTCTAGCTAAGGTATAGCATCAAAACCGTACAAACTGGTCCAGCTAAAGTAAAGCATCAAAACCGTACAAACTGGTCCAGCTAAAGTATAGCATCAAAACCGTACAAACTGGTCTAGCTTAAGTATAGCATCAAAACAGTACAAACTGGTCCAGCTAAAGTAAAACATCAAAGCAGTACAAAATGGTCCAGCTAAAGTATAGCATCAAAATAGTACAAACTGGTCTAGCTTAAGTAAACCATCAAAACAGTACTAACTGGTCTAGCTTAAGTATAGCATCAAAACCGTACAAACTGGTCCAGCTAAAGTAAAGCATTAAAAACAATACAAACTGGTCCAGCTAAAGTAAAGCATCAAAACCGTACAAACTGGTCCAGCTAAAGTATAGCATCAAAACAGTACAAACTGGTCTAGCTTAAGTATAGCATCAATTAAAAACCGTACAAACTGGTCTAGTTTAGTTACAGCATCAAAACCGTACAAACTGGTCTAGCTAAAGTATAGCATCAATACCGTACACACTTGTCTAACTAAAGTATAGCATCAAAACCGGAAAACTGGTCCAGCCAAGTTATAGCATCAAAACCGTACAAACTGGTCCAGCTAAAATATAGCATCAAAACCGTACCAATTAGTCTAGCTAAAGTATAGCATCAAAACCGTACATATTGCCCCACCTAAGCCTATCATAAAAACCGCACAGACTGGCACAGCTTTTATGTTTTACAGTAAACAAAATTTCTTTCAAAAATGTTTGTGCTGTACTGAACACATGAGGTTGTGCTAGAATCAAAGTGCCAACTGGGACTGTTGCCATGCTTCAACCTAGTATACGATATTTTTGTATGAAGATTTTCAGTTAGGCATTTTTCTTATGGTATTTGATTCTGGTTATGTGGTCAGCCTGACAAAGGACCGAAGCCTGTGTTACTGATCGTGCCTACCGAGGTTGGACAGCCGCATCACACACAGCACAAGTCAAGTCATGATGTACGACATGGACATGGGGCCTTCATCTCATCTATCTCTCAGCTCTGTCTCAACCATGCCTCCAAACATCGCAAAAACGCAGAGTCCAAGTGGAAGGTAGGCTCACAGTTTAAGATATTTGTAAATTGAGTCGTTACATCTTTGTTAACTTGGAGAAAGGGGATTAGAATGTCACACACTATTCAAAGTTAAAAGTCTCCTGTGATTATTTGAGAAAAGCAAAACTATACCTTTGTATTGATGTATCAGGGACATAATGTGCTGCTTATATTTGGGTGTTTTTTTTTCATAACTAGGACAGGAAATGGCTGATTTTGTTTGATGAAAAGAATGTGATCTGTTAAGCAATTATTGGTAGATTATATTGTAATAACATGTAATATTAGGTAAAATGCAAACAATTTATGGTTAGAAGTGCCCATATGATTTCTGTCTTTGATCATTAGCAGATGCTTTTGTTTGCTTCATATACTCAGTAAAGAATAATTCAATGCTCGCTTGGAATAATGATGTTTCTCTGATTAAAACGAGGAAGTGGTGTAATTATTTTGCTTCTTCGAAAAAGTGCTTGGCTAACTACTTGGTGATCTTTTAAATCACAGTAGTTTGATTTAAGCGCTTTTAAGACGCACGATCTGAAGGTCGATACGCTAGCCATTTCTGCCTTTGCAAAAAATATTGTATTACATAGTATGACAGAAAATCCACTGTCACGCAAACGCTTAGGTTTATATTCGACCATAGATATATGTTGAGATGCATATTTATTCATATATGTCAACAATGCTTCATGTAATATTATTTTTTATATTTTATAGGGATACATTGTACATATTTATGATATTCAAAAACACAAATAATAACACTTTTTGTTGTCCGTGGACGTTGCAAATGGTGACCTAGCTTGAATGAGAGAGTAATTCAGAAAGCTATTGAGTGACTGAAATAGTGACAGATCGAAACTTCATTTTGGGAAAGTACATTACATTTAGTACAATTCGACGTTTACCTAGTCAAATGTCTGACCTTCAATCACAAATTGATTTCACGTCGACACGTCTCCACATGTTAGTGGTTGTGTTTTATAATGCGATGCTTCAAGCTAACCATAAATTGTTATTCTGCATCGCAAATCAGACGAATCCACCACTCAAATATTCACATACAAATTACATTTAACAATCAACAATCCTAGGTAGTTGTTATTTCACTTTTAAATGCGTGATGAAAAGAGTTGACAATGTACACTATTGAACAAATTTTACAATATCTCCGCGTTACACTGTGTCAGGTCCTACTGATGACTATCTTCTTCGAATTACGATATATTTTCTTGTATTATCCTGCAACTAATGAAATTATTTATAAAATATACATTAAGATTGAATCCCTTATATCTAATTAACATACTTCAAATATCTGCTTGCAATATATTAGGTTCCATGTAATCATGCAAAGAAAAACTATTTTGCTGTAATTTAGAAAGAGGGTTTGTGCAAAATTCAGATATATTTAGAAACAAAACCAAAGCCTATGCATTGGCATGCTTTGTTGTTTTGTAATCACAACGTCGTATGGCCGTCTAACATCACCCCTTTATTAGGTCACCTGAGCTTTGCTCAAGTGACCTATTCCAATCACTTTTCGTCCGTCGTCGTCCGTCGTCCGTCGTGCGTCGTGCGTCGTGCGTAAACTTTTACATAATCAACTTTTTCTCAAGAACCAGTGGATGGAATATTTTCAAACTTGGTCAGAATCATCCTTGGTAGATGAGGATACCAAATTGTAAAATTGGGATTCCTACCCCAACCCTAGGGGCCAGGGCGGGGCCCAAAAGGGAAAATTAACCAATATTTCAAAAATCTTCTTCTCCAGACTCAGAGGTATTACAGTCATTTTCTCTGCATGGATGGAAAGATCATCAGAGGCTTTATTTAAATTGTAAATTTCAGGACCCCCGAGCTATCCGTTCTCCCTTGGGGAGGGGGTAAAGTTTACTATAGTTTATATAGGGAAATAACACTTTTGGGTATATATTTTATCCATTTTCAGCAGAAAATTACTCAAACTTAGTCAGAATCATCTTTGGTGAATGAGAGTATTACTTTGGAAAATTGGGATTCCTGCCCCATCCCCAGGGGCTAGGGCGGGGCCCCAAAGGGAACATTTACATATATTTTCAAATTCTTATCCTTTGATGACATGACAAGTATTGTATTTCACTTAGTTTACATGCTGATTTCCACATCACATCTAAACAATAAAATAAAGCTACCAGTACCTATGATATAACTCAGGTGACCGCTAAGGCCCTTGGGCCTCTTGTTTTCTATTTACTTTAAACGATATCAAGATCAATAATTCGAGCGTCATGATGGCTTGCATGGATATGTTTTGTTTCACTGGTTTTAATTCCTTTTCGCTTGCTAAAATTGTTACCATTATCATAGTGGTCGATTATTATTGATTTAAAATTGCAATCATCGGAAAAAAAGAATGAACCGATGAAACAATGGCTGAAGTGAACTGTAGGTTGAACTTATTATTTGATTATTTCAACGGCTTTTAAAGAAAATGGTTCAATAGACAATCAAAATAACAAGAGCCGCTGTAAACCCCTACATGGACACCGCCATTAGTAGACAGATATTTTGCCAACCCGTGTGAGAAAAATATAACGTTATACATCAGATTTTAGCCAAACTTGATTTAAAAAATGGAAATCATGTATGAGAAATGTGTAAGGGTTTACAAGGACCCTGGTTAAACATAATGATAATCATGTATGAGAAATGTGTAAGAGTTTACAAGGGTATTTTACCACAATGAAATATTTATCAAACGTGAAGCTTACCCTATGTGCAACGCCCCCCCCCCCCCCCCCCCCCCCCCCNTTTTGATAAAGAACGATATAAAATGTTAACTCAGTAAAAATTGATAAAAAATATAAACACACCAGTTTGCTTGTTTCAAACATTACACACCCTTTCACAAAATGCTGACACTTCCTTTGGTTTTACAGCAGGACATTGCACGCAAACGCTCAATACAGGTATGGACACTGTCGCCTGTCGTTATGTTGTCTACTCTGTATCTGTAGATAGAGTGTGCTATAACCTTGTCATCTAACAACATGGCTCTCAGTGGATATATGTGTTTGTGTTTAACAAGAAATATCTTCCAACAACATATGACAATACTTACAATAACAATAAAAAAGTATCACTGATACTGACCTTTGATAATTCAAAAGTGATGTCGTATTAACCAGTTACCCACATGTCTGTACCTAGTTATGTGTAAGGACATGTCGACACTAGGCTGCTTAATGTTTTCAAAGGACGTTGCGGTAGACTTAAGATGTGCGAGAAAATATTGTAAATTATCTCTTAGTGGCTTGTGACTATTCAAACTATCATTGACGGCGAAATAACGATAAAGTCGTATTGTATGATACACTATACAGTTATAGATATGAATGTACTGTATTTTGGAGAAAACTTCATTAGTTTCCACATAAATTATATTAAATTAACGAATCCTCCTAAGCAATAGCCTATTTTAATTTATAGGACAAGGTACACTTCTGTTAAAGTAACAAATATATCAATCGATATGGACAGTTTTAAGTTCGCTTAGTAAACATTGCTATGTACATAGCGTGACTTACTCTAACGTTTCTGATATTCTATTTCACCTAAATATTGAATTTTATAACGTGACCTTTGAAATTTTTTACCTAGAATGAATCGTGCGAAGTCATTTTTATTACACATCAATGTACGTCTAGAATTGTTTTTTTACCACTTTCTTGTATTATCCTGTTAGATATTTGTCATTTAATCTTACTTTAATTTATATTATTTATTCTTTTTTTTTTTCTTTTTTTTTTTCTCTTGCACTTGTCTTTTTATGTGTCGTTTTTCTTGCACCTGTCAAAGTTGGTGATGTGTCTTGGGTTTAACATGTCTGTGACTTTCTTTGATTGTATTGTTCGTTTTCACAACTGTTTTTCTTGACTGCAGTAGCTATTGCTTTACAGTAAGGTATCGATATACAGGCAGTTTTCAGATTTGTGTATTATAATTCGCGATTTGTTCCTTAATGTGATGTTTTGTTACGTGAATTTCGGAATGGTTCGGCGAATGCGGTTGGTATACTTACATATGTTTAATTCATTTTAAAAACTAACCATAATTACCGTTTTTAATACATCAATGTAACCAACGATTATATGGGTTTTCAGTTAATGTAGAATTGGTGGCGATTATCATTTAAAAGATTATTAACCTTTATTAATCCATCTATTATTGTTTAAATCTTACAATGAAAATGTAATACTGATATGCATGAATGGTTTATGTTTCAATTTGCAGAAAGTTCAACAAGCAAAAAGTCTTGGAGTACTATTTAACAAGGGTCGGATTAACAGTGATGACAAACAACATAGTGCCACTTCAAACGGTACCATCAACAGGCAAGTGAGCCCTGACGGGGACGAGGAGGACGACAAGGTTTAGATCAAATGGCGTGTTTCAGCAACGTTTCGCATATAAATACACGCACAGGTGCCATGTCTTATTTGAGACGACAATGAAAGAAGGGTTGTGTTATATGAGAAAGTGTTGTTCAAATGTACCAGAAAAAAATATAAATTTCTGAATGTTGTCAATTTAGGGTAAAATGTTTTTATATCCTATCTGGATTATGGTTCAAATAATACTGAAAAAAATAACAGGAAAGGTCGTACCCAATCTTTTTAATTATCCCTTTTTGCCCTTCAACAGGAGGGTTAAATACAACAGCGCAATTAAAACAATAGGTAATGGAAGGGCAAGTCTAAAAACGTCCGAGGGTGAACCTTTCCAAGTTCTATGACGGTAATATACAGTGGTAATCTAGATTACTATATCAACCCCTAGACTCTCTATAGGAAGGATATGGTAATGTGATCAAGACGAAACGATTGACATTATATCTTGACACGATATGGCAGTAGGATCGAATTTATAGTATGCCAGTTTATGAGCTTTGTAAAGGCAACGGAGGATGGAAGGAAGCACATTGACACTCAGTCATGATCCAGTGCTTACTGATAAAGTCTTGAGTAAAAGATTTAATTTTAAATCAAGAAATAAACATGTTGATTAGCCATTATAAATTACAGTATCTAATGATATTCAAAGCTTAATGATGAATCCGTTTGATGACATGCGTCTGACAATGAGACTTCGGGGTCTTTAACAGATAACACTATAAACAGGACTTTGCTATTGATATAGATTCGACGGCATATAAACGTATGCTTTTATGATCCTTCTGAAACGTAAAAGTATTCCCATTATTGAGTTCTATATGCAAACATTATAATGTTTAGTTGCCCTTTTTTAGTTCATAATTTGCACATTTTGAAGCACTACATCTTATATATTATATTTTTCATAAGCATGATTTGCTCCACATATCGGCACCTAACGTCTAGTGTACTGCTTCACCACTGTGTCGCTTCGTGTGTGCTGTGCATCTGGTGTCTTCGTGTGTCAATGTTTCTGATGTATTATTGTGGTGTAATCATGTGAAAGTCTGATGTCAAGTGCTGTTGGGATGTAACAATATGTCAGTGTGGAGTTCTCATTTGTGAGTGTGACGTTATGATATAATAATAATTATCATATTTCAATATGATATATCAGTAACGTCTAAATTTTATTAATTTAGTCTTTGACCTCATGCGCATTTGCGCATTTAATACTTTTGTAAGTGGCTTGATGTGTAGATATATCAATGCACAGAACATGCATCATATATTTTACTAGACATTTTAAACTGACCTAATTTCACTAAAATATGACTAGTGAAGGTAATCTCTACCCCAAAAAGCTTTTGACGGTATTTTTTATCCGGAAAATAATTCACAGTTGTTCCTTCTTTGTATAATCATATTTACATATCTTTGTATTTAAAATTATCGCTTAGGTCACTGTTAATTATCCTAAAAGGAAACATTTTGTAGATATCAAGATAGCATATTTTTTCCTGACAACATTTATTATACAAAACATTTGAATAAATATATGACAAGTGAGCATTAGGATTCACAGATTCATGCTGAAATAAAATTCTGCTACTTGAACAGCTGTTAAGCATTCTCTCATCTATTTTGGGACGGATTATATTGAAGTTTTAAAACAATTTCCATTTTTCATCCTTAAATACCGATTAGTGATCATTTTAATTCTCAAAAAAGTAAATGCACATAGGAAAATCGTTATGACTGTTTCAGTTACAGGATATGTTTATGCTATTAAAAACTGATGTATTGAGAAAAACTTTGCATATAGAACAGCTCTTTTGCATAGTTTTCTTTGCTCTTTTTTTTTAGTTTGCTTTATTTCAATTTTACATGTTGCGTTTTCATTGTTTATTTGATTTTTTTATATATTTACTCCAAAGAAATAATCCATATTTTTTTAATATCCTTAGCAATGTATTTAAGCGGTAATCTTATTTTGATTAATTTGGCAGTGCTATCTATATCGTATATACAACGAAATGCTTTTCTTTTTCTTTTAAAATGTGCACACTGGCTATGATTTTCCTAAAATAATATCGCTAATAAACTAGACTTACAGTATGTGTAGTTTAACTAGATATGGGTTTTTTTATCTTTCTTTTTTTTGTTTTGTTGTATTTAATGAATTTGTATGCTTTTGATTAGCGGTTTATGTTACTTTTATTTAATGCTTTTTTCATTTTACTATTTTAGTGTGTTTTCCGAATTCCAGTATATAAACGCTAGATTTCACATAAAGAGACTATTACCATCACATAAAGAGACCCCTCGATTAGTAATGTTTGTTAAATATATTGTTGTTAAATCTTTACACTCTACGTTTATGAAACCATGATATCGTTAAAAGTAAAAGGCCAAAGCTATCTTGCCGCACTGATGCATACAAGAATGAACGTCGTTTTTACAAACAATATTCAGTGTAGCCGTTTTCTTCGTTGGTTAACATTGTTATATCACATAAATGAACATATATTACATTCCGTATGCAGGATTGCAGACGACCTTCAAATAGCTTAAGTTAATATAGCTTAATGAAGACATCTTATTTGTTTTCAACGAATTACAAAAAATCACATTTCATTTTTGGCAGAAGACTTCTGTTGACATGTAGGATTTTTTTCATTTTTATTAAATATAGTTATAATATCTTAATAGTCCTGTACAAAGACAATCTTTAAAAATATTAATATAAGGATTTAAGGGTAAATTTTCCATTCAAAGCGCTATAGTAAAGACATTAGATATCCCATGAACATTCAGAGCGACACTGACGTATTACTAAAATCATAATAGAAAACAAGCCCTTAAATAATGAGCCCACCTTCTACCTCTATCATATCCATTTGATAACAATTACACTTAGTCATAAAATATATGCGAAATAAGGTTAAGAATAATTTCAAATTTCAATTTTATCCTGGCAGGAATAGTACAAATCTCATGTTGATAACGTTGTATTTTGTAAAAATATGGAAATCATCATTCAATAGATCGTTATGAAATAGCTGAAAATCATTCCATTCGATCAGTTTTGGGTAATAGCGAACAAATAAGCATTTGATTTTCCACTTCAAATAATTTGTTTTCTGACAAACAGTTTAATGATCATAGTTATGACAATAGTTGGTATATTTTTCCCATACAAACGAATATAACACAATGTATAATACTAAGTCTCATTTAAACAGCTACCAATCTCTCTCTCTATATATATGTTATACTCCACAGAGACCAACATTTCTTTAATGCATAAATAATACCGGAATGTCGAATATTTAAACTATAAATCACGAGTGAGTCAAATAAACAAAAATGATAAATCAGCGAGATATTTAAGCTCTATCAAATATCTCTTGATGATAAATTTATTGGAACCATTTGCCGCTTTGCGTTGTAGAATTACTTCGTTACACAAAAATATGATTGATTTTTTTCGGACATAGTAGTTCTTATATTGGTTTCATTTGTACGATCCAAATATTATAAAACGTCAGCTAAGAGATTCTACAAAAGAGCGACAGAACTAAAGAAGTGGGTTTTTTGTCTATATAATGTCTATATGAGATTAGGCCTATCTCACTTGTATTCTATATGTTTTTTGTTTTTTTTTATCTAATTTATCTGTGATGCTAAGCTAGTTAAATTTATAATGATTTGGATAAAATGATTAATCTTTGATTTTTTTTTAGTTATTTTAGAAAAAAATTGAACAGTAGCCTATCTGGAAAAAATCCATTACAGAAACCTATTCAGATGGTTGAATATACGATATATAACATTGAAGTTCATGGTACAGCTATGGTATATAAACTTGTAACATTTCGCTGACTGGTACCATTTGTACTCCTGTCACTATCATCAAGAGAAACTGTCCCTAGATAGAATCTGAAATGTCATATTGACGAAGTTTTAAACAACGGATCATTAACCAGTCAGCGAAACGTTTGGAGTCGACTATATATTGGACGCATATTTTATGTAAAGCTAAACTTTCTTAATGCTTAAACAGATAAATCTGACTTGATAAAAAGACTTTATTCGGATCATGATGATGATTTGTATGCTTTGTGCATTCAAGCTTACGGTTTACCTATTTAACGTTTTGTGGCCTGCTTATTTCACGAGAATACATCCGTGTTGCTCTATTATGATTTGTTTGTTGTAACTTTCTTTTTCTGTCCTTGTAAAATGTAATGATGTTGGTTTGTGTTTCAATACATTAAATTTTATAGTTTACAAAATTGATCTTGTCATCAAATTATTTTCCGAATGTAAATAAACTTCTAGATATTTTAATTTCAGTTTATGAAAGCGTGCAACTGTTATCAAAGTCGTTTATTGAATTTGAAAAGCTTACTCTTAATATTGATAAAAAATATGTATTTCCTCGAAAACATTTTAATATGGTGACGTGGATTTTGCCTGTTAACCTGGGATATGGCGTAGGTAGACAGCTAACTGTTATGGAATACAAACCATGTTATGTTGTGGATTCAAAGCACGAAAAAAGACGATGACCCCAAGTAATGCATTTACATTCACGATACGTATGTTACAAATGCGTTATTGGTTAAGCTTACACTACATCATCTGCGGTAAATCCATTTATTTGGCATGGCCTTTCCTGATGCACGAGAACCGCAAATATTCTATTGTTTTTCATTTGAACGGTCAAGTCGTACTTTCAGGTAAGTCTTTTGACTTCTTCTGAATGGATATGCAAACTGCATGCGAAGCATTTTAACAATAACAAGCTAGATGAAAATTAACTAATAGTTTAAAAGTTGGCAACTAATTGTATGATTGGCATGTCATTTTTGCAATACACGAACAGTATGTGGGACTAATATCAAGTAATCCTTTTCCGTATTTGTTTAACTGTTTTAAATCTTGTCTCCATAGGGAATGTTATCCTCTCGGAGCAAGAGCCTCTACGCCAGGACGAATACAGACCAGGCCTCTGCGGCGTTTTCGGAGAAACGGATTGGAAAATTCTGAGAGCGAAGATATAAATGAAGAACACATGTATCCTATTTGGACACGTAGTGCGGATAGTGGTCAAGCCACATGTAAATCATGTGGAGCTGAAATTGAAAACTGCATTTGTTATGAACCTGAAAACTTGCAAAGAACAGATGAACTCTCCAAAAGACGTGTATCCTACCATGAACCGTCCTGGAGATATAGGAAAACCAATGAACCAGATGATGAAATTACCTTCAACACCCAGTCCTCAGTCCGCAGGTCAAGCACCAAGCCATCGGATAAATACGAATCGAAATGCATACCATCTGAACACATTGAGAGTCATGGTATACACTCTGTGTATCACAGAGATGACACTCAACCGTCGGAATCTACCACAAATTTTTCAACTAAAAATTCATTACAATGTTCAGGATATGCGAGAGTCGGAGTAAATGAATCAGGCACTCATTCGCCTGGAACTCCACATCAAGACGATTTGAGCAACGACCATCGCAATGACAGGGCGACATTCGTTGGTAATAGTCGATTATCACATGTCTCATCCGGCTCAGAAAAGGCATCACATCGTGACTCTGATACTGGCTCATCATCATATTTGAACAGTGGTATATTTGATAGACGTGACCCGGCTAGTAGATCTGGAACAGACGAGTCGGGAATAGCTCCGCTCTGTTTTTCGTCTGAAACACACAGTATGGATACTAACTCCTATGATACCCACACCTCAGAAGATAGTAGACTAGCGAGTGTGTCATCAGGAAATGGACAGAGCAGCATGTCAACTGGTACTCGAGAATCCGACAGCATATCCTCCGTCACACGGGAGACACTGTCTTCAAGAACAATGAGTTCTGATAGCGCTTCAGTTGAAATAAGCGGATCCTATAGTGGACCGTCGGGGTCTTATAGTTCCAAGTCCTACTCTGATTCTCGTTCGACCACTCCGTCATCACTTTCCATGACGGCTCCTCAATCAAGTACATCCCTATGTTCCAGAGAATTGAATTTGGAGAGTCAAGAGGGAGTAAATCAGCCTGATGCATCATTACCACCTATTACTGATATCGAACATATCACAGATAAAAATAAACAAGTGAAAGCGCTTGAGCATGTTGTCAGTGGCCCTAGTTGTCCTGTTAGTGTGTCTTCTGAAATTCCCTTTTTAGACAGTCGCAAGTCAGACTTGGATGAAGACCTAGCGTCTTACATATTGGGTAAACGTGATTTTGCGTTAGAGCGAAAGTCGTCCTCTTTAACATCCTCTTATGTTCCTGTGATGGAAAGAATTCCAGAGGCTAGTGGAACGGACAGTGTGTCAACTAGCGTATCAAACACTTCATTGAATGACGATGTCGGAAGCTTGCAGGCCGGCTGTGGCCCAACCCCGATGGAGAAAATCCCGGAGATCAGCGGAACCGATAGTGTAACCAACACCTCCATGGATAGCGACGTAAACAAATCCAGTATAACCATGGATACCAAGCTATAGAAAGTAAATTAAGGAGCAAAACAAACCTTGTTTTATGGCATCATCAGTAAAATTGTATTTCATGCAACTTGTTCCGCTCTGTACAACATCAGTCTTGATTTAACTTAATTGAAGTCAGTTTTGTAAAAAGGAGCGGGAAGTGTAAATTCTCAGTCTATCGATTTTTATTGTATATTATCTATCTACCATTACTTCCATTTTTAAGTGTCGTTATCCCTCAAAACTCTTTTTTATGTTTGGATGGATGTTTTTTTTTATCGTTGTATACCTTTTTCTGCTATGATTTGTGTCAAAGTCACTCTACCAGCAGCTGAGCTGAACGTTCGCCTGTTATGTTTTTGTCTGTGTCCCTTCATTGACAATCTGCACGCCAGTATGCTGTATTTAATATATTTGTCACCACAACGACGGAGTGTTTTGTGTTTTTTCTCTGTCAAGCGTCCGTGTACCTGCATGTTATGTGTTTGTCTGTCTATGTTACATCTATCTGACCACCGGTTACGTATTTGTCGTTCTTTGTACCATCTGTACCACTTCCTGTTTTGTGTTGTCTGTCTTTGTACCATCTGTACGACTTCCTGTTTTGTGTTTATCTGTCTATGTACCATCTGTACGACTACCTGTTATGTGTTTGTCTGTCTATGTACCATCTGTACGACTACCTTTTATGTGTTTGTCTGTGTTTGTACCAGCTGTACGACTACCTTTTATGTGTTTGTCTGTCTATGTACCATCTGTATAACTTCCTGCTATGTGTTTGTCTTTGTGCGATCTGTACGACCGTCTGTTATGTGTTTGTCTTTCTTTGAACATCTGTTAGACTACCAGTTATGTGTTTGTCTCTGTGCCAAATGTACGACTACCTGTTATGTGTTTGTCTGTCTTTGTACCAGCTGTACGACTGCCTTTTATGTGTTTGTCTGTCTATGTACCAGCTGTACGACTGCCTGTTATGTGTTTGTCTGTCTTTGTACCATCTGTACGACTACCTGTTATGTGTTTGTCTGTCTTTGTACCATCTGTACGACTACCTGCTATGTGTTTGTCTGTCTCTGTGCCATCTGTACGACTACCTGCTATGTGTTTGTCTGTCTTTGTGCCATCTGTCCGACTACCTTTTATGTGTTTGTCTGTCTATGTACCATTAGTACGGTTACCTGTTATGTGTTTGTCTGTTTTTGTGCCATCTGTACGGCTACCTGTTATGTGTTTGTCTGTCTTTGTACCATCTGTACGACTACCTGTTATGTGTTTGTCTGTCTTTGTACCATCTGTCCGACTACCTGTTTTGTGTTTGTCTGTCTTTGTGCCATATGTACGACTACCTGTTATGTGTTTGTCTCTGTGCCATCTGTACGACTACATGCTATGTGTTTGGATGTCTCTGTGCCAACTGCACGACTACCTGCTATGTGTTTGTCTGTCTTTTTGTCATCTGTCCGACTACCTGTTTTGTGTTTGTCTGTCTATGTTCCATCTGTACGGCTACCTGTTATGTGTTTGTCTGTCTTTGTCCCATTTGTACGGCTACCTGTTATGTGTTTGTCTGACTTTATACCATCTGTACGACTACCTTTTTTGTGTTTGTCTATGTACCATCTGTACGACTACCTGTTTTATGTTTATCTGTCTATGTACCATCTGTACGGCTAACTTTTATGTGTTTATCTGTCTATGTATTATCTGTACGACTACCTGTTATGTGTTTGTCTGACTTTGTACCATCTTTACGACTACCTGTTATGTGTTTATCTGTCTATGTATTATCTGTACGACTACCTGTTATGTGTTTGTCTGTCTTTGTACCATCTGTACGACTTTCTGTTATGTGTTTGTCTGTCTTTGTACCATCTTAACGACCGCCTGTGATGTGTTTGTCTGTCTATGTACCATCTGTACGGCTAACTGTTATGTGTTTATCTGTCTATGTACCATCTGTACGACTACCTGTCTTGTGTTTATCTGTCTATGTACCATCTGTACGGCTAACTTTGTGTTTGTCTGTCTACGTACCATCTGTATGGCTACCTGTTATGTGTTTGTCTGACTTTGTACCATCTGTACGACTACCTGTTTTGTGTTTGTCTATGTACCATCTGTACGACTACCTGTTATGTGTTTATCTGTCTATGTACCATCTGTACGACTACCTGTTTTGTGTTTGTCTGTCTTTGTACCATCTGTACGACTACCTGTTACGTGTTTGTCTGACATTGTACCATCTGTACGACTACCTGTTTTGTGTTTGTCTGTCTTTGTACCATCTGTACGGCTACCTGTTTTGTGTTTATCTGTCTATGTACCATCTGTACGACTACCTGTTTTGTGTTTGTCTGTCTTTGTACCATCTGTACGACTACCTGTTATGTGTTTGTCTGTCTTTGTACCATCTGTACGACTACCTGTTTTGTGTCTGTCTGTCTTTGTGCCATCTGTACGACCGCCTGTTTTGTGTTTGTCGGTCTTTGTGCCATCTGTACGACCGCATGTTACTTGTCTGTCTATCTGCCATCTATACGACCATCGGTTATATATTTGTCGATCTTTGTACTATCTTTACCGCCCTTCTACTTTGTGTTGTAAACATCTTAACGATACCTGATATGTGTTATGTCTGTCTACCTTTTGTACGACCACTGTTATGTATTCTTTACGTATGTCTGCCTGTATTGCTCATTCTTGCCTGGTATAAACATAAACTGCATCGTATCTACAACCACTTTGTTTACGCTTAGGTGTTGTGTGTCCGGCTAACATCTGTCCGACCACATGATCTATGCATGCATGTTATATATATATTCTTGCTTGGTGTTTCCTTTGTTTGTCGTCTGCTTTTCTGTCGAATCTATTTCTTCCATGAGTTTGCTTTCAATGTCTGTTTACCGTCTTTCATCATTACGCCTGTCCCATTAATATCCTGTCCACCATATCTATGCACACCTTTCATTTAATATTTATTGTGGATTTCTGACGATTTACAGTATGTCCAGGCTTTATATAATTGTGTCCTTTTTCAGTTTAACTCTTCTCGAATTTTCTGGACTGTTCGTGACTTAACAAAACAAAAAGAACATAAAAATTATACCCGTGTAAGTAATGTAAGAATGGAGTACTAATTAATGTCGATATTGTCTTTTCTAAAATAGAAGCTAGTTTCTGAAAATGGGTATATTTGTATTGATATCTATTCTCTATCCACATAAAAACTACTAGACCACACATAAAGAGCCTGACTTAACTTTTCAGTTTATTTAATGTATTTATTTCCGATAAACTCGAGCGATCTTTTTTTTTTTAAAATCGTCTACAGCATGTTGCAGTGTTTAAACATAATTGTAAAATAGGTCAACTGCATAAAGTCATTACAATATGTTAATGATTAAAACGAAACGTAAAACGCAGTCACACATTATTTGTACTAAAAACATCATTAAGTTGTACAACATTTGAGGCATAAATATTCATTGTTAAAGTACAATGAACTTTACTCAGAGAAAATCAGCTATAATTGTATTAGTTAATGTAAACTTTGGTGTCCCTATAGAGCTACTTATTACAATTACAGTACTATACGATGGCCTAATATATATTACACTGATTGATCAAATAATTACTTTTTGTACAAAATTATAATGTCAGATGACGTATATCTTTAAGTGTGTTGTTTATCTTTAACAGATTGGTGATGAATACTGATTAGAAATCAATGGTATGTAAGGTGTCGACTCGTTTTACTGACTATTTCTAGTCGGTGCCTAATGACGTACAAATGTAAAGGCAAAGAATTTCATTTTTCAAACAAAAAAATGTTTTATGTAGTTCGATAGATAACGATCATTGACAAATGCTATATGCTATAGCTCCCCTTCGAATTTGAAGATATGAAGAATTGTCCATATGCTTAGAAAGTTGACGTGGCTAACTATATGTGATTAGCAATACTACCTGAGTAGTGTTTTAAAGGCTAGCATCGTCCTTTCTATATATTTGGTTTTTGACGTAGAACAATAATCATAGCCAAGTACATGTAAATAGTAAGAATTGTTCTGTTATTTTATATGTAAATGACGATGTTGATTTATCTATGCAAAGTGTTATTACATGTTTTACGTTATATAACGCGAAATAAGACAAACTTAAGCCAATCGATGGTGATGCAAACAAATCCATTTTTGTTAAGTTTACTCTGATTGTGCATATATCTGAAATTTATAATAGAATAAACATTGAAATTGAAAATGTCAGAGCTGTTTTTTGTTAGCTGATCTGTCCGAAGGCAAGTGAGATTGTGCCTAGGTGCGACGTCCGTAGTGCGTCCGTACATGCTTTCAACGAATTCTTTGGAAGATATTTGTCTTCCTTAATAAGTGTCTGCGAAAGATTACGAATACAAATGCATTTGCCTTACTTCCAAGGTCAAAAGGGCCAAATATGTAAAAAAAAAAAAAAAAAAAAAAAAAAAAAAAAAAAAAACAAACTTTTTCTTAAGAACCGAAACAATCATGCTATTAATTGGTAGCTTACATGGATCGAGCCCGGCAACTGTTGTGAATATCTACTTTTAAGGTCACAGTAGTAGAAAAATATCAAATATTTCTTAGGGACAGAAAGGCCTCGAGTCATTATATTTGGCTAGTAGCTTTGTTGAAAGGAACCAGTCTAAGTTTGTGAAAACACGATCCTGGACTTATTTTGATTGTCACACGGTCAAACATATATAATCAAATATTAGGCAAATAACTCCTTCACAGCGAGCCTTAAAAAGTGTGAACATAAAGCTGGCCTTGACCTACATTGCGGATAACAGGGGTCAACTATGTCAAAATCTTCAAACGTTTTCTAACGAAAAATAAGAACGATAACAGTCATGCATTTGGATAGTATGTTCCTGTGTTCAGTGTGTTAAGTCTGCAAAGTAAACGATCCTAGGCTACATTCAAGATCAAAGAGGTCAATGCTTTGAACTTTTCAGGAAATAATCCAGAGACCTGTAGTGATATTTGACCAGTAGTATGCTGGCCATTGGTGGAATGAAGGACAATCAATTTTGTTAAAAATTTGCAGGGAGTCTATCTGTTTCTGTCCATGCATAATAAAATCTGTGAATGATGCATCCCCTGAGTGGCATATGTACAGACAAATGATTGCTTAAGCTCTGGCTAAGTATGCGAGTTGTCACAGGAAGAACTGTTGTTTGTAAGCGCAATTCGTCGTCATTACTATTACTAAAAAGAAACAGTCATTGTGTATATATGATGATGTTGATGCTAATTGTCATTGTGTATATATGATGATGATGATGCTAATTTTCATTGCGTATATGTGGTGGTGATGATGATTGTCATTGTGTATATGTGGTGATGATGATAATTGTCATTGTGTATATGTGGTGATGATGATGATTGTCATTGTGTATATGTGGTGGTGATGATGATTGTCATTGTGTATATGTGGTGATGATGATAATTGTCATTGTGGATATGTGGTGATGATGCTAATTGTCATTGTGTATATGTGGTGATGATGATTGAGGATGAGGATGATGGCTGAAAAACCTTTGCTCATGTCTGCATGGGAATATGTGAAATTCTTTTTTTGCTACAGAACATTGATATTTTGGTTAAGGCAATCTATATATAAGTTTAGGAAATTCCCTTATTATTCCCTGATTATGTAATTCTACTGAAAATATAAAACTTTACATTTGATTACAAAAAAGGAACACTGTACAAATTAGGAGTTTTTTTCAAAGGTCAAGGTTACTATTATAAGAAATGTTGTGTGTTTTTGTCCAGAAACTATCATCAGAGCAAAAATTCACACCAAGTTAAAATAAGAATGAAAATTGCTCAGGAAATGAGAAACCACCCTGTATACTTTGGACAGAGTTCTTCAATGGTCAAGGCTACTGGTAACGAGGATACATTTAGATACTAGCTTCATAACCAATATTCCAACAAAGCCCAACCTCAAATATATGTTGCTTTAGAAAGATTCTTATTAATTTTGGACGAAGTGTTTTCAAATGTCAAGGTCACTGTTAGTTAAAACACCATTTTTTGCCCGGAAAAAAATATTATCTAAATAGATTATCGAACAAAGTTCAGAACTGGTATCTAATTTTCTCTAAGGTAGAACCCTGATGACATGGATTTCTGATGGTCAATGTCACTGTTGAAATAAAGAATTGATTTGTCCGCATACTAATTTCATAACAAATATTTCAGCAGCAAATCTTAAACCCAGTACGTTGGTTGCCGTAGGAAAGAGAAAGAACTATGTATGCTTATTTTGGGTCAATGGTCAATGTCACTATTTTCTTCTTCGGATTCTTATTTCAAAACAAAGGGCCGCACGAAATTATCAATATGAATGGTGTCCCCGGCGAGATATAGTGGTTACGCGGGGTGTCCATCTGCCCGCAGTGTTTGTCTGGATGATAACCTCAGAAGTAATGATTACATCAAGTTGGTGTGTGAATGCAAAGAACACCATAGATTTTGGACGTGTACCGACAAAGGTCAAATTCACCGTTGTGCTTGTCATGATGATAATCAAAGATTGAAAGACCGGACAAAGTTATAACGTTGTGTGTGGGCTGTACCGGTTTGGTTTTGACGCAGTTCGTCAAAGGTCAAGGTTCATTGCTTAAAATAGCAGTTTGCTTCTCTGAATTTCATACAAATTGCCTTCTCGATCACAAATCTTAAATGAATCATCAGCATTTTCCTGCATGTCGATTTTTTTAATTTTTTTTGGGGGGGGNCTCGGTAAAATGCGTCATGCTAGGAAAGACATGGAACACATCTTATCTTATTTTTAAGTAGTTCTTGAAAGTTCAAGGTAATCGTTATTAGCTCACCTGGTCAGAAGGATTTAAAACGCCACTAGTCCTGAACAGGTCAGTGGATTTGGACTTAATTTGGCCTGGAGCATTCTTGGGCAACAGGAACTAACTTCCGGGGCTGATAGGCGGGACCCCATAGGTAAATTGAGGTCAATCTTTAAAATCCTTTGCTTTCGTACCAAAGGAGGGATTTGAACCAGAGTATGTCTGTGAAATGTGGATTCCAATTTGTATAAATGGAGCGTGGGGCAGCGGTGCCTAATACAAAAATATATGGGTAAATATTTTAAACCCTTCTCCTTAAATTCAAAGAGATATATATTAACCATATCTGTTCTAGAACAACAGCAGGCTAGGAGATGATGTAAAACCTGAGGGCTTGGCCTTTTCATTGGCAGCCGGGTAGGACCCGATAGGAGAAGAATACAATGACTATATCTTGACCAATCAATTAATTAATTAAATTAAATTAACTATCGGAAATCTATCGACGGGTTGAAATGTCAACTGCTGAGAAAGGTGTGTGCCCTTCGTTTGCTGGGCTTCAAGAATATATTCTCTGTCGAACTGACACAGAATACCGTGCCACGTCGTAGCGTGGGAAGATTGGTCACTCATCACTGGAAGTCGATCAAGCTATTGTAGAAATGTCGGTCCACGAGTGTCGCACAATTCATGAATATGTATAGCTACCGTTTAAATTTTAATTTTGTTGACCGGTATTTTCCGTTAATGTATCAGGCCCTAGGAAGAGCATCTCCGTCGCGGTATCAATCACGAGAGTATTGATTTGATGGTAACGACGTTAATATTACGGTGCTTCTTTGCTCTTACTATAAAAAAACAATATTTCAACGCAATATTCCCGAGGCATTCATTTACCGATTCTTGCGCTATTGGTTTGATCTGAACGCTAAGAACATACTATTTCCAAAACTACCCGGTTTTACGATATTGGTCCAAACATAACGATTTTGGAGACTGTTGAAATGTGTTCTTTGTTACTAGTTAATATGGGCATAGGTACCAAATGTGTCGTTTTGGGAAGTTGTACAAGCGGAGCATGCGCACGCAGCATTTTCGGAAGTAGTTTGGATACCATTTAAGATAAAACAAAACAATTTCGAGTTTTCTATCTAGAATAGGTGTACAACGCGAAAGCTACAAATATCGGAAAAAATGATCATGATGATAAAACTTAACCGAAGCTGTAACACTGACACCAGTGTAAATAAATACTAATGATCGACCCTGACAGTATCAAACACAAATATTGCTGGTCAATCAGAAGGATAAAACTGATAATATTTTTCTTAATTTACCACAAAGCAGGGTACACTGTCTGCTGTTTATCAACAAATATCAGACCTTAACGTACTGACCCCCTTTAATCCTGAAGTGTATTGATAGCGTTTATAGAAATATAACCTTACGTCCGTGTTAACAGTCACCAGATTTTTACTAAAAATCCAAATGACAGGTATATCAGAAGCCCTATGTTATTGATTAGTAGATTATCATTGAATCTAAATTTAAAATCTTCAACACATATATAACATCAAGTGCCATGCAAATATATATGCCCAAGTGATCGTGAATCGCACCAACACAGCAGATCACCGAGTATTTTATTTCAGTTTTGATTTTTTTTTCTTTTTGTTTTCTTTTTCTCGACGTATTGTTAATATAATGAGGCTCGCTCCCCTTGATTCCAGTACGTTGTTAATAAAAATATCAATAAAGATATCCATCCATGTTCTGTCTTCGTTTACGAGAGAGTAATTTGCCACATTAAAAAAAGAGAGTTAATTATATCACATCGAAATTAATAAGATATAACAGGTATATCCCTGAAGACTTAGTTATTGCTAATTAGATGATCAAATAGATTAATATAAAAGCTTTATCACATGTGTCATGCCAAAGGGATCCTGAATCGCACAAACACATGTACATGAGACCCGCCAACACAGATCATGTACACCACGGGTAGCTTTAACGTCTATCTAACTTAGTACAGCAGAGGGAGTATGTGAGACTAATGTTGCCTGGACGTCTCTGTAAGACGTTTTTTTATCATTTTGTCAACACCTTGCAGTTATACGTGGTTTCTGCGTCCTCATGAAGCAACGAACCAGTACACGCATTTTGTAAACATGTACACGTTGGCATGCATGTGAGGCCAACAACACGAGAATTACATTTTGTCAACACCGTCAAGTTACAGGTTTACATCCACGTGAGGCCAACAGTACGAGATTAACATTTAACATTTTGTCAACACCGTCAAGTTACATGGTGGCATCCACGTGTGGCCAACAACACGAGAATAACATTTTGTCAACACCGTTAAGTTACATGGTGGCATCCACGTGTGGCCAACAACACGATAATTACATTTTGTCAACACCGTTAAATTACACGGTGGCATCCACGTGTGGCCAACAACACGAGAATTACATTTTGTCAACACCGTTAAATTACACGGTGGCATCCACGTGTGGCCAACAGCACGAGAATTACATTTTGTCAACACCTTTAAATTACAAGTAATGTGAAAGTCTACGTGAAGCAAGCAACCAGAATATGTCAACACCTTTAAATTACAAGTAATGTGAAAGTCTACGTGAAGCAAGCAACCAGAATATGTCAACACCATCACGATGAAATTGGTCTTAATGTGTTTCGTCGTGTTTATGTTGATATTACACACACAAGGTAAGTTAATGTGTTTCGTCGTGTTTATGTTGATATTACACACACAAGGTAAGTTAATGTGTTTCGTCGTGTTTATGTTGATATTACACACACAAGGTAAGTTAATGTGTTTCGTCGTGTTTATGTTGATATTACACACACAAGGTAAGTTAATGTGTTTCGTCGTGTTTATGTTGATATTACACACACAAGGTAAGTTAATGTGTTTCGTCGTGTTTATGTTGATATTACACACACAAGGTAAGTTAATGTGTTTCGTCGTGTTTATGTTGATATTACACACACAAGGTAAGTTAATGTGTTTCGTCGTGTTTATGTTGATATTACACACACAAGGTAAGTTAATCTGATATTTCTCCTTAGCACTGATGCATTTGTTGTTACATGTAAGTGTCATACAAATACAATGTTGTTGTAAATACGAAACAAAAACAAAAAGGCGCCGAACAAATGGTCACCATTACATTTCATCATTACACAGTATAATGTGCTGTCTTGTTAAAATTTAAACATAGCATGCTACTTTTAAGCATTTTGATGACAAATTTCGAATGTTAATAAAATGCGAAATGTACAAAAGCATCAATAATTTAATAAAAAAAAAACCGGGAAAATTCTACAAAGATTTATTCCAAATAATATGTAACAAGACGGGAGAATTATATGTATTATAAGGATTATAATAGATAATAACATATAAATATTTCAGGTTCATCAACTCCAAAATGTACCTATTATTTGTAATTCTAAAGTGATTTCTTACAATCTTTTCTGTATATCATATGTCAATTGTTAGATGTTTTTGACATTCGTATTTTAAAAACATTTAAGAATCGTTGCACACTTGTCGTAGTTGGTCGCAGATCATTCGCAAATATAAGGTTGCAAATCGACCACATTTTTCTGGCTTCTGTTTTCTAAATACGAGAACCATTTGCTTTGGATTGACAATATGCAGCAGCAAGGCGACGATACAAGAACAAAGGCGAAACAAACTGTTCCTGAAGGGTACTATTTTCCTGAATCATTCACATACTACCTACAGATGTATCTTGTTCTTAATACAATTATTAAGTTTAAAAAGTTTATCAGTATAGAGGTGCCACTTGAGCGATGCACAATAAGATAACAAACTTCAGGTGGATACATCAAAACACAACCCGACCATATCGTCAAACAAAAAAATACCACATTATCAACACACAAGACAGGAGGCCGACCTCAAACCCAACATTATCAACACACAAGACAGAAGGCCGACCTCAAACCCTACATTATCAACACAAGACAGAAGGCCGACCTCAAACCCAACATTATCAACACAAGACAGAAGGCCGACCGCAAACCCAACATTATCAACACAAGACAGAAGGCCGACCTCAAACCCAACATCATCAACACACAAGACAGAAGGCCGACCTCAAACCCAACATCATCAACACACAAGACAGAAGGCCGACCTCAAACCCAACATCATCAACACACAAGACAGAAGGCCGACCTCAAACCCAACATCATCAACACACAAGACAGAAGGCCGACCTCAAACCCAACATCATCAACACACAAGACAGAAGGCCGACCTCAAACCCAACATCATCAACACACAAGACAGAAGGCCGACCTCAAACCCAACATCATCAACACACAAGACAGAAGGCCGACCTCAAACCCAACATCATCAACACACAAGACAGAAGGCCGACCTCAAACCCAACATCATCAACACACAAGACAGAAGGCCGACCTCAAACCCAACATCATCAACACACAAGACAGAAGGCCGACCTCAAACCCAACATCATCAACACACAAGACAGAAGGCCGACCTCAAACCCAACATCATCAACACACAAGACAGAAGGCCGACCTCAAACCCAACATCATCAACACACAAGACAGAAGGCCGACCTCAAACCCAACATCATCAACACACAAGACAGAAGGCCGACCTCAAACCCAACATCATCAACACACAAGACAGAAGGCCGACCTCAAACCCAACATCATCAACACACAAGACAGAAGGCCGACCTCAAACCCAACATCATCAACACACAAGACAGAAGGCCGACCTCAAACCCAACATCATCAACACACAAGACAGAAGGCCGACCTCAAACCCAACATCATCAACACACAAGACAGAAGGCCGACCTCAAACCCAACATCATCAACACACAAGACAGAAGGCCGACCTCAAACCCAACATCATCAACACACAAGACAGAAGGCCGACCTCAAACCCAACATCATCAACACACAAGACAGAAGGCCGACCTCAAACCCAACATCATCAACACACAAGACAGAAGGCCGACCTCAAACCCAACATCATCAACACACAAGACAGAAGGCCGACCTCAAACCCAACATCATCAACACACAAGACAGAAGGCCGACCTCAAACCCAACATCATCAACACACAAGACAGAAGGCCGACCTCAAACCCAACATCATCAACACACAAGACAGAAGGCCGACCTCAAACCCAACATCATCAACACACAAGACAGAAGGCCGACCTCAAACCCAACATCATCAACACACAAGACAGAAGGCCGACCTCAAACCCAACATCATCAACACACAAGACAGAAGGCCGACCTCAAACCCAACATCATCAACACACAAGACAGAAGGCCGACCTCAAACCCAACATCATCAACACACAAGACAGAAGGCCGACCTCAAACCCAACATCATCAACACACAAGACAGAAGGCCGACCTCAAACCCAACATCATCAACACACAAGACAGAAGGCCGACCTCAAACCCAACATCATCAACACACAAGACAGAAGGCCGACCTCAAACCCAACATCATCAACACACAAGACAGAAGGCCGACCTCAAACCCAACATCATCAACACACAAGACAGAAGGCCGACCTCAAACCCAACATCATCAACACACAAGACAGAAGGCCGACCTCAAACCCAACATCATCAACACACAAGACAGAAGGCCGACCTCAAACCCAACATCATCAACACACAAGACAGAAGGCCGACCTCAAACCCAACATCATCAACACACAAGACAGAAGGCCGACCTCAAACCCAACATCATCAACACACAAGACAGAAGGCCGACCTCAAACCCAACATCATCAACACACAAGACAGAAGGCCGACCTCAAACCCAACATCATCAACACACAAGACAGAAGGCCGACCTCAAACCCAACATCATCAACACACAAGACAGAAGGCCGACCTCAAACCCAACATCATCAACACACAAGACAGAAGGCCGACCTCAAACCCAACATCATCAACACACAAGACAGAAGGCCGACCTCAAACCCAACATCATCAACACACAAGACAGAAGGCCGACCTCAAACCCAACATCATCAACACACAAGACAGAAGGTCGACCTAAAACTCAACATCATCAACACACAAGACAGAAGGCCGACCTCAAATCCAACATCACCAACACACAAGTCAGAAGGCCGACCTCAAATCCAACATCATCAACACACAAGACAGAAGGCCGACCTCAAACCCAACATCATCAACACACAAGACAGAAGGCCGACCTCAAATCCAACATCATCAACACACAAGACATAAGTCTGACTTCAAGTCCAAACAAAAAATACCATATAATCAACACACAAGGCTAAATCTGACCTCAAAACTAACAAAATATACCACTTCATCAACACACAATTGTAAAATCTTACCTTTAATCGAAACAAAAAGTAAAACATCATCAACACACCAGGTCAAAGACAAACCTCAAATCGAAATAAGATACACAGCGACCTCAAATCGAAACTAAAAGGATACAAAGGTTTCTTTTTTATTTGGTTTTCATTTCATGCCAGAGCTCCTATTTAGTACTTTGACATATACACAACGCACCTAGCCATGTGCTCGATTACAATAGTTTGACGTAGGCAGTAGAAGACAGAGACATAACCTGGTTACACGTATTACATGACCATGACTAACGGTTAACATATCAAATAAGTTCCAGTCTGTTGTTTTTACCAACCTATTAATCTTAATAAACCTGATATTGCTTCCTCTTGTAATTACATATTCTAATTGATGGTAGCATAGCTGTGTTATTATCCTACCTTTTTATTGTGTTTCAAATCAACTGTGACATGTCTCGTTCAATTATATTCTAACAAATAAACGTCCGCTTGACAATTATGCACGCTGCTCCAGGTTTTACAATTACGGGGAGGGGGTGTAGTAATTTCCTGACAAATTTTCATATAATATATAGTTATATATTGGTACTAACGGAATTGTATTTAGTAATTTCTTTCAATTATGCTTGCGAATTTGCTTTAAGATATGTTATCGTCAGGATTTAAAGTAACAAAAGAGAGAAAGAGAAAGTTAATTATAATAGCTACTATAATAGTATATAGATAAATACTCCTCAGATATCGAATTTGCAAACAACCACCCTCTCGAAACTAGCGTGAAGGTTAAAGTATCTCACGTGAGATCCCCTTCTTGCTTTACAATTATTTAGAGGTTATCATATGGCCAAATCCATACCCTATCCATAGGAAACCAATACCTCTTTATCAAACTGTAGGAGTGGGAGGCCCGTCGAGGTATACCCCGTGCGTTTCTGTCGCCATCAGGGGTAAGAGCCTTTAGAAGTACTTGTACACAGGACAAGACTTGTTTCACCGTGGAAGGTAACTGGGTCTCTGGTGTTGACTTAACATTGAGATTTGCATAGCAACCATCTTTCTACCTGTTTTCCGTAAGAAGGGTAAGGTGCATTGGTAAGAAAATGTCATATCGAAATTATATCACACGTATTACCAGCTCGTACAATTTTACTCTGCCCTCTTAGAACTGTCGCCTCTTTCCTGTCCCTTTGGATGTTACTTTCACTATCGTGAGAAACTAATTGAATAAGAAAAGCGTTGAATTATTGAGGTTGGATCAGAAATTTGAGTTACCCACCGCCCTGGGGAATATGTTTGTTCACTATCTACCTCCACCGAATGCCTTATACTTACAGGAAAAGGAAAGAATATTTTTCTAAATTCATCATTGTCTAAACAAATTTTAAATGCGGAAAAAACAAAAGCTATGTTAATTTGTACAAGACAGAAAAGGAAAGCATGTGCTAACAAATGTAACGTTATTTTTAATGATACCACTCTGGAAAATGTAAAATCCGAAAAACTTTTTGGAGTGTGCATTGATGAACATCTGTCGTGGGAGATGCAAGTTTGAAAACTTATTAAGAAAGTTGTTTTTAAACTACACCATCTTAACAGAATTAAAATGTTTTTACCCATACCGTCCAGAATTACATACTATAACTGTTTTATGCTTCCATACTTTGATTACTGCTCTAATATATGGGGCCACTGTAAAAACAAAAGTATTCATAAACTCCAACGAATTCAAAAGAGAATTGCCAGATCCATTCTTGATGCAGATTTTTCTTCACCATCTGAAAATTTATCTAAAAAGTTAAATTGGTTGCCCCTTCCCAAAAGAGTGGCATATAATGAATGTATATTAATGTACAAGGTTATCAATGATTTTACCCCTGCATATCTCAAAACACACACTTTAGTCCAGGAAAGTCACAACAGAAACACACGCTTCGCAACAGCAGGAAATTACCGTATACCAAAACACAAAACAGAACTTTTCAAGCGGTCATTTTTATATCAAGGACCACATCCACTCAAACGAAATCCTCCAAATCACTTGCAGTATTTAAAACCAACTGCAGAAACGTTTTTAAACTACTAGTATAAAGCAAAAAAACCCACCTCTCTTTCGGCCTGATCTGGACGTTACGACTTTCCCAATAAGCAATATACTACGATATGTAATTATGATTCAACAGCGTGTGTTACTATAACAGTATGGTTGACATATGTGTTGGAATGAAATGTAGATATATAATTAATTACTCAATTGAAAAGCAGTATAGCTTTATATATGTATACAATATATCTTTATAATGTATGTGTTTTGCATTATCTCTTATATTTGTAACGTATTATCCATGTTGTACATACTTGTATATATGTTCTCGGCCATGCGTGAGAAGAGTCTGTGACTCAACATGTTATTATCGAGTATAAATAAAGTCTATTATTATTATTATTATCAAATCACATACAATCATGTGTTTAAACCAAGCAGGTATCTTACACTTATATATTCCTCAATCTGCTTTAGACACTCCTGATCTATATTGCTTGCGTGCTGGTTCTGCAGTCTTCGCTGCTACATCAGTTGGGTACACCGAGTTGCTTCACCAGCTACAGCACGTCACACTGCCCTAGATAATCCATCCTCTGTCCTACATTAGTTGGGTACACCGAGTTGCTTCACCAGCTACAGCACGTCACACTGCCCGAGATAAACCATCCTCTGTCCTACATCAGTTGGGGACACCGAGTTGCTTCACCAGCCATAGCACGTCACACTGCCCTAGATAAACCATCCTCTGTCCTACATTAGTTGTCGTGTTGTAATTTGTCAATAAGTAATACACTATACTGTATACAATATTACCATAATTGGTATCCCAGGCTATAGATGATTTAAAAATGAATGAAACCCCCCTCTCTGTAGATACAAAAGCTACCAAATGTATCTAAATCTATATATATTATAACTAAAACGGGTATCCCAGTTCATGGATAATTTAACTAAAACGGGTATCCCCGTTCATGGATAATATAACTAAAACGGTTATCCCAGTTCATGGATAATTTAACTAAAACGGGTATCCCCGTTCATGGATAATATAACTAAAACGGTTATCCCAGTTCATGGATAATATAACTAAAACGGTTATCCCAGTTCATGGATAATTTAACTAAAACGGGTATCCCATTTCATGGATAATATAACTAAAACGGGTATCCCAGTTCATGGATAATATCACTATATGTTGTATCACAGGCTGTATACCACCTCCCGGTAGCATGATACATGTAGATAAAATCACGTAGATAAAATATCGAGTGGCCTTTTGATTTTATCCACGAGCTCGCGATGAAAGAATTGTTCTTACGACAAAAACACCGAAAATACAGTGCGATAATCTATAACTATGAATGATATCCCAGGCTATAGATAATATTACTATCAATGATAGCACATGCTATATATACTATTACTATCAATGCTATCACATGCTATGGATAAAATGACTATCAATGATATACCAGGCTAAAGATATTATTATTATTAATGATATCACATGCTATAGATAATATTACTATCAATGATATTCCAGGCTATAGAAAATATATCTTTCAATGATATCCCATGCTATAGATAATATAACTATCAATGATACCCCATGCTATACATACTAATTCTATAAATGATATCCCAGGCTATAAATAAAATAACTATGAATGACATCCCAGGCTATAGATAATATAACTATAAATGATATCCCATGCTATAGATACTATTACAATTAATGATATCCCATATTATAGATAATATTACTATCAATGATATCCCAGTCTATAGATAATATAACTATCAATGATATCCAATGTTATAGATAATATAATTATCAATGATATCCCAGGCTGTAGATAATATTACTATCAATGGTATCCCAGGCTGTAGATAATATTACTATCAATGATATCCCTGGCTATAGATAATATAACTATCAATGATATCCCATATTATAGATAATATTACTATCAATGATATCCCAGGCTATAGATAATATAACTATCAATGATATCCTAGGCTATGGATAATACTACTATCAATGATATCCCATGCTATAGATACTATTACTACTAATGATATCCCAGGCTACAGATAATATTACTATCAATGATATCCCTGGCTGTACATACTATTTCTATAAATGATATCCCAGGCTATAGATTATATAACTATCAATGATATCCCATGCTATAGATACTATTTCTCTGAATGATATCCCAGGCTATAGATAGTATTACTATCAATGATATCCCAGGCTATAGATAATATTACTATCAATGATACCCCAGGCTGTACATACTATTTCTATAAATGATACCCCAGGCTATAGATAACATTCCTATCAATGATGTACTAGGCTATAGATAATATTACTTTCAATGATGTACTAGGCTATAGATAATATTTCTATCAATGATATCCCATGTTATCGATAATATTACTATCAATGATATCCCAGGCTATATGATTATAATACTACTATACAGCGCTGGTAAGAAATAATTTACACTTTTTTGTTTGTTCAGAAATATAGGTCAACTATATTGTTTTGAAAACAAACAGACAATTTGTTGTTGTTTTTTTATTTAGGAACAAAATGTCAATTATATGTTCAACTGATAAATATATACTTCTTTACAAATAGATATATGTAGTCTGAGCTAAAATGACAAATATGAACAATTTTAAAAGGGATTGTTTTTGTTTTTTTCTCGGTAAGAATTATTTTATTTATTATTTTAATTTATTTCATCGATTTATCGGTTGGTATAAATATTTTGATATGCAAAACGGTTTTAGCAGAAAAAAACAAGTTTCATGAATGCATTCTAAACCTGAAATGAAATAAGTGTTTGTGATCATCAGTAAAGAATTGATAATCGTTAATCAAAGCTTTCTCCTTAGTGCTTTAGTAGGTATAGATCGCAACGAATTAAGATGGATTTCGTATGTTTAGTGTTCTCTAAAAAGGAATATATCATTGAGTAAGTTTTTGCTTCTTGTCATATTCGGTCAGCTTAAAAATATTTTAGAACACGGAAAAAAATCTGACATCAACCCAAACGAAAACATTTGGGTCACATCAAAAAAGATGATGTGAAGCATGTCGACAAAAAATTCAATAATTGTGTTACCCTTGTTATATCTGTTAATAAAATGTGCACTTAAATTCTAAACAAAACAATTAACCAATCTTACTGGAGTTGTACATAGCTTTCTTGTATCCCTTAATATAAATGGGTCTGTTTGGTTTGGTTTGTGTTTTACGTCCTATTAACAGCTAAACGCTGACCTGCCATCCTCGATACATTCCCTTACGCTCTCTGCATCTCTAGAGCTTGGTATAGCAAAATCGAAGGCTAAGTGTCACCCCCTTGTGAATGAGACGAGCAGACTAGTTTGATCCTTTGATGTACATCAAAAGAATATGTCGGTTGCGTAACGGTGACATTGACTGGCTTCGAAGTCAGGTGTCGCTCCTCTGTAATCTTCAAAGGACAGGAGTCATCCTTTACAATTGGTCAGGATTGATTTACCTGTGACCAATCAAATAGTTTATTTTTTTTATGATATTATGAATAATTAATAAGATTACTCTTGACCAATCAGATAACAAGTTTACAATATGCGTTGTTTTTTGTTATTAGATAATAATCACTCAATTTCTGTTTAAAACAGGGATTCAAGACAATGCGGGATCGGCGTTTATGCTGGGGTTCATGTCTACAACAGGCACTGATCATGATGCTAAACTGTATATAAGCAATCCACATTCACGCAGAGTCACAGTCCGTGTTAGGTCCTCTCCAAAACTAAATATCGATGCCTTGTATAGAGTTGATTGCGGGACAGTAAGAACAATCCGCCTGTCGAGTGCGTTTGGAGCACAAGAAGGCACATCTATAGAGCCAAAGGGCGTCCTCGTGACCTCCGATAATGAAGTAGCTTTAAGCTGTGCAAACGTTAATGACGACTCGTATGACGCGTTTTTGGCGCTTCCAACAGACGTCCTCGGTACACATTACCACGCCGATACGTACTACCCATGTGGCGATGCCTGCCAAGCCCTTGTCGTAAGTGTCCACAATGCCACTAAGGTTTCGATCACAATGGGGTCATCTCTTGGGAACGACACTGTCGAATACAACGGTACAAGATATGCTACTGGAGATACATTAAATGTGGTCCTGAACCAGTACGAGATGTTCCAATTTCATAGTCTCGGAGATCTAAGTGGAACGCACATAGTCTCGAACAAAGTTATCTCAGTGTTCAGTGGGAACAAACACACATCCGTGGGAAGTAAAACGTCTTATAAAACTAATCTTGTTGAACAGCTGACCCCGGTGAAAACGTGGGGTAAAACTTTTGTTTTAGTTCCCACCCCTGAAACCTATCATTCATCTTTCTTCCGGTTTCTTGCAAGTGATGACTCTACTGCAGTGCGGATACGAGGCGATTGTTTTTTCAATCTTAACATGACAAAAGCAGGGGAAGTGGCGCGTATAGAGGTTCCCTTACACTCCAACTGCTATGGTGTAGCTAACAGGCCGATACAGGTTGTGAAATACACTCAGGGACACTATGGCCTCGTGGTGGTTGACAACCCAAGTATGATCCTTATTCCTCCAACCGAACAGTTCAGCTCAACTTATACCTACGGAAATGCGGGAGAAAGCCGTGCAGTCTATTTAATCTTGATTCTAAAGTCTGAAGATTTGGATGGCCTCCGATTTGACGGAAAGATCTTTTCGTCGAGTTCCGCCAGGATTGAAAATATAATGGAGATTAAATTAATGATAGTTCAAGTACTTGTGTCATCGCATCAGGCTCACACTGTTCGACATATCTCGCCCAATGTCACGTTTGGTGGAACTATTTATGGGTTTTTCTATGGATATGTCACCTATGGATATCCGATAGGAATGCGGATGGTTGCCATCAACAACGTAAGTACACATGCAGGTTGAGATCCAAATAACAGTCTTACGATGTTTCAAAATGTCCATATGGAAAGCAAATGGTTTATAAAGAAAATTACAAAGCTGGTTGTGCTAGGGGAGTGTGGTCTGGAAGCCCAAAACTTCACTCTGTCTGGTTACGCTAATGAAGTAATGTCTGTAGGGGTTGGGGTAAGGGGGATTTGTTTGAAGTGTTATGATGTTACAGGAGGTCATGCCATTGGGATGATTACGTCATTAAGGTTGATGCCTGTAAAACCATTTACTTGCGGTTCTACGACGTAAAGAATGACGTCGTATCCGAAAGTACGCTAGCATACATGTAGGATATATTTTGACGAAATGACTCTAATGTTGTCTGTTGGAGGTTTACGAGGAGAACGCGGAACTTCAACGAAGTCGTCCACTTGATGGCGTATTTTTAAGAATGTTATCTATCATACGGCTTACATAAGTTTAATTTAGCAAACTTATACAACAATAGATATAATAACGCAGAAGTTACCCTTACGTGTTCGTTTATACTACGTTTCCCCCCATACTTGCCCATAAAAGACAGAAATCCATCCGTGAACAGATAAACCTGTCTGTCCCTCGGGAAAGACAGTCTCTCGCGCTATGACGCCAAGGTGCGTTTTTGCTTTCTCTATTTTTGTACTTGTTATTAGAGATAACCAAAATATAACACAAAAATATACTAGTATCGACACTGGGATGTTTATTAAGAGTATGGGAGAAAGCCATCAAACAAGGATGTGGTTCATAAACAGTTATATCTAAACCATCGGGTAAGTGTTTGACTGTCCAGCGCAAGGCCAACTACAACCATGTAAGATTTTTCACAACGCTCCCACAGGCAGGACTATTTATTTTAGAAGTTATGTACCTGACGGAGTATTTAAGCGGTACCATAAGTCTTCTGACTTAAATTACAGTAAGTAATCTATCTAATGACTTTCTTTAGAGTTCCATATATACATGTATTTAATGGTTTGGCCGCATAAACAGTGTAAATAAGCTACATTAATCTCAGTTCACATTCCGCAGCAGGCTAAGAAAATCGGTGATATAATAGGATAATATCCAACTGGTATAATATAACAAGCGAACACTTATATTTAAAAACTTTCGATATTTATATTTTTTATCTGTAACATTTCATTTTTCTAAGTACTTCAATTTTATAATGTATGTATCGCTCACCTGTGTCTTTTCATATCAGAACAGAAAGTAAATGACGTAATCTAGGACAATTTTTGACAACGCTAATGTAAGTTGTTTGGATAATAGCCTCAATATGGATACGCCGTCAGATAGAAATGGCGTTTACAATACCCCGTCGGGGTAAATGTTGTCCTCTAAAGTAAACCATCAGACTGCTAGCCTACTGTAAATAAGCATTAAGGCGAAGGATATCGTGAAAATAACGCTGTCAGTTAACTTACGACGTTTTAGGTAAACTGTAAGTTAGATAACGTCATTAGAAAATAGATTATAGGAATGTCAATTTTCATATATATATTGTTTTATTCATGCATATGTGATCGTTGTTGGGGAAAAAATGAACAAACCAATCATTGAAAAGTGGTAAGTACTCTAAAACGGGAAACACGTACTTGAAACTCTCGAAAATGTAAGTTTTTCACATTATCGAGTGTGCTCGTGAGCTCTAGCAAACGTTTGTAGAAAATAAAAGCACATCAAGGGTTCGCCTCGAAACCTTCAACAGAACATTTAGGTTGAATAAATAAACGGCACCATACCATCTTCGATGACCACATCTGAAATAATTTCATCATTCGTGACGTCATACTACCAGAGGGGATAATGAACTAGCAAAGCCCCTCAATATCAAAGCACACGCGTTGTATGTTAATCACGTAAAAAGATTCATGCAAATAATTCAACACGTTAGCATAATTAAATAGAAATTATCACAAAACATTACAAAATATCATCTTTTTTTGGTCAAGTTTTTTCCTCTAAGACTGGTCCTCTTATTCTTGGGATGGAAAAAACTGTGTCTATGCTCATAGATGGATTCTGCGCTCAAACCAACTTGCTTGTAACGTGTATAATCCATGTTATTTGGTCAAAAAGTCAAATGGGAACATTGAAAACAGTATTCAAATTTAACTCTATACAAAATTCTTTCAAATCATTGACAAATTTGTCACCTGAACAAGAAAGCTTGACTGAGCACGAGCACAGAATCCGAGTTTCAGAATGAGAATGATTTCAAGAATACAGACCCGGCTACCGATTCGGGTGTTTCGTTATTCAAATTCAAGAGTTCAAATATATATATATATACATTATATTTTATGGAATATGTACTGGTCCTAATATGTACTGGTCCTAATATGTACTGGTCCTAATAGGTACTGGTCCTAATATGTACTGGTCCTAATATATACTGGTCCTAATATGTACTGGTCCTAATATGTACGGGTCCTAATATGTACTGGTCCTAATATGGTCCTAATATGTACTGGTCCTAATATGTACTGGTCCTAATATTTCTGTAAGCCATGTGAGACGACAGTACCGGAAGTTGGAGACGGGATTGACAATGACTGTGACGGGATGGTGGACGAGGAGCTGTGTGGAGTAGACAGTGAAGCTGCAGGTATTTGTCGATGAGTGTTTTAACTCGTGTTACTAACGCTATGGCTAAGAGTTCAAATGTACCTATTTGTTAAGGTCTAGTTGTTTCGCTTCAAAACACCATTGAAACCATTGTACAAATTATTGTTATTTCAGGTAAATGTTCATATAAGTTTGGACCCTTTACCTAACGTAAAGGTGTAAATGTGTGTTTCTGGTTCTATCACTTTTGCTAATTTAAAATATATGTTTTCGCCCTTGTTACTGCCGTCACCGATGACTGTCCCTGATTTTTACGTTTCTTATATTACGTCATTGGTACAGTATATAATCGTGTTCCTGAATCTAACGTTTCCATTTCTAACGCCATGAGTAAATAGAGGATATTCAGGGATACCTGTTGAATGTAAACTATACCCTTCACCAGTGTGTCAGAAAACAGATAGTTTTCACAATTGCAAACCGAAGTATGGGTACATGTATGAGTGGAAAGGTCTGTGTGTTCTGCCAAATGATTAAGATACTTATGATTTTAAACGACAAATACATTGTTTTCTATTTATTACATTTTTAAACTCTCTACAACGAAAGTAGTATGGCATCAGAACAGTTTGGGATTTAGTAGCAGACTCTCTGGCGCCATATTTTAATATGCTAAAAACGTCACTCTTGACGACAAGCGGTTTGAATGGGATATTCAACACACTCCTACTGTTTTCTATTCATATCTGGATTTTTTTATTGCAAAATGTTGTCTATTGTGAGGATAGAAAAAAAAAATCATTAAAAGTGTTGGAAAGACGAACTAAAACAACGATATCTTGCCATAAAATCAGCCCCTTTTGATACAGTGAACAGGAAGAACCGCTTCGATTCTATTCCAAAAGTAGTATTTTAACAATGACATATATCCCTTTTGACATCCTTCATAGCGTGAAAGATATCAGTTTTACCAAATTAACAAAATTTAATAAATCCCTGGCAAATATGTTATAAATGAAGGATGTTTAACGTTATCGCGTTGAATACCAAATATATATAATTATATCATACAATTTTATATTCACTCGTATTTCAGAGGCCAACCGGTGGTTTTCACTCGTGCTTCGCATCAGTCAATAAAATTGGGATTCTACCTTACTCGTAAAACAGATTTGGTATTCAAAGAGAATATCATTAATTCTTTTATTTATTTATAACATTTTTAAGTACCTCTCATATACAAATTTATAACGTAATATTTGTAGTGTATTCTAATGACGTTACACTTGGCAACAGGAAAAAACGCCATTATGAATCGGCTGCTCAGCGCAATTCTATCGTTTTCCGATATGATCTGGTAAAGTTTGCTTCAAAAGATGTAAACAAGTGTGATGATTAGTAGATTCTGCAGTGTGTTTAGTAAAAAAAGTGTCAAATAACAACATATTTATTCAACCGTCGCGACATCTGTATCTCAGTCGTTAATCTCCAGATTTGAACGCAGTAAATAGAATGTGTTGTTATCATTGGTCGATGGTTTGTACAAATATATATTACTTTTGATATATGTCACTGTGGGATAGATATCTGTTATATATATATATATATGATACGTCACGGGAAAATATTCATTACATGTGTCAATGATTCTGTTGTGTCTCTGTTACTAACATCCATCAGACCGTGACAACGATGGTCTGTATAATGAGGATTGCGTCGCCATCTCTAAAGGTAGGCATATAAGTGGCGTTCTTATTAAAAAATATTTGCGGTTTTACTTTGATTATTATTGTAAACCCGGAAAAAATAGTGTGACAATTTGAGTACGAATAAGTGGATTATGTCTGATTGATCTTTAAAAACATCACTTTATATTTAATATATTTGAACTTCAAATAATACATTTCATATTTAAAGTTAATACCTAGATATTTAAAAAGTTACAATAAATCTTTCAGAATATAACGTATAAGTTACTTTTTTTATATATATTCAAAAACTTATTCAGATCCTCTGTGATATTCTTCCGTACAGTTCACGGAGGATGGAGTCTCTGGTCCAACTATTCTGCCTGTTCCCGGACGTGCTTCTCTGACGAGCAGTCCTACGGAACGCAAATAAGACAGAGGAGTTGTACAAATCCGATTCCCGCCTGTGACGGGAAATGGTGTGTTGGTGGATCATACCAATCAGCTTTTTGTCCCAGACACGTTCCATGTCCAAGTAGGTTTATTTTACAAAGAACAAGTTATAATCCGCTGTTGGTGGAGTGTATCCATGTACCTGCTATGAGTTGATGGTATTTCATTTCAGAATATTTTATTGTGCTGATCTTACGTAGAAAAGGAATTATAGGTAGACCACAAATGTGATTACAAACTAAACCTGGACAGAATTTCAGCTATAAATAGCCCAGAAATCTAACAAACGTTATAGGTGTCATCACCTGTGTGTGTTACGTTGGTCCTTCATGATACAAGTTGGACTACTCTCATGGCCTATGGTGGCTGATTAGTGCCATTTTCACTTTTTCGCTTTTTCGCGCTCGAAAATGCGAAAAAGCGAAATTTTAACACCCAATTTTCTCTTTCGTGGATGTTTTAGTCTCCGAGGTTTACCGTCATCTTGATCGCCACAGTAAATTCTTTTGAGTAGATCGAGTAGCATGGTTCATAATATACTCACTTTACGGATTATTTAATTTGTAAACAGGTTACCATGCGACACACCAGAATATTTCTGACTATAAAAACAAAACTTCTCTATTATTTTAAAATTCATAAATGTAGGTGTTTTACGGAGCTGCCCTTCTATTTCATGGTATTTTAGACTACTTTGAATTTCCAACCTTTTGGCCCCTAGCGTCTCTATCACCGACGAGCCCTAGAATGACAAAACAACTAAATCATGACGTGTAATTCATCTTTTGGCCTTCTGTATCTATAAGCAAAATTTAAAAGTACAATCACCTTTATATTTTATCCCAAGCTAATTTTCTAATCCGTCTTATATCACTATGAGTAACAATGTAGATTTTCCAACAACTTTTTATGTGATAATCGATTTTTAGACTAACTGCCTTTTTTAAAAATAAAAATGATTAAGTATGTATTTAATAATGCATTAGTTAAGCTGTCGTCTTGTTAGTTTCGACAGATACTCTCTTACTTTTTAGGGACTTAGATTTAAACTGTATGACCTTAAGGACTAATTTGAATCATATGAACTTTTTTTAATTATCGTGGTAGTAACATTGTCATCAAGTGTAACCATTAGATACTCTTGTCTGATTATACCTTGATACGTCTGTTTGGAATTTGTATCAATTTCATACTCTCGTCTGATTATACCTTTATACGTCTGTTTGGAATTTGTAACAATTTCATACTCTCGTCTGATTATACCTTGATATGTCTGTTTGGAATTTGTAACAATTTGATACTCTCGTCTGATGATACCTTGATATGCCTGTTTGGAATTTGTAACAATTTGATACTTTCGTTTTATGATACCTTGATATGTCTGTTTTGAATTTGTAACAATTTCATACTCTCGTTTTATGACACCTTGATACGTCTGTTTGAAATTTGTAACAATTTCATACTCTCGTTTTATGACACCTTGATATGTCCTTTCGGAATTTGTAACAATTTGATACTCTCGTTTTATGACACCCTGATATGTCCTTTCGGAATTTGTAACAATTTGATACTCTCGTTTTATGACACCCTGATATGTCCTTTCGGAATTTGTAACAATTTGATACTCTCGTTTTATGATACCTTGATACGTCTGTTTGGAATGTGTAACAATTTGATTCTCTCGTTTGATGATACCTTGATATGTCTGTTTGCTTCACTATGGAATCCTTTGTTTTTTGGTCTGCTGTCATATTATAAGAGATTAGTTTTAGAATCTTTATTCTCAAAGATATATTTCCAAAGAAGTCGCGTTCATTTGATTGCTATATAAATGCAATACACTTTATTTAAAGATAAAGCCTTAATGACTTCGAGTTTTTATTCACATGTGTAGAATGTTTTATAATTCAATGTAAATACAACATTTAGATAAGGATGTCAGTAAGCTTTGTGCTTACTTTGGTAGTGATCAGTTATAAGATAACCAAACACTTTTGTTATTTCTAGTATATATTCAAGTCATACATTGTTTTATACGCAGTTGCTATAAAGTGGTTCATTAAGCTTTATTTTGTACTACAGGGCGTTAAACAAACCGTGATACAGAAATCATTGCTTAGCTAAGCTTTACAAATACATGTACATCGGTTGATTCTGTATTTACAGTAGATGATTCTGTATTTACAGTAGATGATTCTGAATTTACAGTAGATGATTCTGTATTTACAGTAGATGATTCTGTATTTACAGTAGATGATTCTGTATTTACAGTAGATGATCCTGTTTTTACATTAAATGGTTTAGTATTGACAGAAGATGATTTGGTATTTACAGCAGAAGTATTTACCGTAGATGTATTAACAGTATATGATTCTGTATTTACAATAAATGATTCTGTATTAGATGATTCTGTATTTACAGTAGATGCTTCTGTTTTTACAGTAAATGGAGACTGGACAGACTGGACAGCGTTTAGTGCTTGCTCTGTGACATGTTCATATCACGGATCTCCAATTGAGGGGAGAAAAGAACGAACTCGTTATTGCACAAATCCCCGCCCCCAACATAACGGCAAGCCGTGTGAAGGATCTAATATAGAAAGAGATACTTGCTGGCAGACGGACAGTTGTCCCGGTAAGTAGTCATACGGCCAGCATGCATGACGTATTGGCGTGCCATGGACAGCATAGCACGTACACTTGGTGTCACATTTAAAACATGCATGACATAATGGCGTCCCAGGGACCACATGGCATGGATACTTGATGTCACAAGATGCATTGTTATCCCGGTTTGTAGCCACAGTAACACCATGCGTGTGTCATATATGCATAATTCAATTGTTTTCTCTTTTACAAAACTACAGAAATTACATGTATTTGTCCCGGGACATATTTCTTATTTTTTTCTAATTTACAGATTTATTTGAAATAATTGTCTTAGCAATACCAATACATGTATGTTGTTTCTTAACAAAATTATCAATTTTACAGATAAGTTATAATATTTACAGAGGTAGACTTTATTTCATATGATAAGCATGTAATGATTATATAACAAACATCCAACTATTTAAATAATGTCAAATATGTGACCTACACATATGCTTATGAAGATTATATTATCCTGAGTAAGGCGCGCGTGATAAACACCTCTGGTATACAAATATTCGATTATTTCTTGTCTTCCGGAAACGCATGTTGTAGAATTATGTGGCTGATATTTTCTAGACATATCTAGCAAGTATGCATGTACGACAAATGTTGATGACGTGCACTAGTAGAAACTAAACTCGTATGAAAAAGTGTGGAAATTTGTACACAATTTTAAAAGCTTAGCAAATGAAAGCTTATACGGATTAATTGGCGGTCGTTAAATCAATCTTCACATGCTAAAATCTGAATTCTGTTGGGACAGCACAAAGTGAACAATATTTTAACACGGTCTCAAAATAACTGAATGCCAACTGTTATTATTGGGTAAGCCCTTTGCCATATAATCTCTTGTATGAACGTTGATGGGTATGACACGTATATGTATGCATGAATGCGACAGTCAAATATGAGCAAATTGTATGAAGGCGTGAGGCTGATACATAAATGATGTCGCACATACCTATTCATTCTTCGATGAATACAAAAATGACCCCTGGTATAATAACAAACGCTGTTTTAAACAAACCTAGAGGGGGAAACAACTATACTATTGGACAAAATCCAAACAAAACAAAAATGAACGATTACTTTATAAAACTTTAACAGTGATGTTAGTACTTAAGTCAAAATGGATTGTTCATGTACAGAATCGTATTTTGTAGGTTATAAAGATAGCCATAAGAGTTGGGGCGTTTGAAATGCAAATATGTGTGTATTTATTTTATTTCATGTGTTTTATCGGCAACTTCCTCTACCGCCATTGTCTCTTATGCCTGGCTGATGACGTATCAAAAACTACAGCACACACTGATGACGTATCCGCTACTGCAGCACACGCTGACGACGTATCCACTACTGCAGAACCCGCTGTTAGCGTATCTACTACTGCATCACACGCTGATGACTTATCCACTACGGCAACACACACTGATGACGTATCCGCTACGGCAGCACACGCTGATGACGTATCCACTACTGCAGTACCCGCTGATGACGTATCCACTACTGAAGCACAGGCTGACGACGTATCCACTACTGCAGAACCCGCTGTTAGCGTATCTACTACTGCATCACACGCTGTTGACTTATCCACTACGGCAACA